AAGGGCTTGAAGTTGTCACTTCCTGCTTGATTTTGGAGATCTCTTCTTTCACTCTCTCCTCTATCGCCATGACGCGATGTTCCAACTTGCCTAACCCTTCCTCCACTTCTTGTACCCGTTCGAGAGCCTTTTGCAGTCCCTTCGTGAAATCCTTATGCATCTCTTCCAAGCGACGCGCTTGCTCCTCTTGGCGGCGAGCTTGATCCTCTTGGCGACGAGCTTGATCTTCTTTCAGCTCCCGTAGCTGTTCCGCCTGACAGCGTGCTTGCTCTTCTTGGCGGCGCGCTTGCTCTTCTTGGCGGCGCGCTTGCTCTTCTTGGCGGCGCGCTTGCTCTTCTTTCAGCTCCCGCAGCTGTTCTGCCTGACAGCGCGCTTGCTCTTCTTGGCGGCGCGCTTGCTCTTCTTGGCGGCGCGCTTGCTCTTCTTGGCGGCGCGCTTGCTCTGCCATCATGTGCTGCAGCTGTAGCAGAAGATCCACCTGCACAGGCTTGGCTTCTGCATCGCTGGTTTGAGCTGCAGCACCCTCTTCCCTCACACGCTGCGCTTCTGACATTGAACGGGTACTCACTCCTCTTACGTCCTGCGGCACTAGCGGCATTTTTCTCCAATCCCACTTCTGACACCAAATGTTACGTGCCTGCCGTCACGTTCCTGACTATGCGGGCTTGGGTTACGGGATTGGATGAAATGAAACACTAATACCGGTTTTCAGACTTTCTATTGCACTTAAGTTACAGCGTCCACGGAGTTAGGTTATCGGCGTTCCTCTCCAGCAGAGTCCGGCCGACTGACACAACTTTGCCGTTCACGCTGACTTAACTCACTTAACTGACTGTACTTCACTATTTCACTGCACTTCACTATTTCACTCACTTTTCTTCTTTCTCACTTCTTCCTTTTCTTCCGAATCGCTTTAGACTTAGAACTCAACTGCCAGCGGTGAGCCGCAGTTCCGCTTATATACCCCCGGTCAGGTTCTAGAACATTCAATTTCGTTATTCTTTTTGATCGTCATGCCTCCAGAACCTTCCAATAATTTCGTTATTCATTTTTATTTATTCTCCTTCTCGCTCCTTAATTTTTCATCACTTTCACTCAAATATTCCAGAAAGTTCGACAAAACTTCCATCAACTAAAAAACTTCATGTTTACGGCGGGACTCGAACTCGGGGTCTCTGTGGTGTAATCCACACGCCTTACCGATTACACCAACTCGTGTTGACAATTCACGACGAAATTTACAATCTCTAGGCAACGTTTGACAACCATCCATTGACGTCATGATGTCAAAGAGTTTTCTGTCACAATATTGAATCAATGAAAGCGGTTGGTAAACAAACCAGGAGGGCGTTCACATCACAGGAACATATGTTAGTTTCCCTCGGTTTCGATGCTGTTGTAGTTATAAAATAAAATGCGGACGTGTACGTCTGTCTGTACAATACATAAAGAGGTCGATGACCCTGTTCTTAAAACGAATGCATGTACTTCACTCTGAGTTGACACAATATTTCAGGCATAACTGTCGTGTACCGTAGATTATATTTGTTCACAAGGACGCAGCGTAAGTTTGGTTGGTCCTGATTCTTAGAATTCCGGTTAGTAAAACAAATTGTACGTAAACTTATAACTTTTAAACCGCCGACAGTATCAACAAGCAAACAAATATTAGATACTAAATAGTTCAAATATTTGTCATATCATTACAAGAAACGTAGAAAACTTTTTTTTATAAATCTCCGATTCACTCAGAGATTATAATTTCCTTTTTTTTTCAAATACTTAATTAATACATGCAGGGTCGTGGTCGGTACTTTAGTTGGTGTCAAGTTCGTCAGAGAAACAAATAATTTCGGTGAATTCCTTTGAAAATGTATTGTAATGTTTGAGGAGTAAACAAGAGTGCACGGAGCGTTGACATGGGTTCGCATTACTATCACGAGCATCCGCATCTGCCCACACGGTCTCGCGCGCCAATTTATGGATCGAGGGTACCAATCCTACGACCTCAACCCACAGGCCCTAGAGAAATTATGTTCGGTCTATTACAATCGAAATCTTCCTCAAGAAGAATTTTCGAGAGAAAGTTTACTCATAATATTTTCTAGGTCCGTGCAAATGCAAATGCAGACGGATGATTCGAATTGATGACCTCAGTCTTCATAGATTGCCAAGTTTCGCAAGTCTATTTTAAGCTTGCTGCAAGATGCTCTAGAAGTATTAGGTCAATCGATATATTTTGAAGTTTTACAAAAATATTAATTTTGTTAGTAAGTAGTTAGTAGTTTGCAAAGTCTGCAGTAGAATTCATTGTTTGTTATGATTACTTGAACCCTCGGGCCCTGTCTCACGAGTTTAGAGTTTCAAACAAAGCCTAACGAGTAAATGCTGACGTTTTATTGATATGGCATTCAAACGTTTTTCTCACGAGTTTGCAGTCTCCCGTAGTGTTAAATTTTTTTTGCCTGTTTGCCAGAAAAGCTCTGATACGTATAAACAAATAATGTTTATATTATTCGACGTTAATCAGATATTCTTTAATGGTACTAAACTATGCTTACTGGAATCTTGGGACCAATATTTCTTTGATAGATATCATAAAACAATCTTTGTATGGTAGCTTTACAATATTACTTAATCATTGAAATAACTGCGTGCGTTTTTATATAATATTATATTTATATAATATATTAACCTAAAACTAGTGGACAGATGTAAATGAAATTTTGCATAGGTACTAAGTAATCATTTGATAAGCCATAATGTACCTGATAATTTGTTCCGGTTGCTATAAAGTACAGCTAATATATACAAAGTATATACCGTTTGTTTCGGTGTATGAGATATTATGCAAGACTAAATGGTCAGCGGCACCGTAACACACAATTTACGCCGTGTTACAGCACACGCCGGGTTAAATGGAGCGTCCAGTAAATTACACGTTAACTATAAGACAAGGCATCAGTTGTGAGGTTCAAGTAAAGGGCTCGGCGGGAATGAATCATTGATTCGGCCATTGTAGCTTAGTTAAATTTATAATCTGGCAGATAGCTAGACACCCGTCCAATAAAATCGTGTTTCCTTATTCCTCGGCATTTGTGTATTAGAATATGAAGTAGGCAACTCCTGCGATGTAATACCGACAATTGTAACATCTTTCTAGTCTAGTTCACTTGCAGATGAAGAAATAATTAACGCGTAATATTCACGTAATGTTCGGTTTTGCAATATGAAACGAAATATTGTTTACTTTGTAACCTATTAAACGGCGGGTAATTTTAATATTGGAAAACCGTTTGAACTACTTTTATAGTTAAATATAATATAGTCATAAATGGGCGTGGTTAGTGTGACAAGTAAAGAGATATACCTATTTTTTTTAATGTGGTTAGGTACTCAGACAGTTTCCAATGTGATATGAATGACGCATCGTCGTAGTTTTCCGCGTTACATAGTAGTAAGGTGCGTAAGCAGGTACGCGGCATACGTGCGGTTAGTGTTTGATCACACTGCCACGAGGACGGGATGAGTAACGCGGCCCATATGACCCGCCAACCATAAAGCTGTTAAGCAATCAGGAATTATATTTTAACCCATCTCCATTATAATATGTAGTTATGACGACACATCATTTATTATTCATCTGATACCATGGAACTTTTGGTAATGAGTCTTGTATATTTTGTAAACAAAAGGTATGACAATAGAAAAACACTTGTTTAAATGTTTAGTGTGCAGAGTCTGAAACAAAAGGTGGTCCCAGACCTTCTAAGGTTAATGACCCTTGTTGGATTACAAGCCTACTTACTGTGATAAGTTGATAGAACATGTATACACATTGTGAATAGGAAGTCATTATGAAAACATGTACACACATTATTATAGGCAACTGAAATAATAGGCAATCTCCAATTAGATTTTTGTTGGGGGGTAATTGATTAAAATTTCATCCTTTTTTCATTGAATAATGGCAAAAATATCATTTTATTTTTGTATAATCTTAATTAGGTTTATTGATTACAAAAACAATTTATAACAAAAACCTTAATCGCAGGAACAATTGTAATTCTGTTATTAAAAAGGGGGACAGGACTTAGTACCTTTACTTATTATACGAATTTGACAAAATAAAAGAATAGGGGGGAAAAGGGTTTTGTGAATTAAATGATAACATTGACTAGTATATCCGAGAAAAGCAAAATGAATGCAAAACCATGCAAGTTCTATAGTTCACCATGATGCAAAAATTTTAATAATATTTTGGAATGTAGGTAGGTTAGTTATTAATTTTGAGAATTAACTGTCATACAAATAAATTAATGAATTCGAAACTACTGTATGTATATCAGCTGTTGTTTAAAAAATAAGTGTTCATACTTTAGGGATTGTTTGAAGGACCAATTGGATACTGATTCTTATAAGGAGGCTACCTATAAGTATATCCCTTCATTGCAATTTTATATGGTAGGTAGGTAGGTCCAAATAATTTAGACCAAAACTGATTTTAAGTATATATACAACCTCAACATAAACTATATTATTTTTACCAATTTGATCACCATGTTCTTATAAGAAGAATATTAAGAATAAATGTATCATATTGTTTATGATGCTTATAGTTAGTTTAAGCACAGCAAATAAGGTAGATCTAAAAAATTCATAAAACATGTTGTGGGCTAATTCCAATGTACCAACTAAATTCAATTCCAACTAAGAATAGTATTCTTGTTAGGATATACTTTACATCAATAAGAGAATCAGAATATTCCTCTTGAATTTTAATCTGAACAATATATATTTTAGTATGGTAGGCAGTTGCATAACATACACATAGTATAAACAAATATTAAACCATTTCTTTCCCTATATCTCCTTATCACTATGATTCAACATTGCAGTCACAGCTCTGATTGCCTTATCTAAGTGGTTCTAGCAATCTAAAATACAGGCCTAACTCAGGAACCTGTACTCTTTCAGCTACGATAGCAAATAGTACTCACTTTTCACTCAAATATTGAGTTGTCCAGTAGAGAACTTCGCCGGGTAGTTCCGATTCAGTAATGGTATACCCTGCGATATGCACGGGTAACTGGTCCTCCGGATTCACAGTAGACGCAAAGTTTTCAAAAAACACTCGGTACGACGTCAAATAATCTTCTTTTTCACCCATTTTCGTTATTTCGTTCGAATTTTTAAAATAAACTAAATAATATCGGTTCAATAATCGATCAACAAACACTAAACTTGTAAATGATTACAAGCTAAATTGGAGCAAAGTCGGAGCCTTCCTATGAAATATAACTATTTAGTAAATATGAAACACTCTTTCACTACAGGAAAATTTGTCACCACATTATAGAAATAAATTATTTCAATATTTGCACTAATCTCAACAATATTTCGTGTTCAAAACATAGAAATCATCACATCTCGTTCATACTTCTACTCTTGTTGTCACATCCCATTTACAATACTAAATAAATTATCTGTTCCAACAAAAAAATCCACACCCGATAACATTCGAAACATACGATTTCGTATACATAATGGAAAGTATGTTTTTTTATATTGTTTATAAACGGTAATTTATATTTAGAAAAAAAAATATGACTGAATTATTTTACTTTTGTTAATGATTTATGATATATTAAAGAAATATTGTGAAATACAATCAAATAAAAACATTGTTGGAACCAATTTCAGAACGATGTTTTATCGACATGACTGTCACTGTCAGTGATTGCACTGATAGTGTTGCAAACACGATGTCTTGAATTGAATCTAGATTCTAACAACACCGTGACTGCAGGAATATCCGAATGGGAAACATATTTCCATTTTCACGATCAATATAGTATAGGCAGTATCATTATTCAAAATACATTTGAAAAGAACTAAGATTCAGGTAGTGAAATTAGAGTAAACAGTCTGTTTTTAATTAAATATGAGTTTTGAAAACCGATGGTTTCTGATAAGCTTCCTAGTTTTAGCACGAAATTTTTGATTTGCCTAAAAATGCCAATATTATTAGCTGGTGCTCAGTTTATTTCACCAAGAAACAAAAAAGTTTTTTTTCTATAAATATTAACTATGCGTAGGTATTGCTTTATTAAGATACAACTTATTATCAGTAAAATTTTTATCTGAGAACCTAAAAACTAATATTAATATTTTTTTGCACAGAAAACTTATGTTTTTCGGAACAAGTTAGTTGCTTATCATATTTTTTTGGTTTTGATAACGATAATTATTTAATTTTGAGTTAACGACAAAACAAAAAACTGTTATGTAATTTTAAGGTCACGGTGTTATCGACAGATTCTTGTGTAAGGCACGTAGCTTCACTTACTTCGTAAGTCATGATGACAGTTGTTTAGGTTTTAGTCTTTTGTACTGACAGTTGACAATGCTAAAGCGGATAAAGTAAATTTTCAAACTTCCCAAAAATAATTTAATTCCTGGTGTAAATATATTCCGCTCATTCCACAGTGTAACTTCGAACGTACAGGTACAGTCTATTCGCATTATTATTTTACCATCGCAATTAGATGTATTCTTCTCGTTTGCATCATTGTTTCATTGTTCTTATCAAAAATGCATTATCAACTATTATACCTAGCTATTTTCAACGTACGTGATTGATAAATTAGTTTGATAAGATAAAAATGTTAATTAACTCAGATTTTTCTAATCTTTTTAGGATCTCAGACGCTTGTTGGCAAGGGTAGACTTGAGTAAGTAAACCACTATGATTGCCGGAAAATATCAACATTACAAGAATGAAGACATTGACGACTATTTCAGTGCCGTCGGTACGTGTTTTATAATTTGATTTTGCTAAAACATTACGAAAAAAATTTTTGGCTCCAGCTGTCCACCATCTGTGCAACAAAACATGCTATTGTTTGTCATACATTACAGAAATAGACATGTTATATTCTATATCCATTAATAAATATTGTTATTGTAACAGGTGTACCTTATATGGGCCGCAAAATGATGTCAATGTCGTCACCAATGATGGAGATATCAGTGGATGGTGATCAAATGACAATCAAAAATGTATCCTTGATGCGCACAGTGGAAAACAAGTTCAAACTGGGAGAGGAGTACATTGAGAACATGCCTAATGCTAAAATAAGAGTAAGTGTTATTTTGTGTGGAAAATGAATTGAAATAAAGTTAACAGTAGCTAGCTATAGTGAGGGCTTTAAAGTTGATTTACAAGTGAAATATGGTAAAATGACCAAACATATAACTTATATTTTATTACTTGCAGAGTGTCACAACAAAGGTTGATGATAAAAAAATTGAAACTAAGTCAGTTGTGGAAGATACAGGTGCTGCTTGTGGTCGCCTCTATGAGTTCACTGATGATGAGTGTGTTATTGTAAGTGAAAAAAATATATTTTTATTTTTTTATTTTTAGATACTGGTTTAGCCAAATAATAATCATTTTATAATATCCATAAACAGACCCATTTTGTGTCAGTTGATGAATCATCTGTATAAATTTATTGCCCATCAAAATATATGTATGAATGTGTGGAATTGTACATTCTTTTCAAAAAAGATATGTTAAAGTGTTTGAAAGCAAACCACTAATATTTTAACCAAAAATTTTAACTTAGGCTATGTGTGTTTTAGACGTTGACCCATGAGAAAGCTGCCACCCCTGCAAAACGTTACTTCCGCAGAGTCAAATAGGTGAAGAATTTAATCACAAGTTTCTTTCAAAGAACAAAAAAATATTATATACTTAACATGTTATCGTAAATGATATGTGAATGCTATAAGAGAACTGATATTTTTATTACTTTTTACTTTTATATGTTATTTTAAATAAATATATTTTTTATATTGATATCTATTTTTCAACATAATTTACAATCCACTTTTTGACCTTGATATGAACTTGATATGCGTATAGTACTAATAAACCTTATCTTACATTTCGTTATTGAAATATTTCTAATTAATATAAATACAAAGTAGTAGTTCAAATACCTACAGTTTTAACTTTCAATCATCATAGGATGAAAATGATAACTTATTTAGTTATTTCTTATTATTTACCTATCTATTTGCTAGTCAGAACTCGACTTTAACTTATCAAATCTACAGTCTTTTAAAACTGTAGATTTGGTAAGTTAAAACTGTTTAAGCTAAATAAATATATTATAAGTATCCTTGATTTTGCTAAAGTTCAAAATTGAAACAATAGGGTATTACAGTCTAATTCAAAAAGTGTTTTAATTTAATCTGTTATTGATAAAATACCACAAAAAAATATAAATACATTTTTTTTATTCTAATTATTTCATAAAAACGTGTTTTAATTTTACAATTCAAATTTGGGCGCGAAAACGCCAATTCTCAGGCCGCCATGTCTGTGACGTCACGGGCATTGTAAACATTACGCTTCGCTGAAAGAAATAAACATATTTTCGAAATAAATAATGAGTTCTAGTGGCTATAGTCCTTATCATTGGTGTCTTGTGTCTGAATGTAAGAATACAAGTGTTAAAACACCGGAAAAGTTATGGATACAAGTGCCAACAGATTTAAAAATGAGAAATACGTGGTTGAAATTAGCACGAAGAGATCCAAAGTCATTGTCCACAAAAACGAAATACTATTTTTGTGAGGATCATTTCGATGTAAGTATGCAGTTTAATAGCTCATATAAACATGTGAAAATAAATTCTTGTCATTACAAAACTAATATTTTATAGGTTATGTTTTATAGTGTTTCATGTAATTTATTTCATGTTGTAGCTGGAAAATGACATGGAGAACTATACGCAATTGAAAATAATGGGCTCGGTCAAACGAATTCGCATGAGACCGAATTGTATTCCATCGAGATTCGATTGTCAGCCAGGGAGAAAACGAACCTTCACTGAAAGTGAACCTCGCGCTGCCTTTATGAAACGGCAAAGACTATCTATAATTAAGGAGATTGAAGAGACCACTATTAATGAGACATGTGATACACCATTGTCGTCGTCCAGTGGCCAAGGTGAGTTATTTTAACTGGTCTCCTATACTTACCAGTCTCTTGAATGTTGATCAATAGGAAGCTCAGACCAAAAACACAAAGTTTTGCCTAACTGGGAGAAGTAAACATCTTAGATAAAAATAGATAGCTGTATTATGTACACACATAGCTGATCAGTTTAAAAATTAAATTGGTAGAAATCATTATTAATACCATTTTATTATAATTTCAGATATTCTGACTATTGAACATAAGTGTGGTAATGATAAAGCGATCCAAGTAATACCACCACAGGAACATAAGGCAATTCAAGTTAGTCATGTGGCACACTACCGAAGTAAATTTGTACAAATTAGTACAAGAAGAAAAAATAGCACAACATCCCCTTTCAAGACAACAGTGTGCACGGCAACTTCACCATTCAAAATGAATATATCCCAAGCAAGCACAAGCAAACTATCAGCAAAAAGAAAACTGAACTTTTTTGAAGAAGAGAGTGATGACTCTTTTACACCAGCAACAGAAGGTTCTACAGTTGATTATGAGTCTTCTCCATACAAAATAAGTAGTCAATCGAAGACTACTTCTGATGGGAGTACTTCTCAAGAAGAATTTATAAAACAAAAAATTAACCTGGTAGCTACTTTAGCTAAAGTGAAAAATAAGCCAAGATCTTATATTGGAGTACCAAAGGACCTGTATTTTTTAATAGATTTGATTAAAAAACATACCAATATTTCTGAACAAAATATTATATTATGTTTAATGAGAATAAAATTAAACAGAACATTTTCTCAATTGGCTGACGATTTTGATCTATCTGTGACTCAAGCAAGCAGTCTATTTTTTAACAAGATGCCAAGAATTGTAGAGGTGCTCTCACCATTCATTCAACAATTTCCAACAAAAAGTATTAAGCAAAATCTTCCCATTGCTTTTAGACATAAATTTAATAAAGTCACTTGCATAATAGATTGCTTGGAAATTGAAATCCAAAAACCGAAAAAGGCTATGTATCAAGCACTAACCTGGTCTGAGTATAAAAAAACAAATACAATTAAATACTTGATAGCTTGTACCCCAGACGGTGTGGTAAGTTTTGTATCAAAAGGATATGCAGGAAGGATAAGCGATGTTAACATAGTTGAGAATAGCAAGTTCTTAGACAGCTTGCCACCTAATGCTTGCATTTTAGCTGATAGAGGGTTCAAAAATATTGCACATTACTTGTCATTGAAAGGGTTTACTTTGATGAGGCCTCCTAGTGTTAGCAGTGGTTGTAAATTATCTAAAGCAGAAGCTCGGTTAACAAAACAAATAGCCAGTCTTCGTATTCATGTAGAACGGGTGATCCGAAGAGTTAGAGAGTTTGGTATGCTGAAGATGCATTCAGTCGTCAACTCTAATCTTATTGGTATGTTGGATCTTTGTATCACTACAGCTTGTGCTCTTATTAATTTACAAGATTCTTTGATCAAATAATTAATTATTAAACATTAGTGGTAATTTCATCAATACTAGTATTCAAAATGCTATATTTGAGTTTCTAACTGCAGCCAGCTGTGTACTAAATGTTATAAAAGGTATAATATTCTAACACTACCGCCTTTCCCTATATGATGGAAAAAGCATCATTTAGTAAAAAATAATTCTTATTTATTTTCTAATTCATCTGATTTATTAACAAGAAATAGACAAATATACATTTATTGCAATAACTTGTCTGTATTTATCCTAAACAGTGATACTGCATTAAAGTGTAGTATGTATGGCACAAAAAATATATAAATTTGCCTTTTTTAACAAAACAGTTACTTATTATCCTATGTATCTTATTATTATCAGTAACTAATTTTCTAAATTTAGAAAATAAGTTTAGATTTTTCTTACTTATAGGATTATTGACTGATATTTTATCTATTTACATCCGTAGTATGTACTACGGATGTAAATAGTCATTTGTAGTAGTATATATAATACTTAGAATATAGAAGATTGTATAGTAATATGATTTGATAGATGTTCAAGTAATTTGCACACTGCACATTTGTGATGATAATCAAGATGTGACAAAACTTGTAAATGTAATGTAATGTAAATATCTTGTATGTAAATTTTTTTTATGTAAATGGACAAATTTTAACTTCAAGATTGGTAATTTGTTAAATAAAACACTTTTGAATCAACATGGTTATTTTTATTACAACACATACAGCATTTAACATATAAATAAATAAAGTTGAATCCCTGTAAAGGGTCTCCCATATGGATTTTTTTAAGAATCCAACAACACACTTTTATGTAAAATTGGAAATATATTATTTTTCCAAAAAGAAACTACATTATCCAATAACTCGGTAACATAATCATGATCGTAATCAATGTTTATTATAGAGACTTCATTATCTTTTTCAAAATCACTGCTTGCTACACAAAAATAACATTTATTTCTTTTGGCACAATACATTTGTATCTGGACTTGTGCATAATATCGAGCTGTAATTACACCATCCTTATCAATATAGTTTAAATGGGTTTTTTCTGTTGACGGGCATTTTATTTCAAATGTGGTCTTATCATTAATACCGTCTGGGGAGCCAGCAATCATTGGAAATTGCTCTGAAATGTATAGACCACATATGTCTATTTTATTTCCTATAATCTTTTCAACTGTTTTTCTAACTTTATCTTCCAGTTTTTTCCCCCTCAATATGGCTGAAGTTTCAGGAATTCTTGCACCCAGTATTATGGCTATCAAAGTCCCATCCACAGTTTTACACCGACTAACTTCATAGCATTTTGATGCTGTGATCCTGCCATATCTTAGTTCGTGCCACATGCTACTTTTATCTTGGCCTCGTGTTTGTTTTTCCATGGCTGAGATATTGTTTTTATTGAAAAATATTGATATATTTTTCAGGAAATCGTCACAGTTTTCATGCCCATTATTCATCATAAGGTGGTGAAGGGATAAAATTGCATTGTGATTAAAGTCCTGCTCATGTCTCAAGAACTGGCATGTTTTAATTTTTCTTTTTTTACAAACTTGCACAAATTCCTTTAACACACTATTATCCGGGATGATGTTCCTCACCTTTCTCTTGGAAATTTCACTTGCTGTGAGTACTTTTATAGAAGATCCTACTTTAGCAAGATTTGATTTACGCCAGTAACATTCCACTGAAGTACATGATGGATCTTCAGTTCGACGATGTAACCACATTAAAAATGCGACACCGTGCTTGCAGCCACCTTCGGATGCGGGGCAGTCATGGCACTGAACACTGGTTACACTCTCTTCTGCTTCGTTAACAACAACACTCACTGCATATGGTTTAGAGCGCACTTTGTGTTCAGGGCATATAGTGCACTTGACAATGCAAGTATTTTGATCCCTCTTGAGTTGCACGTAGCCAACGGCGTCATCTCCGTAAGATTCTCTACCAGATCTGAAAGGAAATTTTAGGTTATAATACCTATGATCGCAAAATAAAGCATAATCGTAAAGTTTTGTTGTTATTAAAGGAAAGTTTGTAGTAGGTATATTAATACTTACATAGATGTTTTGACATTTCTTAATTCCGCAGAACAGAAGTCGGGATTGCAAGCGAAGAATTTCGCCACCATCAATGTATTTATTCGTGGAAGATTAGTACTTTCTGCTTTTACAAAGCCGTCTTCCATGGTCAATATATATAGTATAGGTGCAGAATATCAAGAAACGTGATAGTAATAACTGAGAAACTTCGTTAATCTAATAAATTACACAGTAGACATGTACAACAAAAACCGAGGTTGTTTATTTACAAGTCCAGTGACGTCACAGCGAATGAAAACATGGCGTACAGCGTTTTTGACATTCGAAGCACAGATAAAAAAACTTGTATTTTCAAATTGAAATATTTAATTTATTTTGCAGTTTTATGAATAGAAATTAATATTTTTCGTTTGTTTTTTCATAAATGAACTATAAAAACATAAATTTAGATTTTATTTTTCATAGTGCGTAATACCCTATTGACATCAGTAAAAAAAAATCATTTCTTATTTCTGTTTGACCATTGTAAAATATAAATATCCATATTTTCAACTTACATTACATACGTTGATTACATTAAATTTAATTCATGGATTACACTTTACATTTGATGTTTTAAAGCCAAAATGCCGGGTATTGGATTATAAAATTTGACATCTGTCCGGTTCCGTGCTGCCATCTGACGTCTGAACCTGTACAACTTTTTCATTTGACAGGTAGTAAATGCGACCAATGTAAATTGTCTTGTCACAATGTTTCCTTCTCTTTCTAACTCGTAGGAAAATCCATATCTTTTTCCGTTTCGAAGTGTCTTCAGAAATTATTATAGTTTTATTCTTTCTTTCGTACGGTTTCGATTGATTTGATTTTATTATTTTGAAGGTGCGTTGAAGTTTTACATTCTAGCGAATCACCCATTGTTTCTGCTGTGATATCAACAGAAAGATTAAACTGTTAAAATGCCAGAGAATACAATTGCCCAAAACCAGGTAAGTGAAAAAAGCTAATGTCTATTGAAAAGTAATTAAAACAGCAACGTAAAACTTCTTTACTGACTAAAAACAAGATATCTGTCTTCACTGACTGAAAACAAGATATCTGTCCGTTATGCACTAAAAATTTATTTGTAAATATTTTAAAATCATATTATAATTGTCGGACTTGTGTTCAAAGGCTTTTGTACCATATATAAAAAACTGCAAAATAGTAAAGTTTGTTGCCCCCTACTGGAAATTTTATTATGTTAATGGTGAACTTACTACCTACATTAATTATTACAATATGAAACCAACACATATGATTTTTTTCTTCAGGAGCAGCAAGTGAAGAAATTAAAAAGGTTCTTGGAAGGTTGGCGTATGGCTGTTCTTCCACTAAAGTCCATTATGTTGTGGGAACAACAATGGCATCCTTGTGCCATAGTTGGTTCTGTTTCTTTTGTATACTTTCTCATTTGGCTAATGGACCTTAATTCTCTTGCAACATTTGCTGTAGTTGGCTTATTCCTGAATTTTGTGGACTTTATAGTACCAGTGATCTGTAATTCACTTTACGGAGCAAATTCTTGGACGGGACAACATGAGAAAATGTATGAAGATATTTGCAAAAGCATTGTAGCAAACTACAATAAAGGCTTGCACAATATTCAACAATTTTATTCATTGAGAGAAAGCAGCCCTTGCATGGTAAGATTTACTTTTGAATTCCATCATATTACATGACAAGATCTCAAATTTTAAATTTAGTGTTAAGGAAATTAATTCAATTTCTTATTACAAGTCTTTTGTGTAAACTACAAGTATAGAATTGCAGATAGGTGTTAAGTTTTTTTTTTATGTTTCAGTACTACATACTGTCTATCAGCTTGCTGGTGACATTTGCATGGGTGGCATCTTCCATAAACAACATTTTCCTGTTATACATACTGTCTACTGCATTTTTGCTGTGGCCAGGCGTCCGGAACAAAGGAATCTTTAATATGCTCTTATCCATGGTCAACATGGCACCAAAATCAATTAAATCTGAATAAAATTTGGCATTATTATTAGTTTTGCTGTATGAAGTGTGTGCCTTTACCCAAGTAGAATAGTAGCAGCAGGAGTGATATGACAAGCACAATTGTTTTCCAAGTAAAGAAAAAAATATGAATTACACAATTTTAAAAGAATTATCTATGAGATAAATTTTGTACACAAGCAGATTGCACATATTTCTGCAAATGAGTGCACCAAGAATATATAATTCTATTTGTACAAATATGTAATGTGCTTTAAGATTTTAAAGATTGAAGCTGTGGTTGCTCATATCTCTGGTGCTACTCTTTTACGAGGGTGATGCACTCTTATTGAGTAGCTTTTAATGTTTAATGTGATTGGTCTGGTCATAAGTTTTAAGTTAAGCTTAGCTTATAGTGAGCTTTAAATTACTGTGTATGTGTGATATTATACTTTATGAAAATAAACAGCCAAAGCCTGACTTTTATTTTATTTGAACTTTTTATGTCAGTTTCATGGGTAATATTAAAATATTCAACCACAAATATTTATTTATTTACTTATATGGATATACCTTGTTCAACGTAAGGTTTGTCTTAGGAAAAGGAGTATGTACTGTGTACTCTCCATGTTTTATTTTTGTTTGGATGTAAGTCCTTTCGTCAAATAAATCAGAAGTCAAAGTACCATTGACGCAGCAGGCCTTTATATTTTTTCTGCTAAAATCAGTTCAGGCTCAAATAAGTCCTCGTTATTCACTCTGAGCATGTGAGAGATATAATTTAGACCATTTAAACATAATCTACCAATAAAGGATTTTACGCTACTATCTTCTAGCTGCAGCTCATAATAATCTATGTGACAATTTACATCACAATCAATTCAGAAATTTAAGCTGGTAAATTTAAGCTAATAGAAATTCTATAGTACCAATGATGACATCAATTGGCACTTAAAGACAGAAAACTGAAAACTATCAGTATAAAGAAAATAATTTTATTTCCAAGGACATGTGGGTACCTGAGAAAACTGAGATCCATTTATTGATTTAATGGAGTATAAAGCAAGCGTTAACTAAATATAGCCTATTCAGTGGTGGTGTGATAACAATTTTATAACCATTTTTATGATTCCTCATTATTTCTGCCTTTGTCGGCTATAAGCCGTCGTCGTATTTATTACGAACTTAACTTTTCTTGAGAATGTAAGAACGATATTTTTTCGAAATGGGTAGGTATGGTTAGTCATAAATTAAAAACTTGTTTAATCAATTATTTTATTTATTGATGTAAATTCTTATCTATAATAATACATTCAATATATCAATATCTTAACATGTTTAGAAAATTTTATTTATTATTTTGCGCACAATCAAGCGAGCTGGTAATGCAAGAAGCAATATAACATAATAATTTATTGATTCACTACACTGCTTTTGATTCAGTCATTATTATATCTATGAACACAACATTGATACAATTACATTTAATTGAAACTTCAGCATAATATACAAATAACTAATTTACATGACGGTAAAGTATAATCGCAAAGCATTAATTTTATTTTATTTTTAATGAATGTGCAGTTTAAGCTCACAAGAAAATATCATTAAAATGATCACAGTAATGAGTAAAAAAATATAAGTTAACTCGAAAAACACTACTAAGTTAATTAACGGCAAAAGGAAATGTACCTATGTATTGTTCTAGGCCGCGAGATTGATTTGATAATACTACACTGAATGCATTAAACTACTGAAATTAAAACGTTGGATCGCCACACAGATGATGCTTCTATAGGGTAAATGTATTCCAAACTTGGGCAACTCTGGTGGTCATTCTACATAATTATTTCCTAAAGCATAAACTCAAGTATATGAGAGTTGTACTACTACAGTTATGTCTCTGACACGGTGAAGCCTGGTTTCACGTTACTTTTTTTAGCCTTCGTAACCGACGGCAAACCTTGTTCGTTAGCAACCAAATTATTTGTATTGTCAGTAGAAGTGCTTGGCCTTAGCAGATCGTCTGTGACTAAAGTCGTTTTGAACCTACTGCCTGAGACAGTCGCTTGGGAACTTACATTACTCTTTTGTGCACTACTGTCGCTGTACCTTCTACTTCCATTGTTTAGAATTTCATTCTTCTTAATCTTGTTCTTTCCGTCTTTGCTTTGCAAATTAAGCGAGTCTATGTTGGTAACAAACTGCGTGTTTTCTTTAGAAAACTTTGGTTTAACTTCGTTATCTAAGTTGTAATTTTTACTACTCGATGGCATGTCTTTGTAGAAACATTCTTTAGTTTGCTGTAAGCTTAGCCCGAAGAACTCAGTGGAGCATTTACTAGTGGACGGCTGACTGTTGTCCAATCGGAGGGAACTGGCTGCGGCGTAGGTCTGGGGACTCAGGTCGTTCTTAATCATCTTGACTGGCGACCCGCACCAGTCTACTGAAAGGGTCCCTTCGTCGTCTTCACCTTCCGTACTCTGCAGTTAATAGAAAAAGTAATTATTGAATATAAATACGTATAATAGATTAGCGACTTTACTTTTCAGTTTTGTATAGAGGATCAATAAAGAGTAGTGATCAAGTAGGTTGAATGACGTACCAGTAGTTCGTGGTCTGTAATGGAGCCGGCGGTAGCCTCGTTGCTATTAAAATCCAGCTCGGAGGCGATAGACACCGGCGTCACGTCACCGCTAATAGATGAACCTGTAACATTACGCCCAATACAAAAACAATAATTATTTAAACTACAATGGCAATAACAACTATACTGACCAGCCATGTTCTTTTAAACACTTATAGCTCTTTACCCTGTTTAATTCCTTTTATAACTATGCCAGCCGTCGTGGAAGCTTTTTTTCTACAAAATAGGTAGGTACGCTGCTTAGAATGTATGTAACTATATATTGAGTTCAGAAAATTATAACACATCCTTAAAGCCTGTAAGCCAGCAACAGATTTTGTTGACCAATTAACTCCGTCGATAATTTGTAAAAATGAAGCGATGTGAAGGTGAATTGTAGCAACCGAAATATGTATTATTTTTTTAGTCATTTATACCACATAAACTAAGTTAGTATAATACTTTGAAAAACCGAAAAGGTCAGCTGGTTTTTACACATCTAAAAATAATATACCATGATTCTATAGTGGTGGATAGCGTGGACGAACGAACATGCAAAAAATTTTAGAAGTCGAAGATTTTATAACTTCGCTTAAATGTATTATTGGTGACGAGTTTTAACACATGTCCTACTGTTTTTGTGAGGACAAAATCATGAAATGACTTCTTTCGCCCAGGGGTGAAAGGGAGTGTCTGACTAACCCCCTCATTTCTTCTCCTGCTCTAGGCCGAGGCTGCGGAGCCTTATTGCGCTTGTCCCGCAGCCCCGGCAGAACATGACACACTGCCAGTTACATTTTTACTTGCAGTGTGTCCGTTTGTAACGATTTTAAGAATAAATAGACCAAAAATATAAATCGTGTGTGACAGGTAGGTTGAAACTGTCGCTACAGAGCTGCTATCTTCCGGGGAACATTTCAGAAAACCGTCATTGTAAATTATCGGAAAGGAATGAATATAGTGGAAATTGTTTATAATTAACATTCAATGCTAATATAAACTCTTTTATTGTAGTTCACATCAGATTCAATCGATTATTTTGTGACTGACTGACAACTATTTGTTGTGGCTTACTGGCTATAAGATGTTTCCTACATTAAGCATTTAGTTCTTTGTTAAAATTAGTTTCATTTCTATAAACTTAGAACAGGCATCAGTAAAAAATTTAGTTATAAGTTAGTTTTCGGGTGGTTCTGCCTAAAATAGTTTGTTATTCGTCATACACGTATAAAGCCATCTTCTAAATAGTTGGTATAGTTACTTTTTTTTTAATTATCACCTACTATATCATACAGAAGTATCTCACAATATATTATTACCATATAAGCTTGACATACATACTTAAATATCAATATATTATCACACAGAAAGTTCATGCAAATTGGATATTTTGTTAGTCATACTCTTCTGAGCATATAATATTTCTAAGCTATCATTCTCAAGAAAAATAACCTTTGGCAGCAGAGAGTGCAGCGCATGCATGCATTTATAAACATGCAACGATGAACCACAAATGTTATATTTATATTAATGGAGTATATTCGTTGCAAGCGACGATTTTGTGCAACGTTTGTATTGTATTTATATATCAGAAGATCAAGTTGGCAACATTAAACATTTGTCAACGACAGCTAAAAGCGCACGGCAGGCTTGTTTACACGTCTTTATACTGTTTGTACAAATTAGGTTTACAAAACGGTGTAAGGTGTAACTAGCGCACACAGTGGCCGGTCGTTACTGGGTGGGTCTGAGCTAAAGTCGACAGAGCGTGAGGTACCTGCTACGTTGGAGTGCGGCATGAATGGGTGCAGGCTCGAGTCCAACGCGCACAAGGTCGCCGCCTCGCCCTCCCACTGAGGGAGCTTGCTCGGCACATTTTTACTCCAATTGCTACTGGAATCCATAATGTTAAGTTACCAGCCTCTGTCCGGCTGCGCCTCGCCCCCAACAATCCCGACAATGAATGATACAAGCACCGACAACATGAGCTGTGAAGTACTGTGAACTGTCGCGGCCACACGTCATAACAAAATGGTTCCGAATAGACTTCGCAAGTGGACGAAACGTTTCGCACGTTTGATCCACTCGCGGAATGTTTAACAAAGTATGACCGAGTTAGAGAACAGTTCAAGTCTCACTCTCAGGTGAGATGTAACGATAGTCCAGTAGATGATATTTAACAAATAACATAAATCAGAAAACTAACATCAAGCAACATTAGCAGACATAAGTGTTTATAATACAAATCTAGTCAAGTGAGAGCGCTGTAACCAACAGAAATTGAAGACATCTTCCAGAACACGTTAAACAAATTAAAACCAAAACACAATATTGTACAGAAGAGTCTAATGTTCGGAAAACGCATTCAAGCTGGTTAACATTTCACTAAGAATTCAGCCGAAGCCCGCGATGAGTGTTTATACCTTTCCGTGGAGGTGGTCTTATGTTCCGAGTTGGAGGCGTAGTTAGAATTAGGCGAGGAGGGGCCCGCAGACGACAAGCCGCTCGGCAGCTCTCCCGACGAGGACATCAGCGAGGACGGGCCGCTCCACCCCACACCTGCGGAGCAGAGCGTCAGTACGGGCAGGGACACAACGCGCGGCGCGGCCGGGCACTCACTGTTGGTGGGCGACGGCTGCTTGTGGGCCAGCGGCGCGGCCGGCGCGGGCGGCGTGCCCAGCACCACGGGCGCCGCCGTCACGCGCTCCAGGAAGGCGTCCAGCTGCCGCAGCGACAGCGCGTTGTGAAGCGTCTCCAGCGGCCGGATGGCCGGCACTCCGCCGAACCCCTCCACCGCGGCTGCGGGGGAAACACGGTCAGAAGTGGCCGGCGAACCGAGCGTAGCTGAGACCCGACGACACACTCACCGTTGCTGGAAGCCGCCGTGGGGATCATGACTCGGAGGTTGGGCGCAGAGCTGGACCCGGAGATGACGGCCGTGCTGAAGAGGCCGGCGGCCGACAGCTTGCCGCGGGCGCCGAGCCCCAGCATCTTGAGGTAGCTCATCTGGCCGGCGATGCTGTGCCGCTGGCGCCGCCCTGCGTCCCGCGGAGTGCTACACTGGCTGCCGTCCGCCAGACGCGGCCACGACGCCGTACGCGACCCGAACGGGATGGCGGACAGCGGGAGCTCGTTAGTAGAGGACTCGACGCCGCCCATGTTAATGAGGGGGGTTAGCGGGCTCTCGGTCGGGCTCGGGCTCGAAGCGAGAGCGGGCGGCGTCACGGTTAGCGCGGGGAGCGGGGCCGGCCGCGCGGCTGCCCCGGATGGCGGCGCGGTTAGTACGGGGTTACACGAACAGTGGGGTGACATTATGTGGAATGCGAGCGTCGTTAGTGGACAGGGCGGTGATAGAGAGAAAAATAAATTAGTGATTAATATAGATAGAATAAATAAATATATAGATATCTGTCAAAGCGTGCTCGTAGTAGCGATAGAGTTGCGACACAGAGATCGCACGTGACATTGCACTACACAAAGGGACCCCAACCAGCGCAGTAGTTTGACGATTGTTTGTTGGCCCCGGGAACGCAACGCTCGCGAGCCGCGCCTCCTACCGCGCTCACATGTGCATGTGATCGTGGGAGGACACGCGCGCCAGAACGTTGCGTTAGCATGGCAGTGACCTGCTCGGTCGCCTACACATTACATCGTATAGTGTTAGTGAGGATCAGTATCACAGCATGCAGGTGGCAAACAATAGTCAGACGAGCGCACACACGCGGGGAGCGCGAACACAACGCAAACACACACAAGATCGCCGGCCAGAGTGAGCTGAGGGCGGGCAGCGGCGCCCGGCGGGCTACAACTCAGTAATATGTCAGGTCACACACAGACACGCGGCCGTGCCATACACGACAGAGGTTTAACGCTAACACACGGACGCCACATACTAATGTTACAGCTTACAACAATTTACTCAACGACAACACAGTTTCTTACACATTATAGCACTAGCTAATGTTATACATTGTATCGATACCTTGCATGCCTCCATGCTTTCTTACCTGCAGAGATATTCCATCCATTAAGTTTTAGTACACTTTGGTAGGACGAGACATTTTAGTATAATGTACCCTATACCGGCGATAGCAAGACACACACACACATGTAACACAATATTCAGGAGCTGAGCCCAAACCACCAAAAAGTTTTTGCAACTAACATTAAATTTTGTATCCCCTACATCCTACACTACAATCTTAATAATCCCATACTTTACTAGGCTGATGAAATCTTTTGTATTTAAAAGTACCACTGAACACGTATCACAAACATGAACTAACATTTCACAAAGTATATTGTTATTTGTAGAATAAAATTTCAAACAGTCGGCCTAAGCAAATTTGGACCTAAACACGGCCTTAGTACAAAACAATGTTTTCCTTTAGATATTCTAGGTCTAAACCATTGGGCCAGTTTTTGTATTTCAAATTGTAAGTAGGTGATAATAAGATTCAAAATATAAAACCTGACTCAATGGTTTAAACCTAGACTAAAGATAAATCTCGTTTTCTAATTAGGGGGATACAGTTTAATATTGGACCACCTCATGAATAGAATAATAATAATTATGATGTTTAATTTTAATCTGAATCTTAAGTAAAATAAATGTTTAAACCCAACCCACATTAAAACTTAGGATACAATGAAAATGAAGTAAAAAATATTCAGGTCTAGGTCCAATTTCCACCCAGTCACAACTGTCCAAATCTAACCCCATTTTTTCATACGTAAGTACAAATTTGCAATGATTCAGGTTAAAGCTGTATTAATTCCCTTGTATGGACTAAGAGACTCGCAGTGGGCGTAGAGTAGAGCCCGCACTGACCTTCCCGCGGCACGTGTTGCAGACTGGTGTACCGCGCGCCCACGGCGCCCGCCAGCGCTGACTCCGATTCTGTCGCGGCACACCACATTCACTCACCACTTACACTCACATATTACTAACACTAACTTCTTTAGAGAAACCTCTAGATACTTCGAGTAAGATATCATAATTTCAGACAGAAGTCCAAATATGTCTATTTAAACCATAGCCTTTTAGAATTCCGGGTTTAACTATCCTATATGATGCTTTTTGTAACTAATTCCAAGCTTCTAACATAGACTTGTGCTTCAAGAAAAAGCCAAAAGAAAATATATCTACGCCATTTTACTGCAATCTTAATAATAATGTTCGGACATAAAATGAGATTTCGCTAAATCTACTCTATTTTTTACTGATTAATGTAGCTAGGAAATTATATAGCTACTACGGCTTCTAAAAATAATGTAAGCAATAAAAATACATTACACTCCACTAAATGTCATATCATTTTTGATATTTTTATATATAAAGTTACCCAATTATGAGACCAATTTGTTCATGGACCCCTAAATGTATAACCGCACAGATTATTAAGCAAATGGAGTAAGTAGAAGTAAGAAACGGAACTGTTACTAGATTATTAAACTCTATTAAAATGTAGGTATTCTATGTTTATATGTCAACAGCATAGTAGTAAGATTTTTTTTTATCAGTTCCAAAGAAACTTTTAAAAGCAAGGATCATTCGATTCCCTATGCACTCCATTATTTTACTTATCCGTGTAGAATTCAAAAGTTTTTATTTATATCCAACTTGTCTCTTACTAACACAGCTCCCGTCTAAGTAAAAGTTGTGTAAGCTTTACACTACGGTCACCCCTGTAGACTCGGACCAGTGGTCCACAGGCAGGAGTGGGCAATTCAAGGATGTCACAATATCCTCGTGGTGTCACAACATAGATTTATGTACAATAGTAGCCACTTTTACTGGCACACGACACTCAGGACAAACGCCCGTATTCATAGTTGTACATACTTCAAGAAAGGCACACAAAATACATCCTTTTTGTAATAGTCAAATTATTCCCTGTTCTCACAAGTCATAATTTTCAGCTTGAGTAACAGAAATGCAAATATTGTTTATAATCATCATTCCAAAGAACTGCTATATTATAATGTCTGTTTTATGTTTTACTGTCGGGAATAGTTTCGCCAGCAACCGCTAGGTGGCACTAGCACATTAGTCGATACCATTTGAAATAATTCACTAATTCATAATGCGGTTAAAGTATGATTCCCTCCAAGAAATTTGGTGGTATAGTTGACGAAGGTTTTTACAACTAAGAATACAGGCGTCAATATTAGTGGGTCGTTATTAGTCCAGCCATGCGTTGGTCCGCGTCTGCTCGCATACTTACCGTTGTCGTGGCTCTGTTTATGCTGGTCATACGAACGAGCTCGGGGAGGGGCTTCTTCCACGTCCTTAGGTTCCTTTTCATCTCCCTGATAGTACAATAAAATTATGACATGAATAAATTTTGCGTGTTTAGTTTAGTAAGTCTCGTAAGGGCCATATAACAGGTGGAAAACCTATATCTCCATATAGGAAAATCTGTGAAATTCGCATACAACTACTAGACCGGGATATGAAGTTAGAAAATGTACATTTACAATATAGGGTAATCGGCGTATTTTCCACTTTCCGGGTCAATTATTTTTTGAACGCCGGGGACGTACTTGTAACTTGATCTGGTCCTTTGTCTCGAAAAATGTAAGCTGTATGAAGGTGCAGTAAGTAACCTGTGCGTCGTCGTGAGTGGGTGCGTCCGCGTGACTGCGCGCGCGCAGCTCTGCGTTGAGGCGCGCGGCCAGCGTGGACGCCTCGTGTCCGCTCACTGTGTAGTGCAGGTTGCTGGAACGTACCATACTTATAAGTGGTTTTTTACAATTATGATATGGTAATCAAATAAGGTGTTTTAAGGAACTAAATAGGGAATGAATAAACTTGCGCAAAAAGGCAAAAAGATGGATAATAAAGAAACCAGTAAAATAAAAACTTGCATTGGTAAGTTTGAGGTGGAATTTTATTTTAAATCTAGAGATATATTGACTTGGGTGCACAGTCCCAGACCAATACGTAACGAAAAATGCCAGCTAAAAAAAGATCTGAGACAATAAAAGGAAGAACGCCAAAAATATCCTATAATAAAAAAGGAGAATGAATAAATAATTATTATCTGGAAATCATTTAAGTAACTTACCAAATGGGTATAGGATCAGAAGGCCTAATCTTTGATTTGGACAATTTCTTCGGCGAGAATGTGTTGTCAAGTTCCTCAGCGTCCTAAAACGTAATATAGTTTTATGAAATATAAATTCTAAGGTATTTAGCATTGTATCCGGTATGTGGCATTAGGCCAAAACTTATGAAAAGTGAGTAACGAATGTACAAGTCATCAACACAAGCGCACGGATAATTTTTACCAAATATTGCTTGCAGCCAAAAATATTAACTATAAGTGATAAAAAACTTTTCAGAGTTAATTCAAGTACAAACACACATTTGAAATTGTAAATAAAAGACATTCTTTGTTTAACTCAAGTATGGTCAAGCTCTAATTGTTGACAAATGCGAAAGTTACGATGTTTGGATGTTTGTTACTCAATCACGCCAAAACGGATGGATGGATCTGGATGAAATTTTGCACAGGCATAGGATACACTCCAGAATAGGACATAGAATTATTATTATAAACATACCACGCGGGCGAAGCCGCAAGCGGATGCAATATTTTATATGAGCACTATACGACCCTTAACTTTTAAATGTTTTGTTCTTAAATTTAATTTAATTTAATTCTATAATATTCTACTCACTGGCTGCAATGTTTCTTGACTTGCCATATTGTCATCTTCGCCTTCCTCCTCGATACACTTCACCTCATCAGACGAACTCTGTACAAAACCATACCGTAACTGAAAACAGGGATAAATTGGGAGGATACTAATGGGGGTAGGATAGTCTAATATAAATAGGAATATATGCATAAACTATTAGGTACTGTAAATTTGCTTGATGGGATATATGGCTTAATTATTAATTATGGGTCCATGTGTGACTTGAAACTAGTCGAGCTTTCGGACAGTTTTCGAGAGCTAGCCGAAAACTCGACTCTTCAATATAGTATGGTAAATTTTGCCAAATACTATTAATCTAATTATTTAGAGATCAAGTGGACTTCATTAAAGATACACTAGTTGGCGAGTTAGTATGAATTTTCATATATAAAAATTGTCAGAGGAAGGGCTCTGTTGTTTTGGTTTTCCATTAGATAATGGTTTGTATGTATATTCATACCGAGTTATTAGTAGTGGAATGATTCCGGCTGTGTGGCCTGAAGCCAGGCCCGGGGGGCAAGTTCTTCTGTACGCAGCAGTTCACGCCCGGACTGAAGTGGAGCTCTACGTGGAACCTGGAACAAGCACACACAAACATTAAGTGTCGATAGTAAAACTTAAGCATTTATATCAATGGGTCGTTTCCTAGGTCAAAAATAAAATAGTTAGACGTTTCAACACAATAAAATATCGAAAAATAACTATATTTTTATTTATCGATCGACTGATACACTAAATTTTAGGTCTCTTCAGCACATTTTTAAGTAATAAGTACGCTATGACGCTGAAATACTATGACATATTAACTCATCATTCACTCATCGTTTTTCATACAAATTTCATAGAAACGTATCGTTTTTGACATTTGGATAAAAGTATTGAATTTGACTAGTTGGAAACTACCGTAATGTATTTAAAACAAAATTCCTCACCTCTCTTCCGAGTAAGGATCCTTGGTAGGATCCTCGTACAACATGACCACAATCTGCGACATGTAGTTTAGCTCCGACACAGTCGACACGTACTCCATTGCGCGGCGCCATTGCTCGTCTTTTATAACCTAAAAGCGAGCATTTTAATGTATTAGAGAAAATTCATTATGACATTTTTTTTAAAGGTTTCCCCACACTAGGATTTTCTCCTGTGTCGCGGGTACATTTACAAACAAACACATCACACCCAGACCCGAAAGAACAATTTGTGGAAGTGGTGAAAGTGAAGTGGACAAAATGTTGTCCCGTGCGGGAATCGAACCTGCGATTGACCCACGTTGCACTTGCACGGCAACCAGTTGCCCATTCCACCGCACCAACAGTGCATTCAAAAAAGTTGAAAATTTCAGACATGTCACTATTAATATAAATACGAATTGTTATGTTAATAAATAGAATTATGAAAGTACTAAAAGTTGGTCGAGTCTTAAACTTACATCGAGCAGTCCCCCGAACCGCAGTACAGTGAGCAGTGAGTGCACGTGACTCTCACTCGTGAAGTACAGGCGCGTGCGCACGTGACGCCCGGGGGACGACACGCCGTGGCTGTATCTACGGGGAACCATCGGGAATATCAGTTTTATATAGCGAATTTTATTCCGCGAAGGAATTGGAAGAGGAATATATATCAAATGTACCACCCAATTTTTATAATGAGTCGCATTTTGGAATTAAATGATGATGAGAACGGTGCCTGACACCATTTAATTGTTTCATTTGTAATTGTTCCACAAAGTCATTACCAAGAAATTGCTTAAATAATAATTAAGCCCTTTGACGAGGCGTCGACATAAAAATAAAGTTTTGGTTATGGCGTTATATCTTAGTGGCTAATATCACCCACTTTTTGTCTGTCGTCGACAGCCTATAGTGGCGCTCTAAAGTTAAAAACCCTCGATTATATTTGACCGGACCTGATAAAGGATTCTGTGAACCATCTTACTCACCTGACCAATAGCATGGTATCATATAATTATAAAATAGTTTGATTTCATCGGTAGTTATGATTTTGATTGTTGTTAGAATATGAAACACATATAAAATAGTTAGTATTGTTTAATGAAGTACCTGGGATTTAACCTATTCACTGTTTCTTCCCCTGACTCCTCAATGTTCCGCTGCAGGTCAGCTCTGATCTTCTTTAGAAGTGGCGTGCAAATACCTTGGCCAATTGTTAGCTTTTCCTGCATTGTAAGTCCGTATTCCTACAACACAAATTCGGAGTTAAGAATTTTGTGGTACGATAAAAAAATGTGTCAATATTCACTGAATAGCTTATTCGCTCCTCAGGACTTTTCATCCTAATAAAAAAATATTACAAAACCATGTGATACAAATCTAAATATTCCCAGATTTTTTTAAATATTACTATTTATTGGAAATTTCGAAAAATATTAATCTAAACCTTTGTAAAGGCAGGTTGCAAGTTTAGTATAGACCAACCTCACGAGTCAAAATAATATTTGATTTTATCCTCTTACCTGAGGTATTACAATATCAGCCAAGTACTTGGCATAAATGTAAAGTTCCTCCGCCAAGTCGAACTGCAACGTATGCTGGTTGTGTTGCAGATCATACTTGATGCAGTCGTAGATATCCGGGATCTTCGATATGTCATAAGTCTTGTTCTTCGTGCAGAAATCCTTCTCTATTTTACCCCATCGGCGACCCATTAGCTCCCACGTCTCACCATGGTATAATATCGTGTCTGGAAAAAATAGAGAATCTTTGGTGAAGATTTGGTATAAAAAAAGCAAGTGGAGGTATAAAAAAATACTAAAACCGTCATGTCATTTAATAATGTACAAGAAACAATTGAGTGAATCGTTCCCAGCTGTTTTGCATTCCTTAGATGGCGCCACTAGAAAGTTTGATCCTATCAATACAATATACATCCTTAAAAACGTGAATTAACATGAGCAGTTATTACCAATCTTTTCAGTATTGTTTGATTTTATCCATAGTTTCAGGGTTCTTTTATGATATTTCTAAGTCAATATTAATAGGTCACTACAATTAACTTTACCTTTAGTCTTAGGGTCATCCTTCTTAGTGAGTACAATGTGTACAAGTTGCTGTATGAGCGTGTGTACATGTGCACAGCACCGCACCGGGTTCTTGACGAACTCCATGGCGGCACTGATGCTCACAGACTCGCACGGGTTGATGCGCCACCGGTCCTCTTCGGTGAAGTCACGGTCTACCTGCATCGCCTCGTGCAAACGAGCTTTTGCCCTGTAATGGTAATATGTGGCATAAATATACCAGAAGAAATATACGAGAAAAGATCATTAAATCTTTTTAAGACAATTTAAACGGTAACTTTCAATGGCCTTTCTGGTGTACTACTGAATGTATACATATATTTGCTGAGGTTTACAGCGCCATCCGCCGGTGACTGGACAACTGACTGTTGTCGTGTCATACTGCGGGTTAGATTCTGAACGAAACAAATTTTTGTGTGATCCACAAACTGTTTCGAAACTGGGTGTGGTGCATATGTGCCATTGTATATTTTTAAATGAATCGATGACACAGGAGAAATTTCTAATGTAAGGTGATGTCTTTAAAGTCTTATTACTTATTCTTATAACCTAATCAATGAACACTTTGCTATGTGATATTTACTATAAGGTGTGCACTGCAGCTATTTTTTATTTATAAACATTATACCTAATTCTAATTCTTTAGGTATACTCACATATTCTGAACTTTAGAGGAATCACAGTCGTTGTCGAGCAATCCATTTGTGTTAGCAGATTTGACCATTTGTACTAGAATTGGAGTTAGTTCCCCTTCTAAAGCGAGCAGGCCTTTAGCGAAGGCAGCGGCCGTCATCTGCACGCGTCCCTCGTCTGATGCATATATCTTCAGGTCGTGGCGGAAGGTGGAATGGAGGCGGAGTAACCCAAGACCTTGGGTACCACCTTCACCTAAAGATAAGTCAATTTAAAGGGGACATTTTTGTAATGACTCAAGCTTCAAGTTGAAGTTTTTTGTCAAATTCGAAATGTACACATTGTATCATTGAGTGTGGTGGAGTCATTCATTCAGTGTGACAGAGCCATGCTTCTGCACGAATGGGTCGGCTCGACCGGAGCGATACCACGGCCTCACAGAAAAACGGCGTGAAACAACTACAGCGTTGTGTTTCGCCGTATGAGTGAGGTTACCAGAAGCCCAATCCTTCCCCTTCAACAATCCCTCCCCAGTCCCTATAAATCTCCAAATCTCTCATCCCTAAAAGGTCGGCAACGCACTCGTAACTCCTCCGTTGCGGGTGTCCATGGGCGGCGCTGATTGCTTACCATCAGGTAATCCGTCTGTTCGTTTGCCGACCTATTACATAAAAAAAAACTGGTCAATTTCTTATAGCCAGTGCTTAAAACCGTAACCCCCACTCGTCTCGGCGGTGACTGCTTAGAATCAGGCAATCCATATACTAGTTTACCTCCATATTCCATAAAAAATTAGCACGTCTATACGTCGGGCGTCGAGCGTGCGTCTTTTTATACACCATTATTAAAAAATAGGCACCAACAATACAGCCATCAAAATAAAACAAAATATCAGGTTTGGATAGTCTGTGTGGTACATACCGGGTATATGTCGGCCCTGCCCCCCGGGGTACATGCAGCGGAACATGCGGCCGAGCTCTTCAGCCTGGATGCGTCCCGCCGGCGTCAGCTCCCCGCCCCACTTCAGGATCAACACAAGCGATGGCTCCCCACCACCTCCTACTATACAATTTCACCATTTTAGTATTTAGAACAATATCTTTAGTATAACATAATAGTAAAGGATTCCTAAGTGTCGTTCAATATTAAGTTTTGTTGTACAGGGTGTTCCTAAAAGATAGCAAGGTCTTTTCCGACCTCTTTTGCCATTAAGTTTGTCTCTACTTCCAAGGACGCCCTGTATAAACAGAGTCATCACTTTTTTTATGACTAAACTCATACTCAAATTAAATATGCTGCCTTGCGGATATATTTAATTTGAGTATGAGTTTAGTCACTTTTATGACGCAGAGTCATCACTTTTTTATGACGAAACTCATACTTAAATTAAATATAACATATAACGTGTTACAAGGTGAGCAACAGTGTAGCATATTACTAAGGCATCTTTATAATCGAAGTGGGGGTGTATCAGTGCCAGTGCACAAAATGTGTAACATTTTATATCCAAATGATTTTTCTATCACTATAAATATGACATCACATTGTAACCCACAATATGCCCCCTTTTTAAACGGAACCTTTATATTTCCACCTTTAAACTAAAACCTCTTCCCTCACAGGGAAAGTACCTATAATATAATCTGAACGTTAATCTCTTCAATAACCTATAACAAATTGATGACTACAAGTTGTACAACAAATTAATCCCAAAACTACGCAAAGCATTAATAGCCTTTGCAAGTTTATGAGTACATCCGAAAGCCATGCTAATTGTTACTGCTTTACAAACAGCTATGAGTAAACAGAATGCCTAGTGCGGATTGGACCGTTTATGAAATTCGGCGCTCTGATTGGCCAGCTCAAAGTTAACGAACCAATCAGAGTGGTAAACGCGGCAATGTTTCAACGGCGGCAACGTAAAACAAACTCGCACTGGGCACTCAGGACAAAGCTAATACGTTTCGGTAACCATGTTATCAACAAGGTCGAGGCAAACACGCGTTATTGTTAGATTATCTTCAAGTAAACAATATAATCGAAGCTGTTATGTCAACTATGTGATGTCATTTGTATTATGAATACACGCGTAATGAAAACTGAGCGTAATAATATAGACCCAGCTCCCAATTTCCTTTTACAAAAAAAGAATGAGATAACGTAATCACAATTTTTAAAAGCAATCAGCCATAATCGGTCTCATAAAGGTTTCCGACAGAAAACAGTCTAGTACGGCTTTATTTTTTTTTACTTTATTCTTGTTATATTATTTCTATGGGGTTATTATCGTTAGCTTACTTCTCTCGTCGTTCGAGGCGGAAAATGAGTTGGTTTTAGTCTTACTGACTAAAAAACATCCCATTCGTTCTGCTGCATAACGATAAACCAAAAATCTATTCAACTTTCTTATTACGAGAAGTATGGGCACTGATATCAAAGTTCTATCAATTTGCAAACTAAGCTCAACACTAAGATTTGACGATTGTCTTGTGGTTTACGATTGTCCCATGCTAATAGTACCCTATTAGCATGGGACAATCGTTCAACAATACTCTGCGATATCAACTCGTTACTATTATCGATATTTACAAAAATGTTAGTTAATTTAGAAAGCTAATGTAACTGTTGTCAGCATCTATGCATAATTCTCAATGGGGCAACACTCCAAACCAAACTGTTCACTAGTGTTATCTAGGTTTACTTAAGCTGATAATTATAAATACAAAACTGTACTATGCATTGCGATAATTATTTAAAAAAATGTTTTATGTAGTAAAAAATTGTTTTCTAACCTCACTTTTCAACTTTCGCGTTGTATGTTAAACATAATACTCTGCTTGCGACCACGCCCTGTGCAACCAGGTCGAAACGTCAAAAATTCCAAGATAAAAATTTAAAAATATTTTTCGCTTTAATACCCGCCTCCTTATATTATGTTTTGTAACCTTTTTATATGTGGGAAAAATAACAAATTGAGAAATTGTCTCAGTCAAAAGTAACTTATTACGACGTTATAATTGAATAAGTTAGCAAACATATTATGACTTCATAAGTTGAGCTTTCACATAAGCCTCATAGAAAAGTATTGAATTTTGATGTTGGATATTTGTATTTTGTAAGTATTGAATTTGAATAATTGAAAACTATCGTATTGTAGTTGATTGTTAATATATAAGTATTGTTAAAGGTATATCGCAATGCATAGCACAGTAAAGCAGTGTATAGTGCATGAAGCGGACCGTGATGCGGCGGCGCGTTACCGTCGTCCGAGCTGGAGCCGCGCGGCCGGCCGCGGGGCTGGTACTTCATCTGCACCTTGCGGTTGATGCCTGAGAAGTGACCGTACCTGGGAACAAATACATATTTTAAAAATAGTATAACTTATAAAAGGGTGTGAAACATCCATGTAAAGTATACTTGTTCTCGTGTTAGATTCGAAATTGGTAATAAAGTAATAATAGTAATAAAATTTATTGAAAAAATTTTAATCTAGAATACTTATACATATATACAAGTTCATAATATTGGGTGCCCGAACTAAGACAACCTGTGTTTCAGGTAGTGAGCGTCAAATTCAGGGAGGCGCCAAGATCCGAAGTTGGATTCGTCTGCCTCGCCTGGTACGAACTAAACGATATTGTTAGAAGCAATCTCTTTTCTTGTATTCTTTTTTACATTATATTTTTTGTAGGTCCAATTTTTAACAAAACTATTTTATGATATTTTTTAAGTTCGCGATGTTAGCTCAAGGTAGAGGAAATTCTTATTACAAGTTACTTAAGTGGGCGCCACAATATTTTCGCCTGAGGTATCAGTGGCCTTTATTACGCCGGCGTTGATAACGACGAATATATACTGAAGCATTTAACGCATTACAATTTCTATAGAAACCTTACCGTTTTATACCAATGGATGTATCAACAAAAATGCCAAGATAGAAGATCAATTATCGATGATTTTCGGTTACTGAACATATGTAGTTTTAGTCATCAGCTCTGTCTGGATTACAGCTCCTTAACTTAACTTTTCTTAACGATTAAACTTACGCGCTAATTAATGATAACTTACATTTCCAGAACACTCTTGAGTTGTTCTAGTTTCCCTTGCTTCTCCTCAATTTCAGGGTCGGCGTGACGCGTCTGTATGTCCGATAGTAATGCGCGAGCTATATCCAAGATCTCTTGGAGTTGCTTCGGCTTTTTTAACTTGACATGGCCACGCTTGAAGCCGTCGTACTTCTCGAATATTTCAAAGAACCTGCGAATGATTATGAGCTTGCTTTTATTTCAAAAATATAAGTATATTGTTGGTTATAATTGGTGTTACTGATGTTAAATTGAAATATTTGTAGGTAAGAGTGCTATCATGATTGTAATCAGCGTTGTGTTTCGCCGTGTTATTCAGGTTACCAGAGACCCAATCATTACCCTCCTCCATCCCTGCCCAATCCTTGAATCCCCAAAACCCCTTATCTCCACAATGTCGGCTACGCAGTTGTAACTCTGCTGTTGCTTGTCCATGTGCGGCGCCGATTGCTTACCATAAGGTAATTCGCCTGCTCGTTTTCCATAAAAAAAACCACTACTCACAAACTGAACAAAATAATCATAAACTACCTCTGATGCCGAACTTCCACCTTCATCTTCTGTTTAGGGGTCCTGTCTCCGTGCCTGATGACGGCCACCACGCAGCGTAGCTCCATCATCTTACCGAAGGTGGTGGGCACTATGGGCGGGTCGTCCAGCTGGAAGGGCACCGACCAGGGAATGTGCAACGTCGGCGCTAACTCCCTCAAGATCATATTCCCCAGGATCTTAGCACAGTCATCGTAGTACTTATTCGAGTTCTTCACAAACGAAAATCCGTTTACATCACACACGAAAGACTTGCCGTTTGCTCTGAAAAGTGAATTTTCTGGTTTGTACACTGTTTCATACCAAAAAAAAAATATTTATATAAGAGACTTTTCACACGCATTATCACATCATCTGCTTATAAGTGCCCAATCCTGAGCAAAGGCGCCTTTTCACAAGAAGACGGTTTGAGCATTACAGACCACGCTTGCTTTAGGTGGATTGGCAATTTCAAACATATATAATAAGAAGTTATAAGTTCAACTTTCCTCACGATGTTTCCCATCGCCGTCGGAAACTTTAAAAAAGTAATATAAGCCTAAAGATTTAAAAAAATTGCGCGCATATAAAGTCTTCGTTTTTGACTAATAAAACCTAAGTAATCATTGAATACGTCGCTCGCTGGAAATAGCCAGAACCATTTCGTATCAAGGTTAATTAAAAAGTAAAGCAATGACGTAACTTATAACCTTCATGGTGGTGATATCGATCCCATATTGAAGGTACAAATTGGTCTAGTTTTAGACACACCTAGGTTTTATGTTCAGAACATTTTTCTAAGTGTTCATTAGGTAGGTGATTGATTGGATACGAGCTTCGAGCTATTAGATTCACTCTCATCACCACATCTAGTAACTTCTAAAGCATACTATTTAGAGGCAAGCTCAGTTATATAACAAATTTTGGAATGCGTCCATTGTATGCAAAATCTTCTTTTGTAGACCACCGAGAAACTGTTCTGTACTGTATACTTTGAAAACTGCCTCCAAAACTCGAAAATATAGACGCAGGAAAAAAAATTTGAACAATAGAACATTTACTTACATCAATAAAAAAATAGTTGAATTGAAACCTACTCACCTAAGTAAATCGAAGCCACAAACTGTTTGTTTGAAGGCGAGACAAACTTTCCTGGATATAAGTTTCTCCTGATTGGATAGTATGACAGGATATCTGATCTCCTTGCCCTCCGAATCCCTTTCGACCTTGCCGTCTAATGCCGGAGACTTGCGCGCTTCAGCGTGTGCGTAGTCAGGGCCCACTGTGTATACCTTTACGTCCGTACCTACCAGAGCAAACATTACAAAATGTATTTAAAACTAGCTTTCGCTGATAAACAGATGCGTTTAAAGATCGCTTTAAAGCTTCGTCTAAAATAAGAAAATCACGTATAATTTATAGCATATTGCACTCAAGAATATCTATTAGCATATTGACTATCAGCGATAGAATTCTGAAAATCCGACCAGCGGTTCCAAATATTACATCCTACTTACATGCTTAAACATTTTGCATATAAAAGCCTATATACACACAAACTGCAACAATTAAAGAAACTCCTTTCATCGACTTTCAACTTTATGTTATGGTAATAAAGTCGGAAATCAATGTCAAAAACATTTATTTCAATTTATTAGACCCTTACAGGCACTTTTGAACGTCAAACAAAGCTTAAAGTTGTTTGTATGTATTCAATCTACAAAAACAATCATCCTTTCAAGGTAAACCTGAATTAATTACTTAAGCCTCGGTGATTAAGCCAAAGCTGAATACACGTTAAGCTTTATAACTCTTTTCATGCCAAAGCAAAATGAACTTTACAAGTTACCAATTAAAATATATTTTAGTATCAAAACTCACCATCTGTTGGCATAAAGTCTTCGTAGATAAACGACCCTGTTTTCCTGACTCTCGATTCTGGAGAGTATATACTACTTCGACTCCCTATCTGCAATAGAAGACGATAGGTACTCATTTAAGCTTAAAACTATTTCAAGGTAAGGCAGCAAGCGGTACCTAAAAATTGGCAAAAAAATAAATAAAACTAGCGTGTCTAGTAGTGTTTTGTCGAAAATAGTTTAAGAAATATCTAGGGCAGCACTAAAATCTCCCAAGAGTACAATTTGGAGTATTGTAACACGCAATGTTTCGAGTAGATACTTACCTACTTCATTTACAAAAACGAATAAATTCAGCTATTGCTTTCTCTTTCTCTCTAGCGAAATAAAAATTATAGAAGTGGAAGAGAGATATAGCGAGGTAATATAAAAACTAATGACGCTTTTATACGAGAAGTTTCGAGAAGGAAGCTTCGTTGAATATCTTTCGTTAGTCAGCACAAACCCCTAATTTTTCCAAGTAACACCGTACAGGTTATTTTGAACCCAATATACATATAATAGGCATAATCAATCCGCACCAGTAATGTGATGACAAAACTCGTGTATGAATTACGTTTATAAATTTTCAACCTTATGTTTTTGCAACACGATTGAAAATGTAATGAAAAGAAAGCACTTAAAAACGGAGATGTTTGATTCCTACTTCTAATTAATCTATTTTACCACGTTTATCAATTCGTTATTAGGTTTCTTACCTTTCGGAAGAGTCGTTGGCTGCCGCCACCAGCGGACGTGGGGTAATAAATATAAATATTATGATCTTCAGCCGACACTGGTTTCTCCACGAAGGGCTTGTTGAACACCACGCCGTTCACTTCCACGTGGTCTTCCGACTCAACCAGCTCGTGATCTGTAATTACACTTGTTTCGTAATCCGAAAATACATATACATATCTAAAAACAAGGAACCTGTCGCGTTTGTCCCCTAAAAGCTATTCTATATATTTTTATAAAGTTTTCATCAGCATTTCACGGTTCACACGGATAAGGAACAAACCCGAGTATCACAGCACTATCCTCACTCAGTATTTACGTCTCTTGGAAGAAATTTAAAAGCGCAACAAATACGACCTTAATTTAGAAGGAATACACCAAGTTCAGATCTACTAAATAACAAGAAAAGAGTTTTGAAATTATGCAGTAGATATACCTAAGTTCCTTAATACAGGAATAATGGCAAATACCCAAATGGTTTCCACGAAAACATAACATGGAAGATTCTAAACAACAAAATTCACGGAATAGTCTAGCGACATTTGATACACATAATAAGGACTTACGTTTGGGGTCCGGCGAATCTCTGTCTAATACTGCGTACCTGGGTATCTCTATACCCTCACCCTCCAATATAGCGTATACTTTTCTACGATCCTGTAAATAATACGAGCAAGTATCAAATAACTGCACCTGACGTCAATTGAAACCACTTGAAGCAGTACTGCACCTACCTGAATGTCATACTGCATATGAAGATTGTTTATAACATAGGGCTTCCGTAATTTCTCGTATTGAATGGCCTTGTCTAAAGGGAAGCCCTTTGAATGAAAGGATATAAGACAATCACAGATGGGCCACTCCTCTACCGGTTTCTGTAAACATATGACACGTTATATTAATTGAATTATAAAATCGATAAAACTTGCGAATTAATGCAACGACGAGATCAGGCACTTCAGGCACGTCTGACGCTTTTCCCAATCAAATGCACACAAATGCACGAATGCACGAACAGTGAAAGACTATGAATACAACCATTACTGACAAATTCGCTACTTGACACCAACCACACAAACAAAGCTAGTGTAGGTGAAGCCATTCAATGGAAACAAAACATTACGACATTAAATGTTAGTACAGAGTGCATGTATGTATGAGTGTTACACAAGATTAATTAAGTGAATGAAGAAGAATCTAACAGTTGTTAGTTATGAAGATTAATTGCGTGACAAATAGTAAAACAAAATATATCTAGTGTGTATCACTCTCAATATCAATGTGGGAACATCTTCATGACAGTACTTCTACTGATTACTTAAGAAATTGTTTTGAAAAACTTTTAACATACATGTGTCATTGTCACTAATTATGGCTTAAGCATCAGCAGACAATTTTAAGCATTATTCAGTAATTGCTGACAACACAATAATTGAACTCTTTATACTCAGCCAATTTCGTCGTCATTCTACAGAATATTTTGTTCCACTAGATGTGTTAGACAATGTGGAGAACCTTAAGGATAACCTCCTCTGGGAAGACCAGCATCTTGATATACTCAAACTCGTCAAGCCGCGTCAGGATCTCCTTCATCGGCTTCGATTGCGACTTCTTGGCCATGGCGCAGACGCCGACCACCACTTTCTTACCCCCGCCATCGCTGTGCGGGTCCAGCGACTCGCAGAGATCCAACTCGCCCTATTATTTATTACACATACAAAACATATTAAATTACTTAATACGATAAAATGAACTTCCCATGAAACTTCAACATCTTTCCTATGGGTTTATAACTGTATCTATCCTAAAGAAAAACGAGTTTTTCACACTATACTTCAAGGAACCAAGTTAATTCAAAGAAAATAAATTGATATTTTCATTCATTTCATTCATTTACATTTTATCATTGATATAATTAAAAGACAATTAAAGAAACACAAGATTATTGTTTTGATACAGACAAACTTGTTGTTATAATAATTTGTATGATAAAATATTGTCTACTTTCTACCTTCTGAAAATGAATTTTTCAATGTAATGTATCTATGGTAAGTAGCGAAAAAGCTAGAATATTATTTGTTCTCATGCAGATTTTTTTATAAAATCCTACACCTCTTTTCATATTTGGGTAGCTGAAAGTGTTCAGATGTTTTAAAAATTAAAAGTACTGATTAAATATCATCTCACAGTCAATTATTTTTGAGTAAGCATGTATTTGCAACATTGTTATTGCTATAATAAATATTATGCAGTATTCAGCAAAAGCAATGTATTAATGATATTGTAAAAAATATTAATAAAAAACAAAATTAATTCTGACATAAGTATCATGTAAAGTATAGGAGGAAGGATTCGCATATTTAAATTCAGTTAGAAAGGAACATTAGCTTGAACTTGCTAATAGAAGCCTTTCATGTCAGTTGTATATTATGTTAAATGTATTTGTCCATTATACATTGGAATAAGTTTATAAATTAGCATAAATATGCTAATAGCTGTACAAAAGCCACCCGTGTTATACAAACACAATATAAATTTTAATTGTAAATCACACAAACACAAAAATTTTAATAAATTAATTTTTAATGAAATGATATGTATGTGGGACATAACAAAAGCCACCATCATCTTACATCAGGCAGACAGTCATCACAATAGCATATGTCATCATCACTCTGGCCCTTCTTGTCCTTCCTCCATCTTTTGAGACGCCACCAATCTTTAAGCCACTGCCACTCCATCACCACACACTATCTATACACTTGTTTCCTATCATAGCATATGATAAGCACACAGCCAACCTTGCCACCGATTGGTTGACACTACTTTACACTTGATAACTAAGATAAACTTGACATAAATTAACATACTACATTACCTCACTTGTCATTGTCAGCATGTAAACCTATAAATATTATAATCTATTATGTCCATACAATATAGGATAATTTAGTGTAGCCACTAGCCATCCAGCACTCAACATGCAAGCAGTTATGTGCTCACAAGTGTTATCAGTGCTGTATTAGTGTACAGTGGACAATGATAATATTAGCTGACTAATATTTAGTCTGGATTCGTTTCACTTGAGTGACCTCACTACTATTAGTGTTTGAATTGTTATTTTATATCTGTTTTAGTTTACATAACACTATCTCTATTTCATACCACAGTGCAAAAGGTCATTGCTCTGCAAGTATCTACGTCGATCATGTTTGATTGGCAAAAACAACATCAACATCAAAATGTAAACTTACTGATGATCTTATTGGTACAAGATTTCCGTCATCTCCGACATAAAATTGGGGCTGAGTAGCTTGCCGCAACCCTTGATAGCCATGTTCGAGCTCAGTGTATGACATTACCTACATACACCTGCCTATTTCTGAATTTTAATTTATCAATATCATTAATCAGATCCTAAACACCGATACCAAATTAACTAAAATATAAAATAGAAAACAAAAATATAAAAATATTTTCAAAAATATGTCCTGCACAGATCATACAAACAGAATTAAAAAAATTGAGTGACACATCTGTTGAGATCAAGTATTCTGACCCTTGAACTTTTTAGTTTTCTGTCTAAATAGATTTTTTGTTTATTTTAAAATAAAACTTATCAAAATAACATCACAATAGTAGTAGGGTAATAAAATTTAATAAATAAGTAGGCTGTGAGAATTAATCATTCGTTTTTAATGGCACTATCGAAATCTTAGTTACTTTTGTCTTTTAAATTCCTAATAATATGATAAGTCTTCTCATAACTTTTCGTTACATTCATAATATCATAAATTAAAAGAAAATATTTCTTACTTTTACATTTTAATATCTACAATTGGAAATACTCTTAATTTAAAAAAAGTTATTTTTTTTTGTTGTTTTTGAACGTATTGTTCACCAAATGACAGCAGTTAGGAATCGTAAACAAGAAACAGCTGATACCGTCATTTTGAAAAGCAAGAAAACCAAAAACTTTGAAAGTTTTCAAAGGATTACATTTACAAGTTAAAAGTTGTAATAAAATATAATATTACGCTAGTGTTAATTTTAGTATATAGGAAACGTTGGAACAATGACAGAAATGACTAAATCTTTGGAAACGGCGCTGACTTCACATCTTTTTTGGGAATCAATTAATATTTTATTAACAAAACCTCATGTAATTAATAAGAGGTTATGGGGCAGCAAAATATGGTTTAGAAATACTTGTAAACCCAAAAGCACTCCATTTAAACTGCCAGCAACTTTACATCTGCTTAGTGATCTTGTTGCTACTGACAATGTTGAACAATATAAAATTCAAATCCTTAATGAACTGGACGTTGATAACATATTGCCTAATACCTCTGATAATGAAGACCAAGTAGAAGTTCTTCTTATGGAATTACTTCCCAAAAACTATTCTGATAAACAAGGTTACCAAGTAGCTTGCTTATGGAAGGATAAATCCTCAATAACCTTTTATGATGTCACACCATTGAACCAGGAACAAAAATTATGCCCAGATTTTTCATATACTATTCAGCTTAATACCAGCCACATTCTACTTACTGCTATAAGTGGTTTGTAATCTTTTTATAAACAACTGAAAACAATTTACTGATAATTTAGATATTTTCATTTATTTCATTATTATTTTAGATGAAAATTCCAAGTCATTTAAATGGCTTAGCAACACTTTGCTGCCTCAGCTTATCAAGTGGGGAACTGAATCAGAAAGCAGCACTAAGTCTAACATGTGCAATGAATCATTGTCACTTGTTTCTCAAACTAAGTATTATGAGAAGTACAATGATTTAAAGGTGAAATATGGCAAGGAAATGGTCAAGGTATATATTATTACAATTTAATTTTAATTGTGCTCTCATTTTATAAATCTACTATCAAGTTTGCTATGTTGGTGTACATAAATGAATAAATAAATAAAATTACAGATTTGGCCAGAATGTACAGATGCCTCAAAATTTGTGTATGAAGATGTGGCAATAGCGGCTTATCTTTTACTGCTCTGGGAGAGAGAGGAACCCAGGAGAAGCAAATCCTTTGTAGACCTAGGATGTGGGAATGGTTTATTGGTCTATATACTTTCCCAGGAAGGTCATACAGGTGTAGGCATAGATGTCCGAAAAAGAAATATTTGGGATATGTATCCTCCTGGAGTTGTTTTACAGGTATATTAGAAAAAAACTTTAATATTTGATAAATCGTTTATTTAATATGACATGACATAATATTACTGTTACAGGAAAAAACTATTACACCTACAGATACATCATTATTTCCTGACATAGATTGGATTATTGGAAACCACTCGGATGAGCTTACACCATGGATACCAGTTATAGCAGCTAAGAGTTCATATAAATGCAATTTTTTTCTACTTCCATGTTGTGCATACAATTTTGATGGAAGCAAATATCAGCGCAAAAATTCATATAAAAGTCAATACAATGATTATTTAGACTACATAAAACAGTTATGTGTTGCATGTGGTTTTAATATAGACACAGATAGACTTAAGATTCCTAGCACTAAAAGAATATGCTTTGTTAGTAACAATAGGATATATCTACAAGAAGAACATCCACAATACTGCAATAGAATAGATGACTTAATAAATAAGGATTCTTCAAATACATTACACAATAAAAATATAGAAAAAGAATTTAAAGCCCGAGAACCAGTGGAGAGAGTAAAGAATTGTACACAAATAGACAAGTCTATTGTAAATTCCATAGTTGACTGTATAAGTAGGTACTTGCTAGAGGGTTGCTCATCAGAAACCAACTGGTCTTTAGGAAAAACTGCAGAATTTAGTGAATTGATACATCTTATACCTAAAGAACACCTAAGTACATTAAAATCTGAATGTGGAGGAATACAAACTCTCCTTAAGAATAATCATAATATATTTCAAGTCCAATCTGGTAGAGTTGGGCTAAGATATCCAAAAACAATAAATGAAGTTAATGCTGGTACCAGAAAAAGAAAATTTAATAAACAAACAACTATAAAAGTTCAACAAAAACCATGCTGGTTTTATAATAATCATCCAAAAGGCTGCCCATTGAGTGATTCAATTTGTAGTTTTCTGCATGTCAAAAATAAATAAAAAAATATATAGAAAAATAAAAAAATGTTTATTTATTTTCAGTCCCATTTCATTAAAATAAATAATTATTATCACCCAATTTATTTATTACAAATAATATGGAAAGTATAGAAGATTTGATAATAAGTTGCTAACTTTACATATAAATTGGATACATTTTAAATGTAAATGCCTAATAGAATATTTATTTACTCAGTAATAGAAACCTCTTTCCCAGCTCCAAATAATTTACTTAGATTTTATTCTATCTGAAATGCTTTATTCAGTTCAGTCAAGTTCCTCTCATCGATTAAAGTTGCAATATCGTGTTCTCCCATAAAGGCACACACCATCCTCAAAGTTGTCCAAATTGTTGAAGAACTAGTGTCAGTAGCAGCTGATTCAGGAAACATGCTCTTAGCTTTATGTTGTTGGTTGAGTGCCACCAAGAAATGCTCTGCTGCCTCTTTGTGAGCCCCTAAATTCATACATGTGATTCCAACATTGTATCTGGCTCGTATAAATCCAGGTTCCAAACCCAGGGCCTGACGATAGGCATCCACAGCTTGCTCTGATTTGTCACTGTTTGCCAAAGTGGCTCCCAATCTATTCCAAAGCTTTGCATTATCCTTTGCTACCATTAAAGCTGTCTGGAAACAATCTACAGCTTTGTCATATTCCTGGCTGATATTGAAAACTACACCCATAGCATTCTGAACATCAGGGTCGATTTCATTAACATTTGAATGTACTGCTTTAAGATACAATGACTTTACATGACTCTCTAGTTCTTTAACTTCCAATTTCATTGGGTCTATGTCTTCTGGCACAAGATTAGAATATTTAGGACTGGCTTTTAGCCAATTAATTAAAGAGATGTAAGCATGCTTAGGCATATTTTCATTGGTATATGCCGCTGCCAATGTGATATAGCCTTCTAGTTGTGTAGGATCAATTTGTAAAGACTTTTTTAAAGCTGTTATAGCCCAAGGATCTTGTTCATTTTCAGCTTGCGTTGTACCTAGCAGGTACCAGGCCTCTGCTGAATCTGGCTGCTGTTGTGCAGCAGCTTCAAAACACAAGACAGCTCCAGGTACATCACCCATTTTTAATTTTTCCTTTCCTATTTCAAGAGCACTTTTGTTTTCCAACATTACATTGCCTTCAGAAAAGGCATATTCTTTAGCAATCCCATTTGCAGCTTCGGAGTCCCAGTAATTATTAACATCACTGAGTTTCTCCCACTCTTCTTTGTATTTTTCACTCATCTGATCCAATATGTCCTCCCTGCTCATTTTTCTCTGTGTCTGATCTGAATCTGGATCATCACCTAGGCGGATTTCTCCAGCGCTTATCTTTTTCATAAAGGACATGAACTCATTATATTCGATGTCACTGTCATTCTTCATGGTATTAACATACTCTTGAGCTTTGCCTTGAACATCAGCACTCGTCAGATTTGCAACTTCTGCTTCATTGATAAATTGTACCTGTAGATTGGGCTTTGGCACTGCATGCGGGAGAAGCATAGGCTGCTGCATCATAGGATAATTTGACATGACACTGTGTGTCATAAAGGAAGGAGACGGTCCTGCTGTCCATGACCTGTTCATGTGGGTATTAACATCTGGCACGTAAGATGATGTCGAGGGACCAGGTGTAGTTTTAGCTTTGTTTTCTTGAGGCAAATTATTAAGAAGAGTATTCATATTAAAGGTTTGTGGTGTCTGCGAATTCTGTGCCATAAATTCGTTAACAAACCTGTCAGCCTGAGATAGTGGTTGTGATAGACCAGCATCACGACGCACAATATTTGATAGTTGCACTAGAGAATTGTTCCCCCCACAGTCTCCGCCTACTAGTTTATTTAGTGACATCTTCTTGAACAAGTAGTAGCACTACACACTGATACTATACTTGGTATCTTATAAAATCGAGATTCTTATTCAACAAGTTCGACGACTATGAAAATGTACAAAGTTCACATAAACAATAGTCGTAAAATATCATTTGACTGGGTAGAACCAAGAATGACGTTTAAGAAACCAGTTTAGAAACCACAGAAAAATGATATGTAGAAACAAGACGATTTATCTAATAACATTCAAATTGATCACAATCACTACCGGGATTCTGTAACTGATAATCGCTACGGTTAGGGAATCAGGAAGCCATTTGTAGCTGCAGTGATGCACTGGATCAATAAATATTCTGAATTCTGATAGGTACTAGTACCTTGTAGAATACTACCTACTTTTTTTTCTTACATTACAGACCACAAATAGAACTTTTACATAAAATTTTAAAATAAAGTAAGGTTTTAAGAAATATATAACCGTTTTGTGAGAACAAACATTGTAAACAAAGAACTATATTATTAATATTAAATCGATTACTTCAGTGTTTAGTAATTAATTTTTATTATTCACAATATGATATTAGTTTTAGAGTATTGTAAAGGTTAGTAAAAATTTGATATTTTATACCGCGTTAATACAAAAAAAATGCATAATTTGTTTTTTTCAAATTGAAGTCTAATATTCTTGGTGTTCAGTATTTTCAAGGCCGTGAAAAAATAGTTTTCAAAACGACAGTTGCCGGAATATTGTCAATGTCAAATAATTGTCAAAGATGTGTATACCTATCATGTCATCTAGGTTCCAGAGAATATTATATTTTATCGTAATTATCTACATGAGAGCATTTAATAACTAGAATTTACTAAAATATCCTCTTTATATCTTGAATGTCCCGTACTACTGCAAGATCAATCTCAAACACATAAGTTAGATACGAGTTAGAGGTTATGTAAGCTCGAATCGAATTGACTAGTTAGGTTGTTTATTACACAGAACAAAAAGTTAATTCCAGTCTTATAAATTAATGAAAAGGAAATAAAATAAAAATATGCCAGAAACCGCTACTGATGGTAAGAAAGACACTGAGGCAACAGCAACTGTTGCCTCCGAAGAAGATAATGAACCAGAGGACAAGTGGGTGGTCTGTATCAATATCAAAAACGCATTTTTTACTCTATGCTTATTTGGTTAACTCCGGTGTGGGTTCGATTCCCAAATCTGTAAAAAGTTTTGGCCTTCCTAGGGCTATCTACTGTTCCACACAATTATTGGTGTTTACCTAGATTTTATAAAGCTGTTATCCAAATAGGATTTTTTCAAAATTCTTTTTTATACTTACTATCAATGAATATTGAAAAAATTGACTATGAATGAATTATGTGAACCCATCACATGACAGTATATTTAAGGTTTAACTCTAATGGATTCATATTTTAGAACTTCTAACCCCTTTTCTCTGCCTAATTTATACACAAATAAAAATGGTTTTGTATGCAAAAAATACTCCCGTATGATATGAATGTAGGGACTTGAATGTAGTATATTCATATAGTTTTTAATTCTGTTCAAATTTCTTTCAGATTAGAGAATGTGAATTGTACAAGGATGAATATAAAGATTGTACCAGTTTTAGAGGTAGATTCCAACAGTATTTTGTTTATGGCGAGACCCTAGACTGTAATCAATGGAAAAAAGACTATGATAACTGTTGCAAATGGCAAGATTATAAGGATATAAAAGCTGCAGTAAGTGAAATGTAAAAAATTTAACAGTACTTTTTTACATATAGCAGTATGTTTTTCTAGACAATTTTTTACACTTATCACCACACCCATTCTGGTAATTTATATAGTAAAATTTATTAAGGAAAGGACACAAGAGAAGCTATCCACTGTCCTATATATTCTATGCTTTACCTGCAATGTAATAAAAGTCTATATATTTAATTAATATTCTATAAATTCATGCACAAAGAATATTGGTGGGCTTAATTCCATGAGCATTTTCTAACAGCCAAATCTTTGGATATCAAAATTAAATGAACTTAAAATAGTTTAATATTAACCTTTAATATGTTTTTCAGAATGCTTTAATAGCTAGTGAGAAAGAAAGACGAATGGAGAGACTAAGAGCACATTATAGGAATGATGTATGGAAAAAACGGGATTCACCTCCAGATGACTGGGCCAAGCCTTTACCTGAGTGGATGCAGAAAAGAGACGAGAACACATACTTAGCAATAAAAGCTAAAGAAATGAGGGAAGGAATAGAAGAAACAACTGAAAAAAAGTTTTGTTCTATTATGTGACATGTGTAATACATTGATAGAACTGTTAGCTAATTTTGTAGTTAATTTATATACTATAGATTTAATCAATAAAATGTTGTTTCATGTTGCATAAACTTATTTCATTTTTTTAGTTGAAGACCTTGGCATAAGAGTTATTCCATTAAAAGTGAATGTTTGCTTATCTCACAGTTATTGTAGCTATATATGTAAACTAGTAGATAGCTGCAAAATGATGTTGTTTTTAGTTGTGATCTCATTAACTGTGAAATTATATAAACTTATTTGAAAGATGATGCATTAAAAAATAATAGATATGGTACGCGACCAGATGATGCGCGAGTTCAATCCGCAATTTGACCAAAACTTGACCCATACATTTCATTTCACAAAAGTATTCATCAGTTCAGTTTACCTACCTAACTACATTTAACATTAATTTATTGACTTATGTAAAGTCAATAACATAATGCAAGGATAAATTAACTACACCATGTTAATAATATTGTTTCTCACAAACCGATTGGTAAAAGCTATCAATTACTGCTGACCTAGCAACTGACTTTTTATCAGTCAGATAAGACGCAGTTGTGCCTTTAATTGTTCACAAACATGATAAAATTTGTTTACTGCATATCTCGCCATTTAAATGTAGCATACGTATTATAAGGCAGACTGTAGTGAGCGACGCACAAATGAGTCGTGTGCTGTGTCGAAGTGTGTTGTCCCTGCGATTGATACGAGTTCCGATGGCTCGCAACGCGTCCTCTTACCTTATCGACGATCCCAAATATTCCTTCTTGAAGGAACTGGGACTAAAGGAGAAAAATGTAGGCGTATACAACGGTAAATGGGAGGCCAATGGCCAGGTGAGTTACGAATACAATACTTACCTAATTACATATTTGATAAGGCAAAATGAACGAAAGTAAAATCACAGTCGGTTGTTTGTGGAGCGTTATTAGATAACAAAGTTAGTTTGTGTGATACCTACATTATACGTACCTAACTACTGAATAAATATAAGTCCCTACGTAATAAGTAGGTACTACTAGTACTTAGACATTTTACATTAAGGTACAATACAAGCTAGTTACTCCCGCGCGGTTTCACTCGCTGCTCGGCTCCAGTTGATAGTAGCGTGATGTTTTATAATATGTATTAGTATAGATATAGGTAAGTTGTTCTTCACGTAAGTACTTAGGTAGTACCTCCATATAGTAAATATATTGCCTAAGAAGCACTAATATCAATGTGATATACATATAGGTAAATAAACACTTTGTACCTACTAATACTAATCTCTACCTATTATTCATTGAAGTTTATTTATATCCTCGATCATCGAGTGTACATCTGTGTAAATACTCTATATACATATAATACCTAACGTGTGTAGGTAGGTACTAAATATGAGGGCAAACGAGATTCAGCGAGACTCATTAAAAAAAACATGTATGTACCTACCTACTAGGTGAACTGAATCGATACCTATGTAAATAGGTATGCAGTAGTGCATAGGTCAGTAACCACATCTCATATGACTTTCGGTTCTGGCCCTCTATATTTATTTCCAAAAAATAAAACAGTTATTTCCTATCATAACCCTAGTTCAGCCATAATACGATTAAAATAGTACATATGTTGACTAGGTACCCTAGACTAGATCCGGTAATTATATTAAAGCAGTTTGCGAAGTGACTGATATCGAGTAACTGACTGTCGTGCAACGTGTCGCGGTTTTGATGCCCGCACGAAACAACCATTTGGGTACCTAATGCAGAAATTAATGTGACGGGTCGGACGGTAAAAGTAAATATGTGTAGTGTAAATGCACACACGATACAGGAGAAAATCCCAGTCGGACAAAAAAAAGAATGAACGAAGAAGAGTTGTAAACATGTTGATTAAAATGATTTCTAATTGCTGAATGGACTCTTGCTTCTGTTCTCTATAGAGAAAAAGGTTGGTTAGGCAGGTTGAAGGTCGCAGTGTAAAATGTTCAAGACCTGCGTCCTCTTTGAGCGGGCTGCGACTCGCCTTCTACGACCATCATCAGCCGTGCCAATTATTGGGCATACCAATTACCAACACTTGTTTATGTAATTGAATTTTAGGTTTCAATACACTCTATAACATCCAGAACTTGCTCTTTCCCAACTAAGTATACTAAACTAAAATTTATATTCTCAGGTAATAAAATCCTTCAGCCCGGCTAATGGGAAGATAATAGCAGAGGTGCAAGCAGCCAGTCCTGAAGATTATGAAGCCTGCGCGACCGCAGCCCAGGAGGCATGGCACACGTGGGCAGAGCTTCCAGCTCCAGCCAGGGGGGAGATCGTCAGGCAAATTGGAGATGCCCTCAGAGAGAAACTGCAACCACTAGGACAGCTAGTGTCCTTGGAAATGGGTAAGTGCTAACATTAGGCGAACATACCGTAACAATCATGCAGGTCTAACGATAGCTGCTCACCACGCAACTGGCAACAGTAGGATAGCTACTAAGGTCTGAAAAAAATCAAAACAATAGATATACAAAAAATGTCGAACAATGCACTTGTTCGACATAATGATTATCATATTAAATATCAAAATAATGGCTCGTTGGTCAACTGGTTGCGAGTATGACTACGAGTCTCGTGAGATCTCGGTTTCGATTCCCGGGTCGGGATAAATGTTATTAGTTATTAGAGTTTTTATGGGTTTTTTTAGAAAATATCTCAATGACTGAATGGATTCCGGAATTGTGCTAGGTATTTGGCAATATGAACATTAAAATGGAATTCATATCTAGTAAAAAGTTGGTACATTGTATATGTGGCATTACGTACAAATTCTACTACTACTACTTCCGCTATAAAAGGTGTAATGGCACTACTTCTTTTTAGTAGTAGGTATATCGGACACCGAGCCTTTAGAGATATGGTCTACATTATGTAACTCGTTAAATGAAGTGTTTATTCTTAGTATTAAGGTAATAAAATTTGTTGACACCAGTTGACATACATAATAATTATATCTTACCTCTTACATAGCAACATTATTAATTTTCTGATAAGGAAGATAACAATGGCCATGCGTAGGTACCACCTAGATGGAAAATGATCTTCAAAACTCACGAAATAAATTCACATATCTGGATGTATGGTAAGGACCCCGATACTAATGAAAAAGCCTAAGTTGTGATATGGGAAGGTACAACGATAACCATACCAAAAATTCCTGCGTGGAGATAGATAACCCGAAACGTCTTATTCTGCTGAAAAATTTTCCACTTTGCACGTAAAACTAATTCTAAGTATGCAATTATTTGAAACGCTCTTTGGAATTGGTTTGCTTTGTCTATTTTCACACAAATGAAAAGCGGGTTTAAATACCTACCAAAGTATAATACATATAGGAACGGACGAACCTACCGGAACGATACTTTGTGGATTACAACTCTTGTCCCGTGCACCGGGATCAAACTTGCGATACGTTGCTTAACAGCCAGGTTCCTAGCCACTGTACCATCCGTGTAGTCTTTCAGAGGCAAGTTGTTACATTGTACAATTATTGTCCTCAGGTAAAATTCTACCCGAAGCTATTGGCGAGGTGGTGGAATACATTCACGTCTGCGACTTAGCTCTGGGCTTGTCGCGAACCTTGCCTGGCACCATCTTCCCGTCAGAACGACCTGGCCATGTGCTCATTGAGAAGTGGAACCCCCTGGGAGCTATTGGTATCATCACCGCCTTCAACTTCCCCGTCGCTGTGTTCGGATGGAACAGCGCCATTGCCATGGTAAGAATACAAAATAATAAGCAATATTACTAATTCATAAGAGATTGATCTGTGACTATATTTGATCTGTAAATAGAATGATATTCATAAGAGATTGATCTGTTGATAATGGGATCAATTTTAATTTTTTCTTCATTGATTTCCTAGTAGATCTCCCTTACTTGACACCTTTTTGATATAAAATTAAGAAGTAAGTAAGTAGGTAATTATTTACCACCGCGAGCGTGGGTCAGTATACACATACAGCCTGTAGCGTTTAGTGCACGCCTCAAAGAATCATAAGATGACAAAATATGGGGCCTAACAGGGTCACAACAGGAGAAGGAACAGAGTGGTTTTTAGTCAGTAAGAGGTTGACCCTACGTCTCTCCAGGGCGTAAATGTCCTCACTCAAACAAAGAAAATAAGTAGGCAATTAATTACTTATAACAGTTTAAATAGTTCAAAAGATGGGTCAACGTGTATCAATGTCTAACAGCCCGAGAACTCTTATGATGTATAACGAAGAAAAACCCATATTTACTCGTCACATTGATTTAACAGTCCTTATCTTATCTGAGTAACCAAACGAACAAAAATATGAAACTTATCACAAATTCAGTTGTTTTTCTCTAACGAGGTTTTTAATTCTAAGGGCAAGATAATTATCGTAATGGTGGTATCTATATTTTGTTATGCTAGGAACGCAATACGGCAGTAGAGGTATCTACTGTTTAATTCTAGTAGACACCTAGCTAGGGTTCCCATAATATCTTCTCGTATCTAGGTACTTAATATTAGTGACTTATGAGTGCTGTGTACCTACCTAAGTACCTAGAGTCCTCAGATTTAACTAGGACACCTAGTTATTTTGCAAGAATGATGAGATGTACTTATCTAATCGTTCTTTTATCTGGACTCTATTACTGTAATTATCTTATAAATAAATAACTAAACACTAGTATTTAAGAATCGTGCAAATGTCCACCACCAAATCTAAAACAAAAACACATCCATCCAGGTCTGCGGTGACGTCAGCGTATGGAAGCCATCTGACACCACTCCCTTGGTCGCTGTGGCCGTCACCAAGATTGTGGAAAGCGTGCTACAAAAGAACAATATTCCCGGCGCTGTTGCCGCTCTGTGCGTCGGTGGCAAGGACATCGGGGAGAAAATTGTAAAAGATGAGAGAATGAAACTCGTATCTTTCACTGGCAGCACAGCTGTTGGACAGCAGGTAATTTGAAGCTTGTCTTTAGTCCTAATTAAGGAAATAGTGGAAGAGCCATACTTTGGCTTGAATGAGCTATGGCTCACACAGCCTCACAGAAGACCGGCGTGAAACAACCACAGTGTTGTGTTTCACCGTGTGAGTGAGATTACCGGTGTCCCAATCTCAACCCCTTCCCCCAATCCCAAAATCACCATATCCCTAATCCCCAAAAGATCGGCACATCACTCGTAACTCCTCCATCGTTGCGGGTGTCCATGAGCGGCGCTGATTGCTTACCACCAGGTAATCCGTCTGCTTGTTTCCCGTCCTATCACAAAAAAGTAGCATTGGAAATCCGAGCTGAAAGTACCCATAAACTAAGCCACGAGCCACATGTACCTATTATTAATTTGTATAAATTGCATCAGAACACGACAAGCTCCAAAAATGGCGATAACATACTAGTATTAGCAGGTAATAAAGAGCTGACAAGATGTTCGCAAATCGCAAAGTACCTAACCATTATTATTTACATATCTCAGGTTGGAGTAGAAGTACAGAGGCGTTTCGGTCGCCATCTGCTGGAATTGGGCGGTAACAACGCAATTATTGTGAACGAGGATGCCAACCTCGACTTATTGCTGAATGCTGCGCTCTTCGCATGCGCCGGTACTGCAGGACAACGGTGCACTACCACTAGAAGACTGTTCATTCACAAGAAGGTAGGTTACAGTGTAAAATAATTGAGCTACCTTCGTCGTAGATATTTTCTGAAGAAATATAACTTACCTATTTCCTTCATATCCTTCTCTTTCTTTAAGAATCGTATCCCTATTCTGGACTAACAGGTGCATTTGTTCCAGATCAGATAGTCGGATAAATCAGATAAGACTTTCTATGAATAGCGCACTATTAGTAATACTATCTACGACTAAGTACCCCTAAATGATAGTCTGACAGACTTTAATGGCCGATTTGCCTTTCATTTATGAAATAGTCTAGTTGAACCCAGGTGAAACGTAAAGACGAGACAGCGTATTTTCTATTGTATGTCATACACCAGCACTTAAAATGTTAAAGGTATGACATGGTTTATCAATAAAACAATAAAAACATTTTGCAGGTGTACAGTGAAGTAGTATCTCGTCTATCGAAGGCATTCGCTGGAGTCGTCAGCAAGATCGGAGACCCCTTACTCTCAGAGACCCTAATTGGACCTCTCCACACCCCTGCTGCCGTTGAGGCTTATAAGAAGACTGTTGCTGAAGCCGTCAAGCAGGGCGGCAAAATTGAATTTGGAGGAAAGGTAATAAAAGAAAATTAATATAACAAATATACAAATAAACAATGATGTATAAAACTATAGATACGTTGTCCGCGCTCTAAAATGACAACATGAAATGAAGGCAATTGACCACATCGCGCTTAGTTACGCACCAACCTGCCGCGCGACGCTACGTTTGTTTTTAATTTATGTCGTGTGTGTAAACCTGTGCGAAACATAAAGAAAGCATGCCGTCGTGTGTGTTCAGACGATGTACAAATTATACTCCAAAAGTTAAAGACAAAAATGTGTCATTTCATGCGTATGTTCACCAAACAACCTATTTTTATTTTATTTTTTTCGACGCCGGCGCCCGCCATCTTATGGCGGCCGGCGCATGAAGGTATAGTCACGTGCCGTCGGCATAACTGAAGATGTATATTTATCTCCCTCTAGCAAAGGCATTCCACTATTTTCTTTCCCTTTCTTTACTCATAGAAGTAGTTATCTAGTATTTTCGCCGTTTTTAAGCGCCGCGATGTTGGTTCATGACGTGTCTATATGTAATACGTCATTGCAAATAAAACATCTTTTGGCAGACTAAGTCCGGGCACGCGAGAATTCTTTCCCTATTAGAAAATTGAGGCAATCTGCCCCCGACAATGTTGTTTAAACAGCTTTATTTATCTCTTATCTAGGTAATGGAACGCGAAGGCTACTTCGTAGAGCCGACCATCGTCACAGGACTGCCCCACGACTCACCCTTAGTGAAGACTGAATGCTTCGCCCCTATCGTCTACTGCATCGAGATCCCCGACCTGGACACTGGTATCAAGTACAACAATGAAGTAGAACAGGGACTCTCCTCCAGTCTTTTCACAGAGAACCTCGGAGATGTATTCAAGGTAAGATGATTGAGATATACGTTACAGAAACTTATGCTTGGGCCACACTAACGGTAAGTGCCAATAACTATCGCGATAATTGATGATATTAAACAATGAAAAATATATAAGTAATTTGCTTAGTGATCAAATCACATGATTTACCTACGTCTATTACCGCGAATAAATTAATGGCATTTTCTGTTAGTGTGGCCCAAGCATAACAGATGAGCTTATAAATATATTTTGATCAACATATTGTTTCGGCTCTGGGTTGTCACATGATTATCGGAAACACCTCCAGTCCAATCTCCTTGTTTTATTATGGCTAGTTCTAAAATTTAGGCTATCGAGGAACTTGGATTTTTGGCATATCATACTTAACCTTGTAATTTTATTATCTTAATAGCCAATTGCAATTATTTTACATCCACAGTGGATTGGACCTCACGGCTCAGACTGCGGTATTGTCAACGTGAACATCCCCACAAACGGCGCAGAAGTCGGAGGTGCCTTCGGAGGCGAGAAGGCGACTGGCGGTGGCCGGGAATGTGGTTCCGACTCTTGGAAGAACTACATGAGACGCTCCACAGTCACTATTAACTACTCCGGAACCATCAAACTGGCGCAAAACATTAAATTCGGAGACGAATAAGTTTCATAGTCATCGAAACATAGCTATAAGTTCCCTTTTTATTGTATTTACGCTAACCGTCACTGTACAAGTACTCACTCAGTATTTCTCAACATCTTCATATAAAAATATAAGTAACATTGTACGATAAGACTGACGAATTTAATTACTGAATAAAATAAAAAAAACATGTTTAAAAACTAATTCATGTATTCGTTTAAGTTTTCTTTGTCAGTCCATTGTTGTTATTTATAAGATAAAAATTACGACTTCATTCTTCTTTATAAAAGTAAATACATACATTAAAGTTAATGTAGAAGAGATTATAATTAAAAAGTAATTACACTATTTTACTTAAAATGCTTTGACTTAATTGTATAAATGAAGAGAAAGGTGAATATTTTTATTTCCTAAGCTAGATTTCTTTTGGAATAGCTTTTCTCGACAATTTTATGCAGTCATTTAGAAGTTATACGTGTACATCACAGTAAAAACCATTTTCTTTGTTTAACTAACTATTGAATAACTATACATTGTATTTACTTATTGTGCATGATATACTCGCCATATATCTACTGCTATGTTCATTGATTTCTGTTTATGGAACCTGTATGTTGCTGGCAAATCATATTTCATCTCAGCTATGACATTCCCTTGCATATCCCAATCCTTTATCTTCTTTTGTATGTGTTGCCTGTAAAATTAGAAGTTAATTAATATTTTTTTTATCATACATTGGAAAGCCTGCAATAGGCAGAGTAGTTGGAAAAGCTATTCTTGAACAAAAAGGTCTGTTTTGGCAAACAAGTAGACAGATCATCTGAAAGTAAGTGATCAGCACCACCCATGGACACCTGCAACACAGAGCAGTCACAGGCATGTTGCTGGCTGTATACAAGGGATCATGTTTGTTATAATTTTTGGTTGAAATGCTTGTTTGGAGTCTGAAGAAAACTAGTCTATACTAATATTATAAAGAGGTAAAATTTGTAGTATATATATGTAGGGGGAAATCTTTGGAACCGCTGGTCGGATTGTCAAAATTCTTTCTCTGATAGATGGCTACAATGTTCCTGAGTGCTATAGGCTATAAAACATCACGCTGCGATCAAATGGAGACGAGCGGCGGGTGAAACCGCGCGAGAGTAGCTAGTGAAATATAGACAAATATAACAAGCAAAAGCATTTATAGAATAAAATGTTGTACATAATACCTAGTGCTCGATTTGTGTAAGGAGTACACACTATTGCAGCTGAGCAGAGTACCCATACGGAGAAACTTCATATCAATACCAGCATTGTTCTTTGTGCCAAATGGTGGGTTCATAAGAACTGTGTCAAAATATCCCTCCCATCTAAAAAAATGACGAAAAACTAAATTAAATAATAGCATATTAACATGAATTTAGTTACATAACTATTTGAGGAATGAACTAATTTTGAAAAACAAAATGTGATAGTTTATTCTTAGACGAAAATTCATAGCCACATGTACCTTACAAATGACACTATCAAAAACAAAAAAGAACTAGGAAAAAGTAAAAGAATATGACTAATGAAAATACTACTACACTACCTTGCTATTCTAGGATCTAGAAAATCACACTGTACAGCATCAACATTGGTCAATTCCATGTCTTCCACATTTTCCTTGAACACTTGCAGCACATCATCATCAATATCTACAGCTGTCACTATGCTGGCTCCCAGGAGAGCTGCACCAATACTCCAAATGCCAGGTCCACAGCCAGCGTCGAGAACTGTGCAGTTTTCTATAGATCCAAACTGGGTCTGTAAAAAAGTAAAGGATAGGTTAAGGTTTTTTTATTCCTACATAATAAACTTGATTGCAAACCAGCATCAAATGCAATTCCAAAATTAGGGAAAGAAACTACAGAGGACTACCAATCACAAGTTGAAAATGTTTTTGTGAGACTGTTTTGCCATTCAAGAACATTTACAAAAAAAAAAGGAAACATTCTATTATACAAATAACAAAACAAAGAGGTCCAAATTACCTGAATAGTGTATAGAGCAGTGGCGGCAAGATGAGCTGGAGTTTCATATTGTTCAAATTTAATTTTTGGATTCTCAAATCCATTTAGACCCTCTAAATGACCTTGTAGGGTCTTCAGCTTCATTAAAGCTGACATTATCTCTCCTTTCACTTGTTATCAAACCTTGGTAGTACAGGGAGTATCTGGTTTCCAAATGAGGAGTCCTGGGAGACGAAGAAGCCACAAGATGTGGCGTTTGCGTGTTGTAAGGCTGCTCTATGGCTTGTATTTACTATATTGGCTTCAGGTAGTTGAGGGAATCCCTGAAAGAAATATGTACAACTTATCAGCTCAGTAACAAACAATAATGAGGTCCGGCTAAAATATTTGTGTACTTACAGCAGTGGCTGAAACTGGAGGGATAGAGCACATAGGCAACTGGCTGACAGGGTTTGGCTGTGTCAGCGATATAGAGGTGGCGGTTAGCGGAGCCACTGCACCTTGCTTCAGCAGCATCTGTTTCTTTAGTTGCAATTCTTCTAAAATTTTCCTATTCGTCAGTTCTGCAAGTTAACAACAATGTAATAGGAGTATGACATTTAAACAATTTAGAACGAGCCTACTCAAACATGTATTATGATTATAAATAATGCTCAATAAACCAATTAGAATATCATCAGCGCCTAAACTAACCTCTCTGTGCGTTAGGCTGCGGAAACGCCATCTAATATCCTGCTTACTAGTTTATTTCTACACATAAACAGCACTAAATAAAAAGCCTTGTTGTAATGAATGAAATAATACCAAATTATGATTATAATAATAACAAAAGTAATCTAGTAGAAACAAAGTTTACAAAATTGCATATTTTGTCCTCTGACAATGACATTGATGACAAATTGGCAAACACGCTGCCGTCACGCAAGTCAATATGATGTGACATTTCATATAGATAATTTTTAGAAATGTTCGGGAAGAACGGAACGTAAAGTTTATACGGTTTTTTGTCAAAAATATAATAATAATAATTAAATTAAAATTATATCAAAATATAATCTTGAATCAATAGCTTAACTTTTTGTCATGATGCAGAGACCAAAAAATATTTAGAGTTTGAAAGGAAAGTCAAAATTTCTTGACCGGATCCGGATGATCTGCCAACATATCTACATCCGTTCAGTAATTCGTACTTTCCGCAATTACCGGTTATGAGGTAACTAAGTATTTATTGACCAACTCATGCTGTGCATTAATAATACAATTAGAAAACCACTTTCAATAATTGTCCAGTCTATGAACTTTCAATGTGCATACAGAATTCTAAATATGAGAATCAAGATTACGTGTCTTAAAAAACGTTAAAGTAATTTTCCAACTAAGCTTTATTCCAGACATAAAGGTCATTGAACTTTACTGTCTAGTCGGCGCTTGAAGTAGCGTGGTTTCATAATGCCACAAGTACAAAATCTTCAGATCGAACCCATGACCTAGATACTATGTCCTCTAAAATTTTTTGCTTACTTACGTGTGGCATCCAAATTATTTTAATCAGACTATTTGTAAAATACTTCTAAAATAACATCACACTTTTTTGGCGGTAGGTAAGGATAGGCAGAGTTGTCAGTGTTGTACTGCGAACTATAATCTTGCTAATAGTTCCGGGTTCGAATAGAAACGATTTCTCATCAGCAACTATATCGTCGAAATATCCTAAACAAAATAACAAAGCATCATAATGGTGTGTCCACATTTATCGACTGCACCTCACGCGAGCCATTGCACTTTTTGACCTCGGTAACAAAGCAAAATTTTTTTTATTAATACAGCTCATATTCTGAAATTTGATCTATAATCTGATTTGCTTTTGCCCGCGATTCCGTTCGCTTGGAATAGTGCAAACTATGTCTGTACCAAACACAGAAATCGGTTCAGTAGTTTAGGCGTGAAGAAAAGACAGACAGACAGACAGAGTTACTTTCGCATTTATAATATTAGTTTGGAAGTTTGGATTCTTGCTTTAAGTGGTTATGATTTAAATATTAAAATGGGTGAGAGTAGGTGTATTAGGTACTCATATGATTTACATAATTATAAAAAAACTCAGTTTGGATTTTATATAAAAGCATTTATTTTAAAACAATGTAGGTAATAATATACTTTCTGATTCTTGGCAAAACAGTCTCACATAAGCAAGTCAACATTTGGCCTCTCTTAAGAATAAACATAAGACTAACATGCGCTGCCATAACTCACAAATGAATAAACTGAAATATCAGATAAATAATATAAAAGGACAAATAAAAAATTATTTCCATACAACTACATTGCAGTTAGCATTGCATCTTGGTTGAGCAATCTTAGATTAATTTGTTTATTAACGTAAATTATTCTAAATAAAAGGGAACATTAACATTACTAGAATTGACTCACAATATTAGCATATATAAAAAAACCATCTACTGTACCTAATTAACAGTTTTCACAGACGCAGACATTACAGTCCACAATGAGTTTGTGGTTTAATATTGATAAAATTTGATAATAAATGCACAACAAAAATATAATTTAAGTTGCCTTTGTCTTTTAAGTTTATAAAAATATATAACAATTTAGAAATAATTATAACAGTTCATCTATAAACAATTTGGAATAATATTGCACAAGCTCAAAGCTAAATTATTATGTGCATTTTTCATAAATACTATAAATATAACAACAAACCAACACAACACTTCGTAACTCTAAATAATTAGGTTTTATGACTCTCTTTTAATGACACACTTTATAGTTTAACCATCGACAACTACAATCCGGTACACGGGAACATTAGTTAGCTTGGCGTTGCTCGATCTGTTACTTAATTTTTAGAGGAAAATTAGACCATGACAAATTTCAGCCGCCATTGCGTATATCGCGTTTATATGTTCCTAAAACTAATCTTACTAATAGAAAAATAATATCACAGGCAAACATGTCAATTTTGTAAAGTCAGAATTTTTCACCTCGGCACAAAGCTTTGCTTGGCCTTGATTTCGTCACTATAAAAGCACAAATATTACAACTGAATTGAAAGAGCTTTATGGATTGATAGTTGTGAATATAACACAGAAATCTAAAATAAAAACATTAACAATGATTAAAGATCTAGAGAGAAGAAGAATTACTTATCAAATATTTAGTCAACGTTTTACAGTGTGTATGTTATGATTATAGTTGTCGATCTAAATCCGTAATTTTAGTTTACAATGTGGTCAAATTTCCAACATAGGACCGAATTCATAGCGCCGTAGATGCGGCAATTTAATTTCCACGATTGCCCTAGAGTTATTATACCAAATGATATATCTAAGGAACTCCAGTGAGGAAATATTCTTTTAATTATCATACTCTACAATACTAAAAACTAAGAACCGTTAACCGCGAGAACAAAGCGACCACATTGTCCCTCACCACCACCATCACCGAGTGTTGGTTTGTTAGAAAATATTTTCACAGCACAGGAACAAACACATTCTGGACTAAATAAAATCTGAAAATGATAACAACATTTGTTTTTAAAGACTAGCACGTAATTTTGGCACAACGCTGTGTCCTCTCAGAGCACAGTGGCATCGATGTTGTTCTCTTTATATACAAAAGTTTAAAGATTTTTGCTCAGTGAAAACTAAGGGTCGGGTGGGCCGGACGCGGCCGGAGACAGGTCGAGACTCGAGTCAAGCCGCGCCGCAGTCGGGCCACTGCGCGCGACGCCCGCTACTCGCCGACCGGGTACCGTCCCACCCACTCATTATTAACAATTATTAGGGTTTCACAAAGCTTACTACGACCAAAGTATCAGGAACAATGTTATTAGATTTCAATTATCATTTAACAATAGCAAGCAAAGTAAAAATACATATTTTCTTTACAATATTTGTGCCCAATGTGTCATGTTCGATGTATCGTTTTAAATTTATTTATGAAACCCTAAATTATAGTGACCGATTGTATCGTTCACATTTGATATGGACAGCTGCCATTACAATCATAAAATGCAAAATAATGTATATTAAATTTAGTACAAAATTATCGTAAATAATTAAAAAAAAAACTTATTTGAGTAAATAAATTCTCTTGTTCCATTGCTCATTCAGTGCTATAAAGATCAGAGTGTAAAAATAACTGTATTCACAGCGTGGGAAGCTTGTTCATGTAAAAATACATTACCCTGTCTCAGGTGGAGGTTAGGTTATTTATTACTTTGATATTTTCATTATTATTTTTAACAACAAATTAAATAAAAGTAGGTATCAAAACTATGCTAGGTGGAAGTTAGGTCAAGTGCTCGGCTGTACGACGAGGTACTTTTATTTTTACACCCTGCCTCAATGAGTATTTTACCCCAACAACACTCTTAAATCCAAACAACAGTACATACCTAACACTTTCCCTGTATAAATATATTATAGTCTTGTAAAAGAAACCTTCGAAACCTCATAGGTCATTAACACTACGTGAGAAATTACACAAGAGCATTAGGATACAATATATTGCTACGAGTTAACTTATCATTTGGCACTAAATTAACATATTGCATCTCGAGCATTCGTCACAAATATATATACTTGCAAATCCTTTAAACTCTCAATTTATCATTTCTAAATTACAATTAATTCATTAAATTTTCTAGTGATATAATTTTCATTGGGCCAAAAACTTCCATGTTCTATGTGAATGTGTTATGAACTATAAACGAAATATAAATATTTCATATATTGAGCAATCTGTCCATTCCCTTCTCACTTTCAAATACCTAGAGGTGTTTTAGTAACGGGAATGTGTGCTATACCAAACGTTAAAACACGAAATTAATAGACAAGACGCGTTCTCGGCAAGTAAAATTTGGCAAAATTGAGCATTAAGACTTTCAATTGGCATCGTAAAATATTACATAATAGTAAGATTTTACTACGTAGCACTGCGTGACTACTTATATATCCTAACTCTGGTAACTGTAACTTATTATAGGTACACCAATCTCTTACAGTTGACTGCTAGACATGTGCGAAGTGTACTGCGTAGTGTACACGACTCGGGCCACGGAAGCGGCGACTATTTGTACATCGAGCGAGTCCACCGCGTGACGTCACACGCCGGTCCACTGCCGTTTCCATGGTCCGTACATAATGATTATGTTATTTGTACAAGATGTACAAAATAGTGAAAAAACTAAGTATTACAAATTGATATGACGTAAACGTGAGACTTTATCATTATGAGAATTTAGTTATTGTTCAAAAGAACTATATATGACCGTGGACTTCTCAAGAGATCTTTCCAATTTACTAACTACATTTATAACAACTTGGTTAAAATAGTATTTAAAAATGAAATAAATCGTTTCTTTATCAAATAATAGTTATTGCTTTTTTGATATGATAATTACATCTGGTGGCAGATGCGCAGACAGGGAGGCGAGGGACCGCGGGCGGCGCTAGGCGCGGTCCGCGGTCTTCCCGGCACCCCTACTGGTACTCTTACGACACCTTATCATACAGACCGACTGTACAATAGTATAATTACGTTATAACTCTTAATGTATATTTTAAAAATATGACTGCTTTATATCCATCATGATCACAGCTCTCCAAAGACTTTACAATATCCAAACCTTGACGCTCCAAAATAAATTCTTTATTATCATTTACACCTATAAAACGAAATGACTATAATATCTATAAGATAGCTCTAAAAATTATGCCATTTTGATATATTTACTTTGCAATTGCAACGGTCCCTCGTACAGCACTTAAATGCCTCATATACAAATTTTAACGTAACGTTGAAAATGACTCGATTTATATTTAAACATAAAATATAGAAAGCAATAAAACGACTGACTCATGTCTATAAAAAATTTAGAAATAAAGCGGCAGTGTTTGCGAAAATTGGTGCAAATAGAATCTAACTACAAAACATGTCTTAGGAACCTGATAAATTATTGCTAGAGCTTCGGGCACGACTCCACTCCCCTTCCTTACAAACGACAATGCATCCCCGGCGCGGCCGGCAGATACATAACGAGATAAAATCTTATCAGTAGCCAATAGAAAAATATCACCTAAATAAATATGAATATTTTACACGGGCAACTCACCGTCGTCGTTCGTGGTCGCGTCGCCGCAAATAAATATAAATCTTTCCAAACGATCGACGGGAGCCCGTCCGCGACCGAGCCGGCGCGCCGCGACCTACGAACGCGCCTCGAGAGCGACGAGTATCTTTATTTTCTCTTCTTTTTTTGGTAAAAAATAACAAGATTATGAAATTGATATGCAACACCGCGGTCATCACTGCGCTTCGCCATCTTCTTCTGCGGCCGCGCCGCCCGCGCCTGCGCCCGCGCCGCGCGAGTACTCGCCTGCGCCGCCCGAGCCTGCGCCTCCGCCTGGACCTTTCGAAGCATCGCTGCAACAATTTACAACAACACTCAATGACCAAACTTTAACAAATCAATGTATGACTAGCTGACTGGTGAACTCCGTACAGCCTCAAATGTAACTATTTGTTTTGGCATTTTAAACCTTTCCTGGATCCACGAATAATTGACCAAAATTACCCAAATTGGTAAAGGCATTGTTGAGTTATAACATTACAACGAAAAGTGGCATTGATATGTCAGTAGCATTAACGGGCATAATGTGGCAACACATGGTGTTTTTTCTAGATATAAAGTGACAATAGAATTTAAATTGAATAATATTGAGTTGGGGTTGAACGTATAATGTAAACTTACTAGTTAGAGTAGGAAGAGCGTGCACTGCCGCCGGGCGCGTCGACGTCGCAGGGAGGGGGCCGCGCGGCCGCGCTCAGCAAGTAGTTGGTCGAATCGCTGAAACAGTTCGACAGCCTGCTACAAATTGTATTACTGCCTCCAGTAGCGCGGTATACAGATACATACATCTTGCCATATTGACAATAATCAACTGTCTTAATATCTTTTATATGTTATGCCTAATATTAGCTCATTAGAGTCCCCGTTTCTGATTATGTTTGATGAGAAATCACAATTTTCATACAAATAGATTAATCTTAAAAGATTTTAAAGCCCCATTTGTTATTTTTTAATGTTCATTCTGATGAATTACATCATCAATAAAAAAAACTATTTTAAGATGTCATTACTTATAAATTGTTCCCATCTCTAGAGGTCTGCTAATTTGTTATTTAAACGAACAAAATAAGTGTAAACGTACGATTGTTACAGAAACATCAATAAACACCAAACTCGATCTAATTGAATTCCCCCATACTAACAAAGGTCAGCAGTACCAAAGGTTACAACTGATAATAAAAATCTGACCATTGGATTCCATTGATTGTGATGTTTAGAATTATTTATTCATCTTCACGATATAATATGATACAAGTGATGAAGGACTGCGGCTGGAGTTTCGTCTTGTAGTCATTAACATTATTATTTATAGTATTTTGAATAGCATTTATTACAAAATTGTAGATACACTTGATGACCTTTCAAATTGTACACTCAATGTTTGTAAGTTATCCTATGTAACTATATGGGTGTACAATAAAAACATAATCATCATCATCATCATCATCACATCAGCCACAGGACGTCCACTGCTGAACATAGGCCTCCCCCATTGACTTCCAAAAACATAATAAATAAAACAAATTAATTAACTGCCGACAATTATCCTGTTGAGGGCAAATCCTCCGCTAGTGTGGCCCATGGTGTCCATAACACAGTCAGAAGTTAGACAAATAAATGAAATGAAATAAATTAGTGATAAAGTACTAAAGCAGAATATTATAAACATTTTTGTTGAATTTCTTCAAGTTGAATGTCATGGGTCGGCGCTGCCCCCAACATTATCAGTAGTGCGGTTTGCTATCTCAATGTTATGTTTAGCACAATGTACCAGCATGGCGAAAACATGACAACGCTGTCTCGGTAATGACATATTCAACCGATATCATTATTTATATGTACGAGGTATTCTGTGATGTCATTTCGCAACGTACTCATGGCGATAAGCATGGCACACATGGTGGACTGATAACCTCACTCACATTTCTTAAGATTAATAAAAATGTAAGTGTATTTATCAAATACTAGAGTAGGTACCTACAATGTCCGTCAGGTCATTATACCTATCTCTTCAGTAGGCAAATATCCACAAGATACCGAGAGCAGAAATGAGCGGTCCCCTACGCATTAATACTAGTGGTCAGTTCAAAAGGTTTTTATGTTTATTTTTGATGATTACAAAACATTTAAAATAGTTTCTGATAAGCAAGGAGACGTCTTCGTCGCATTTATAAGGCGACTGTGGATTTGTATTCAGTTTATGTGGAGGACTGTAACTTAATTTACAAATTCATATTTTTGATGTTTATGAATAACTTACAACAACTAGGTATTATAATGCACAGCCAACCTATAAGACCAATAGTTCTGTGTATAAGACATTCGATTTTAAAACATTACAATGTTAAAATAGCACATTGGAAAAGTCATTGAGTCAATCTTTCTGTTAATGGGAGAAATAATGATAGTTTCCTATAATTTGGAGACTGATTGATCGACGTCGCGTAGATTAAAATATTAATTATCATAGAGCTCTGCTGTCCAGTCCTGGGCAAATGTGAAATTCCCGTGTCAGCGCTCTAATGATACCAGTGTGGTAAGCATGGTTTGATGAAAATGTCTCCAATCTGCCTTCAGTAAATAGCACACGGCGTATACACCAAAAGGCTGCAATTGAAATGGTGTAGAAACGAATGAATAGCGACGTGTGGTGTTAAGTGTAAGTTCACCTGGCGGTCCTCATCCTGAGCGCGGCGCAGTTCTCCTTGCACTTGTAGGCGAGCACCTGCTTGATCCTGCTGACCTCGACGTCGGGGAAGTGTCGGCTGACGTAGGAGATGAGCGCGTGCACGCGGCGCCGGTCCAGCGGCGGCTTGGTGGGGCGCGACTCCTGCCCCGCGCGCGACCAGCGCTGCCCCGTCACCGAGCACGTCGCCAGCTCGATGGGCGAGAACAGCGCCGCCGCCAGCCCCCGCGTCACCTTCCGGTAGTCGCCCCACTTCACGCCGCGCAACAGCTCCTCGCGAATCTCCACGCCCTCACCCAACTTTATCTACGATATAACATCAATACATTATCTCTTTACTACCAAATCTAAATTGCATATCTATTTATCATACGATTTGTCATTGGTGATGCTCAAATGCCCACAGAAAATTGCAAAACTCAAATTTACATTACACTTCCTATAAAGGACATATAATAAGTAGAAGTTTCATAAATAGTAAGGGTAGGCTTAGAATACAGAACTTACAAGTCTAGGTGCGGCGGCTCCGCGCTCGTTCTCCCGCTTGATGACGAAGGGCAGGGCGCGCCGGTGCTGCTCCAGCCAGACGGCGTCTGGGACCGGACGGTTGCGTCTACCATCCCACCTTCCCACAGCTAGTACACACACCACAATACATTACACCAACTAACTTACGAGGATGGACAAAGATAATTCTCATAGATACTTGTCTCATTAGAAAGACGCTCGTAATCAATGCGTAATACGATAAGTGATAGGCGACCATGCAGCATTATAAAATAACTTGATAAAATTTAATTCCAAGGTTATAGTTTCATGTATTTCGCCGAGTAAAATATCAAGGTGAACTCGTTCACCACGACCCACTGGTAACTAAAAAGCACAATTTCTTCGCAATACTTTATTTGTTGATATTTAGTAAAAAATACATTGATGTATGTACACAAGTTTAATAATCTGCACACAAGCGAATGTGCAGACAAACGAAGTTAATTACATTTTATTAATTCTCACATTAAAGATAGACAAATTAGCAGTCTGTAATTGCTTGAGATACTAAGATAACAAGAATATAACAGATAGACTCAACATATTGAACATCTGATTGACCATGGTTTGAAAGCGGGACGTTACTAGCCTCCTGCAGCCGGTCCAATGAGCTCTCATGTACCGGCGGGCAGGTACAATAATGTCTTGTTAATTGCACTCAATTATAAATTATCATTCTTCTGTGTTAACGACATCAATAAACATTAACCATTATATTGATAGAATTTCTAGTTTTATATAATTTCTATTTAAGTTCAGCATGTGAAGAGATTCATTTTTGTATATACATTTATAGTTTTTTTTTCATTAATTTATGAATATGACAATAATAAAAGCTGCGCCTTAAATTATTAATTGGGATTAAAATTATTATTTAAGAAAAGTGCTTTTTAAAATTACTATTACTAATACGTATAAGCGATTATTTTAGATTAATTATTTATTATTGCAAAAAACTTTCGTCCGTAATATTTTAAATATTAAACAGTGTTAAAAATAAATGCAAGATCGAAATTTGGAGATCATGGAAATTAAATCACTTGAGATCACACATTATTCCAATAAGTTTACAATTAAATTTTCAAAAGATAAACTAATATTGTTACTCACAACCCTAATCATACCTTTAAGAAGTGTCCCCTCTAAATGCTTTTTTATTACAAAATGACTAGATGTGCTTTTTTCATGGCAATCATTTAAATACATCTACAAAAACATTAAAGAAATAACCGATCGAAATTTAAAGTTATATAAAAATATAAAAAAAACCCCTCGTCTATGTTACCGTAAATACGCATAGTGCTAGACACTGGGCTAGTGGGGGGTATGGCAAGTTGTGGTTCAACAGTACATATACTATCTATTGCTTATATATTCAACATAACATCAACAGTTACGCTCAGCCTCGTAGCGCTCTAATTGCTTCAATTCTATTATTATATTGTATATTAATCACTTAAACTCTTGTTTATTGTATATTAATGAAGAGGGTACCGTAGCCACCTGGCTAGGGGTAGGCTGTATACTGTTATGGCCCCATCGACATACAATCGCTATTGTAAAACTTGCTGCAAATTCTCATATTATCCTTTAACTAAAACAGTATTCTTACCATAAGTACTAGAAACAATGCGAGGATAAACTATAACCATCATATTAATTGAACAAATAATAATCTTGACCTAAGCTAGCGGCACCCTTAGCAAGGCAGTTCAACGTGCATTCGGCAATGTTAACAAATAATGATATTAATATTATATTTGCTATTTATTATTGTGTAATAAAATCGATCGGAAGCCATTGGTTGAATGGAAATGTTAACTGACTATTTAAATACGATGAGCATATCAACAATGCACACGACTTGGTATGGCAACAAAAGTGTGGTGGTTCACCCTAAATGACTAATATATAGTAGGTATGTATCATTTTAATATACGATTTTTGAAGACTTACTATTCATTATATCTGAGATTTTGTACAAACTATTTACCGGGAGCCGTCCAATCACTCAACAATAACATTGTGTAAAGATAAAACTATTGTGTATAAAAATATCACTATTGTAGTTGAGCGCGGACTTATGGACACTCAAAGCTTCGTACATGAGTCCGTGCATTCGACAAATAAAACGGATATGGTCGACACTTTCCGTCGTCTGCAGTACAAAAAAATTACACTCTATTATGAAAATACAGCTATTTTATTTATTTATTTATTATTTCTATCTTAGACAGATAGTGTCGACCAAATGTGGATAACGTGTATAATGTCTGTATGTATAATAATTATGTAACCAGTAAATAACCTATGTTATGTAAAATCAGCACCGGTTGCAACAAATGCTTTAACAACAATCAGTCTATTGTCAGAAAGGAAGGTACTGTGGTGTCCCCTTAACGAGCTTCAATTAGTCACTTAACTAGAACCCTTATCCACCATGACTCAATGGTCATACGATCGTTTTTATGACTAAAATGTGGGTTTCCTATAGGTATATTTTTAACCAAATTCCCCTTACTCCTTAATGACGCAAGGTTACAGTTTAACAAAATAACCGAAAGAGGATCGGTGAAATGCTACTACATGTATCTTTTATTGCAACGTTAAACTATTAATGGAGAAATCGTCTTCCTACTAAACAGTAGGAAGTACTAAAAGAAGCTCGGTAATGCGACGCGTATCTGGCACTCGGTATATTATAGAAAGGCACACAATAAGCGGAGAGGTGTGACGGCAAATAGGCCCCCGGCGACACTCCGATCACAGACTAGATATATCTATTGACAGTCTTCGTTACGACTTTATAAGCCACATCTTCACGACTTCGCCATACGAAGAGACACAACGCTACATTCCTTATTCTCTACTCAGTATGTATCATAGCAGTGGAATGCTATAAAACGGTTTCGTCGGAGGAAAGAGCTCGACGCGTAGCGCGCGATAAACATGGCCACTGATAAATAGGCGTGCAACAGTTATCGCAGGCGCGGCGTCATATCTACGGAGATCGGTAACGGGGGGTCTCCTCCGGCGCGCGGCGGGGGCGAGAGAGAGCGCGGCTACTGCTGGAAGCGCTGGGCGGGCCGCAGCGCGGGGAGCGGCGGCGGCGGCTTGAGGCGCAGGCGCGCGGGCGGGTGCTGCGCCAGCGTGTGGCGGCGCAGGTACAGCGGCGTCTTGAAGGAGCGGCCGCACGTGGCGCACGCCACCGGCTGCGCCTCGTGGATCAGGCGCACGTGCTGCCGCAGGTTGGACGCGTTGCTGTACCGCCGCCCGCACACCGCGCACTGCACGCCCGCGCCGCCCGCCGCGCCGGCGCCGCCCGCTGCCAACAACACCAGTTCGCATGCCGCACCGCGCCCGACCGCGCCGCACCCGCGCCGCCGCCGCGCCTCCCATCGGCTAGCCGTATTCAAATGCTAATGCTATCGCTCTACTCACACCCACTACCTTCCTCTAATTCTTCTTCTTCTAAACTTCCACTAATCTTCCCAATGATTGGATGAACCCTGATTTATTTAATGAATTTGCCCTAAATGATGAATGACTTGCTTGCAGACTAGTAGTAAGTATATAATGTAAAAAGATCAAGATCGGAGATACTGAATTGAAAAGAGTGAGGGTAAACAGCGGACGATAGCATTTGAACAGGATGAGAGTAGGCCGCCTGTCGGGGCAGGTCGGAGCCGGCAGCCGGTGGGAGGGTGCGGGCCGTGGTCGCGGCGCCGCGGCGAGAGTGCGGTCGCGGTGCGGGCCGCGCGTCGCCCGACACCCGCGCGCCTAGCCACCTGACTCGATACACTATACGAGACCGCGCGCTCTCTACTATGACCGAATTATTATTTTTCGTCAAATCGCTAAAAAAGAGGTTCGCCGGGGGCGCGGCTGTCCGAGTCGACGTGTGCGTGTGATAATGACGTGATAGTGAAAAAAAAAGCATATTTACCTTCCGCGTTCTCGTCTCGCAGCTCTGTATTCATCCCGGCCATCAGATCCATATTACCTGCGAAAATAGTGTAAACCGTCATTATTTGAATAGCATCGGTTTGGAACTCTTCCAAACAAACATATTGTTACAAACCTTGCAGTGCAGCAAATGGATTCGCAAGCGCGTTGTTCTCGTTGTAGTAGATCTGTGGGAAGTTGGAACGCTCCTCGTCGCTGGCCTCTTGTTCCATTACTTCCATTTTTGGTTCCAGAAGATCGGTTGCATTGAATTCTTGGCATTTGTCTGTTCTGTCAGGGTCTCCAGGGTCCATAAGTATATCACTCTCTTCATTTTTCACCTCAGGTGCTTCGAGATCAGTTTTTACCCTTAGAGCTGGGTAATTGGGAGTTTCTCTATAGTCATCATTATTAGGCCTCATTTGACTAGAAGTTTGAAAAGGAGCTTCTTCATTGAGATTGTTTCTGGCAACATCGGGAGAATTTCTCGTGGAGCGACGACTTGCATTTTGATCTTGGTCTTCAACAGATGTCGTCTCGACATTTTGGTTTGCGGCTTTGGAAGAGGAGGTAGAGTGTGACGGCTTGGCGCTGAGCAAATTACGTAGTTGGGAAGGAGGTGATTTTCGATTCACTTTCTGCAATAAATCAGTATAAACAGATAGTGTTAATATAGAGTTATAATAATAGTGCATGCGATAATGTATTGTATTGGATTACTTTGTCGTTGTGTTGTGAACAGTCTGTGAGGCCTCTAATTTGCAGCGCGTCGGCAGTTCGTAGGAAAGCGCTGAGTTGCGCCTGCGCTATGTTCACTTGTCCCACGTACATAAACTGAAGCAGCGCGCGCACGTGCGACACCTCGCAGTCGCGCATGAATATTATAGGGTGAGGACATGGATTGTTCTGAAAGTAACAATATGCTTTAATCAACAATAACAATCAATAACAACAGCCGTCATTATGATAAATAGTGCTATACTAGTATGCAACTGTTTTCAATTTATCATTTTAACTTTATAAATACTGATTATGATGACTATGATCACCTCATTGATATAGGTACCCATGTTGCAACTGCTTTCATCATGAAAAACATTCAACCTACTTTTTAATGTAAGCTATAAAAATAAAGGGTATTGACCAAACATCTTAATTTTATTACATAATCAAGATTAAATAAATAAAACCATTGTTCATAAACATAACAAGAGTACAACAGTGAACACTATAGCTATATTGCTGTCTCTGTTCTTTGAAAGGAGAATGACAATGACAGGTAGTGTTTATCAAATGTTTATGAATGTCAAGTTTTTATGAACAAGGGGGATAATGTTTGAACTTTGGAATCAAAAGGTTAACATACAACAAACCAGAGTAAATTATTCTATTCTTAAGTTGTAATGAGAAGATGTACTACAACAAGTTACTATCTTTGTTTAATAATGGTGCTTGATTAATTTAGCTCATGCATTGTTAGTAACAAGATAACATGTACTTAGATTGATAAAATGTGATAGGAAAAAATGTTTATGGAGAATATCAATACAAGTATAATCTTAACCTACAAATTAGAATGTCACAAAGTAAAGTTATTTTTAGACAGATGAAACACTCAAATCAGTATTCACCCTCCCATTGAAATGGAGATTTCCGAACAGCAGCATCTATTTTAAGGTGATTTTCAGTCTTTGTTAAATGCTAGTTGATATTTAAGTTATTGTTATGAGTTTGGTGATAAAATCTAATATAATATGTTTCACCATTAACACAAAGCAATTACACCATAACATTTCAATCAGCTTAGATAAATAGGCTCAATATTGTACAGGTAAAAGTCTATTGTTTAAATAAAAGGCACTTCACTAGATAAGATACAAAAAGAAATACAAAAAGATGACAAATTAGATTATGACAATAAAGGATGGTTAAATGTCACAAAATTTAGGTGATAAAACTCATTTACAGTGCAACAAAAGCTAATTAGAACTTACTTTATAGTTGAGAGCAACAGTAATAAATTATACATTAGTAAAGATTAACTGTGAACTATTGATTTTTCTAGTCAATATAGAGATGACTGTTGAACTTAGTGGCATTATCTGTATTATTGATTGGACCACAAATACAAAAATATAGAAGCTGATAAAATAATGCTACACATGTACTGCACTATGTGTCTGGACCACTTTCATCATTCATTTGGTAGGTCATCTTTGTGCTCATAAAGATTTCAGTACCAATGACCCCAGATAAAAGTGTGTGTTACAAAACCATTTTTAATAGGTATATTATAATTAGGCAAACATATTCATTAGCATCAACTGTAATGGTTACACTATGTGTATAATGAATTCATTATATGCTTCCAAGACAAATGTAATCTATAGCCCCAATGGTAATGAGTTAATTAGAAATTGTGAAACAGAATTTTAAAGTAGGTACAAATAAATGAAATCACGAGTACTTAACCGGAACGCGAGACATGGCATTTGTAAGTAGATCAAGTGTTTTATACATAACAACTTTCACTAGAGTCATTGTAATGGTGACACATCAAAGTGTGGGGAGTGAAAGATGGACTTACTTTAAATAATTCCTTGAAATATGGACTACATGCCGAAAGAACCACTTTATGTGCCTCCAGCCGGTGCCCCTCACATGCCAGGGTGACATCCACGAAGTCCTCATCATCGCGCAATGCCTCGAATTGAGAAGTTATATTCGCTTGAAAATTGTTCCATCTCAAACAAAATTGCTGGTCGCCACCCAGTTCTGTACCTTCCATTACTTATAGACATAACTCGATATCCCTGCTCATTTAATTGGTTGATAAGAATAGTTAATTATTGAAAATAAATATATCACAGTAACTTGCAATTTCAGTCGCCGTCTGGCCGAAAATCTTATGAAAGAAAACAATCAATAAAATCTCGTACCAATATAAGAAAAATAAAAACTTTTTAATTTGTCATTTGGATGGTACATTCACTTCAACGTTCCGTTACACTTTTTGATTCGTCACCGGTTTTTTCTTTTTTTTAACACAATAAATCGAAATTATGTCTCAAGCACGGTTTGAAACTTAGCAGATGACTAAATAGTTATTTTAAAAATAATATGAGACATTACATTTTTGTTTCTTCAAATCTCTCTTGCTCTAACAGTGACTCATTTACGGTTAATTAAAATATATTAGCATGTGGCAACATTATGGCCCATTCTTTGTTACCATAATTTCACCGTCATCAGCTCTAATGTAGCTCTAAAATTAACAAATACAATTATTATTGTAATAAATTCAAGGTCTATTCAGAAAAATGGAGCTGTTATTCACCAGTTTGTACTGTACTAAAAATATAATAATGATAACTCTATGTTTTTGAGCTCATTTTAGGCATTGAATTGCCAATGAAAAAAAAGTGTAGGTACTTTTATAACAAAATGTTTTTTTATTGTTATAAATAGGGTAGATTAGAGTTATATTGAGGAAGCCAAATTAATTCTGTTTCTAACAATTCTTTGAAGACGAAAATAAATATTTTCTCTATCAATTTTAATTGACAAATTCCTTTGTCATCCAGTACCTAATTATTATTTATTTTCCATATTTTTAGTAGAAATATAACTTCACTACTTAGAAGGAAGACTACTTATGCAGAAAAGTTACCTGAATATGAAAGAGCCACTTGAGCAGTAACTTGTTAGAAAGATTACCATGTGCAATTTGAAATGTTTTTATTGAAATACATAATATAGTCAATAAAACAAAATGGATTGCAAAAAGATTCTTATAATTAGTATATTTGTATTAAATGGTATGAATAAGTATAATAAACTTATGAATGTACTGTCTACTAACACAAAGAGTTAGCAGTAGTATTACATTGAAATCAACAACAAAATTCAATTTCTTTCACAGATTTACAAATAAAAATTAACAAAACAATAAATCAACAATAATTTATAATGCTTGTTCTCCTTCAACCATTTCTTTCAGGTTAAGTAGCTCAAATTGTCCAGTTCCCTTAGTTTCTGTCCTAACCAACTCATCTAAAACTCTGAAGTTTCCTGGATCAATGAGACAAATGATATTAGCAGTGCCAGAATCCCAATTCTCTTCTTCTACACTCATAGCAAGTTTCACAACCTTATCCTTTGTTTTTCTTGCTTCTTTGCCAGTAAGCAAAATTCTCACTCTCATCTGAGCTCTCTCTAGTGGAATCTCTTTTTTCAACAGCTGTATCACATCAAGGGACTGCTGTTTAGCACTTTTGTTCACATTCACTGAGAAATGGATATCTTTCATTGCTTTTTCTATGATAGACACAGGATATGGCCTCTTTGTTTCAGGATTCACACATTTATCAGCTACTGTGGTGGCTATGTCCTTGAATAACGAATCAATTTGTGAATGCCTTTCCTTATCAGAAACTTGCAGTTCACCTTTTTCCAATATCTCTTTGCATATTTCAGTTTGATCATCTTTGCCAAAAATTTTAACTAAATCTTCTTTCTTGGCAACTTGTCCTTTGGATACGTTTGTAAACACTGTGTGTGTCTGCAGTACTTCATCAATGTCTTTTTCTCTGAAACATATACAATAAAACAAATACATTTGTGTCAATTTCTTTAGTAATAGAAGTATGCAAAAAAGTTTTAAATCAGTGACTCACAATTTATTTCGCCATGATAAAACCTTATTTCTGTAACATGCTATTTCAAATCTCTTTCCACCTTTTTTTAACCTTACGATGGCGACATTAGTTAGGCGAATTTGATTTGTTGGTGTAAATATCTTAGACATGGCGATGACTATTTATTCTCATAGATTACTATAAATCAAACTATCTGTTTCTATAAGTAAACAGTACAACACATAGTGTTTAAAATATTTTGCACTTTCGCAGATCGCACTTTTCAGAAACAGTGTTTTATATTTTATAACGGAGGGTGGATGACACACATGTCATTTCAACTACAATTTGTCAATTTGATATTTTCAACTTTTCAAGTAGGTAGATAACAAATAGTAGTACAGATTATATCGATTACATGCCTTATGGCTATCGGACCGGACCGGACCGGACGCACAAGTACAATCAAAATCTAAGTTATACTTTCATTAGATGTGACAAATGAATTTTAGTCGTTAACTATATCTAGTTTGTTTATCTCAATTTACAATTAAGGTTGCAACATTAATAAAACATAATTTCAGTGTTTTGTTTCATAGGAATTAATTTCAAATTTTATTTACTGTCACTCAAAATCAAGATTTTATGGGCAATTTTAACGACATAAACCTTTCATTTCTATGGATGGTCTACGGAACGTTCACACATTCTTTCACATAATTCACATCCGCTTTGTAATTCAAAACGTTATGGTTGGTTGTTGAAAATTGAAAATATCGTGTTATCTGTGGTCGTGCTGTGTCAGACGCAACGCACGACGTGTATTTCTAGAGAAGTTGGCCGTCATTTTGTTATATTTGTGTATTTTATCTGCGATTTTATGTGATTAATCGTTAAAATGGCGAAATTAGTTGATATATACAACAGCGAAAAAGAACCTGTGATAAAAAGACGGCAATTGCCGTTAACTATCTACGAAAACCTTACAGTAAGTGGTATCATGCACTTTGACATTACCACAAGCGTAGATTACCTATTCAAAGATAGAAATAATTAAAGATAATCAGTTTTTTCGATGTAAAGAGTAAACATTGCCATACAAACTTAGTCACTGATAGGTAGTTACGTTGTAGTTTAAATTTTTAAGCAATTGCGGCTATAAAATTTTATCAAAAGTTCATTGATTTCATTCAGTCTAATGACGTCTTGCAGATGACCTTATTTTGCGAATATATTTCTTTGTTGAATATATCCAAATTTGTTTTTGTTTTCAGATGATCATGGATTTAAACACAATGGGTTTAATTTGTGACAATCCACAAGTAAAAGGTCGGGAGTACGAAGAATTTATGCGCAAATATAAAATTCTAACGACGGACGAACTTAAAGCAGCGCTCAGAGTCGATTCTTCTGATATTTTTAATGTATTAAATCAAAGCATTCCTTGTGTAGGCTGTCGAAGAAGGTATAGTATATTAAAAAGTAACAAATTATATTAATTAATACCTAGCTTAAAGAATGTAGTCACCCATATTAATGTAGTTAATAAAATATAAAATAATAATATTGCGATGCTCATTGTACTATAATTAGACAAGAATACAATGAACCAACAAGTTTTAGGTAAAGTATAGATGGAGATTGAGTAGTTTATTGTTTATTATATTGTTGATATTCATAAGAGTACCAATGTACTAATAGTAGTTCCAATGTACAAATATAGTTAACCTGCAACTTGATATTGGGAGGCACCATGATCATCATAACTTATTAAAATAATCATAAAAATCCTAAAATAAAGTATACCAATGTGAAAGTAAAATTTGTCCATTCAGAATTAAAGTTACAATTCATATATTTTAAACGGTATTTTGAAATGACTTGAGTAAATATCATGAAATATGACCAAATATTTTCATGGCTATGTTTTATTTGCCAATACATTATTATATTTATATTTGTTATCTTGCATGAATGTTGTAAGAATTTTTTAATATGCAGTAATTTCCTTTTTTTTACATAGACCAACTAATACCAAAATAAAAATATAGTGTAGCACGGGGTCCATCTAAGTAAATGAACTGATTTCAAATGGCCCCTAATTTTCCAACTTTGCGTTTGAATAGTAGATTGTTAGCTAGGATAGGGTTGCAAGACAGTAAAGAAGTAAAGGGCAGCTCAGTGAGCTACATAGCTGTTTGCTGAATTTAGTTTAATAACATCTTAACATAAGAAATGTACAAAACTGGCTTTTGCCAGTGGCTTCACTGGTGTTTTTGGGAAAGAAGAACCTCATTTGTTATTTCAGACTTAAACATTAGTAGGATATTTATTAAAGAAAATGTAGGTTCTAATTACTAGTCTATTAATGTTTTCAATGTTGTAACAAAAGGTCTTAAAAATTGAAACTTAATTTTTTTTATTGGGTCAAATATTATTGATAATTTTGTGAGTTTTGTATTTGTGTTTAGGCAATAGTTACTTGGAATAGAAAGGTCAGAATATATACCTATATACCCAAGACCCCTTGTTCAACAGTGTGTATCATGAGCAATTTATGGTGAACCTCAACTACAATAGTATTAAACTGATTTTTGCAGTGTGGAACGCCTTTTTTATCAACTATGTAAATCAGGACATCCCACATTGGATCCATTAGTGCTGACACCAGATGAAATAATGACAATAAGAGAAGACAAAATAATTCATCCACAGTCCCTAGCCACATTACTGAATGGTCACAGGTAATAGTTTTTTTCTAACTTAGTTACAAAAATAAGCTGCCTAGAGGCTTAGTCCTTCTTTCTCCAGTCGCTAGATCTCCGAAACTCTTATCATAAACGCCAGCAATCCACTCGTAACTCCTCTGATATTGCGATGTCCTTTGTGGCGATATTTGCCGTCTTGAAATACACCAACTTGCTCGCAAACCTATCACATAAAAAACCCTGCTCATCTGAGTTGGATTGGAATCTCCAGGTTGGATATTCTGTCCCAGATGTGCAACATCATAATATAAAATTGTTTTCGGTTTATCCATGTTCATCTTAATTGGATTGGTTTCAAACTATCTTAAGTCATCAACCCTGCATAAGTGACTTTGTATTAAATCTTGTTGATAGCAATGTTCTATCTCACCAATTCTCCTGCAAACTATTGATTGCCCAAAATTTTATATATTACCTTTACCTTTAGCTCACCTAGCCATAAGCAACTATTCACGTCACTCAAGCGTAGGGAATACTGACAGAATTCCTAAACTTAAAATTTCAAACTAAGACTTTATGGAACTGTAAATATCGAATATATTCCTGACCTGAGACTTACATCCATAAACCTTATGCAGAGGCTTACTTTGAATAACATAGAAATGCATGAATATTTTTTTTATTTCAGTTCGGGAATAGAATGTCTTATTCTTAGCCAGCCCAGGTGGAAGAAATCTCAACGATGTACATTACATTCGTTAGAGGCTGGCACGGCCCGGGGCTGGGGTGGGCAAGCGACGAGTGCGGGCACTGGTGCCACGGGGACGAGCGCGCCGTGTGGCTGGGGCTGGGCAGCATGGGGCTGGGGCGGGCGGGCGGCCTGGCGTGCCGCTTGGGACGCTATGCGTGCCTCGGCCCGCGACCACGTCACCCTCGTACACTTTAATACGTTACACGACACTCTCCATAACTATTTGAGAAAGCATCGTTTCTGTGCTGATTGTAAAACTAAGGTGAGCTTTTAACTTCTAATTGACCAATAACTTCATCATCTTCTTGCGCCTGTTTATTCCATCACTGGATGTAACTCTTTTTTAATATGCTCTTTATCACTAATAAATATATGTTTATTCTTGTTTGTACTTGTGATATAGAAACATCATGTTATATTTATAAACACAGAATGTGTTTTACCTACAGTCAATAAATTTTAACCTTATCCAGTGTTTCAAAGTATAGCCTGCTACTTACATAATACTTATACATTATCATTATCAATCAAAGAATAACTGATATAAATTGTAGAAAATTCATTGTTATCATTTTTACTTACTGATGCAATAATATTACATATAAAAAAGAAACATTTTATAAAAGAAATACATTTAAAAAAAAAATATATCTAGGCAAACATTTACCTATGATAAGGTTTGCCATCAATCATTATGATGTATTGTGGTATTTTTTTTATTTGGATTGCTTGAAATCAATACTGTCAAGTAAATAATATCCTAAAAACTACATAAGATTTATCAATTTACTGCCCATACAGCATTGAAAGTTGAGTAAGTATTAAAAAAAAAACAATGATAAAGTAACTATTGCAAGGCTGTGTTGTTGTTCAAACTAATTTCTGTTGCCTTCAATGATGACTCACTGTGATAACATAATAATATTGCCCGCAGGTATTGAGAGCTTATCAGCTGTTAGTGGAAGAGAAAGAACCACAAAAAGAGAAAGGATATGTTGGTGCGCTGTATGGTGGTATCAAGCGATGTCTTTTAGATAAGCACCTGCACTTGCAAGCTAAGACTGACTATATCGCGCACCTTATAGCTAGAGCGGAGCCTGAACTATTGGGAAACCACAGAGAGAGGCATGCTAAGACATTGGAAATTGCACAAGAGGAGGTATGTATAACTCAGAACATAGTTTGTTCTAAGCAAGACGGCAATAGTGTTGTGCTATTGTTATGATTTCTTCCCTAGCTAGGCTATTCGAGTATATTACTAAAAACAAACTGTTTATATGTACAGGTACTTATCTGTCTCGGCATATGTATTTATGAGCGACTGCAACGCATCTCTCTAAGGCTACGCGAAGAAGAAGGAACGTGTCAAACCCTCACCGCGGTCGCAGTAGAGGCACTCTATCGCAAGTTTGAAACAGCTGTGGAACATAAAACCGGAGTCTCAAAACTGCAGCTTCTATATGATGAAATTACTCAAGAGGAACAAACCAGGCAACAGAGAAAGGAACAGAAGAAACTCAAACGACGCAAGAAGAAGGAACGACAAGCTGTCGAAAGCAAATGCAAAGTAAGCTTTAACTTTTTTTGCTCCTGTTTGGCTAGTTGTACAATTGTACATATACATTTTTTTTTACTAATTTATTATACCAATCAATTTGTGACAGGAGGCTGATTCAGAAGAACCTGATGAAAAGTGCCAATGTGAGGAATGTTTATTAGAGGAACGAGACACGCCAACGGATCTGCTTTCACCGCGTGACTACATTAATCAACAGTGTTATGAAGCCAGTGGTGATGGATGTCAGTCGTGTCAAGACGATACTACAAAACGTCGCTCACCCAAAAAAACGGGCAAGAAACGGACCAAAAACGGTAACCTGTCGCCGAACGAGCATTCTCAAGACTGTGGGTACTCATCTGGGAACAATGGAGGTTGCTGTGAAACTATGTCTGGCAGTTCCTCTCTCATGAGTTCACCCGAAGGTTCTGAAGTGGCTTGTTCCGAAGGGTTCTGTAATCATGAGAGAGGCGACTGTTTAGATTTGGCTAAAAATGATAAGTCTTTATGCTCAGGTTTCACACTTTCTCTACAGGAAATGTTAATGGTAAGTGATGAGATAAAATTCAGTTCAACAACTATACTGCATGTAACAAATTTGTATTTAAAAAAATGCATTATTTTCAGGACACATGTTCATCAGATGAAGAACAGGATACAAGTTATATTCCTATAGAAGAGGTAATGGAATTTAAATCACGTAGAAATATAACTGAAAAAAGACAGGAGTTACGACAGAACCTCCGCCAAAAATTCGCTCAGCTATGTGTGAACACGCCGCAGATACAGCCGCTTAAACAAGACAAGTAGGCCGCCTGAATGGCGACACTTTCCCGTTATCATTCAACTGCACTTTGTAAACCCAGTCATGTTATTCAAGATTGGCTATAAACCTGCTTTTATGGCCTGTAGATAAAACTCCTAATACATAATACTAATATCCGGGAATCCAGTAAGTAATATATCGTAATCTGGTCAGCAATGTTCTGATTATGTGCATATTACATCTACATTCAATAGTAACTAATGTTAATTATATGTACTGTAGCATACCAGGTTAAGTTCTTCAGGTCTATCTCCCTGCATATGATAGTAAAATAAAATGTGTTAAATACTCAGTAATGTGCATTATATCTATACTAGTTCAACATTATTAAGCAATCAGTTCAAATATCGTATAGACTGACATATTGTTATAACATTATAACAAACATTGAATTTGATATATTCTTGAAAAATCCAAATCAACAAAATATAAACCATCATCTCAAATCAACATCAACATTGTACAGAACAGAATCAAAGTAAAAAATGTTCTTAAAATAATACACCATTTATAATAGATCCATGTACTGTAACCATAATGCAATAGATTAGTATAAAAATGTTGGTGGATGCAAATTTAAAATAGTTCATAAATTTATTTGAATTAAAAAAAATTCATGTGTTAAATTGTGTTCGATGGCATAGTGCCTAGCACTGGAAAATCTGCAAGTGCATGTTTGAATGATTCCAAAAATACAATGGATTGACTGGATTAAAACCAGCATTTAATATATTTACTATTTAAATTGTTAGAAAGCTTAGTAATGAAATATTTAAAGTAGCATTTTTGATCAAATTATTTTATTTCAATGCTTTATGTGACTCAACATTGTATGGTTCATGATGAATTATTGCTCGTTATCAAAAAAAGCTTAGAAAAGCAAAAGGTCGGGAGTTACCTTGGCTGTTTCGCCATTGTTATTAAAGTCGGAAAACATTTGTAAACTCAGTTTTAAATATACTATATAATACAGTGATAATAAGTTTTATTTACAATATACTATCCAATTTTACAGATTGCTATCTCTAGTTATTATAACTGTCCAATGCAAAGTGTTGCATTAGTACCACCGAAACCAAACGAATTTTTTAATGCAACTCTCCTGTCAACATCCCACGGCTTTGATTGTTTTGCAACATAATTCAAATTATCAACAGGATCTTCCAAATTGATTGTTGGTGGTATTATTCCATGATGACAGGCCAAAACCGTAAATACTGCTTCCAAATTACCTGCAGCACCTAGTAAATGGCCATGAGCTCCTTTTGTGGATGAAATCAATATATTTGCACTATGATCCTTAAACAGAGTTTTAATAGCTGTTGCTTCAATACCATCTCCTATAGGTGTTGATGTGGCATGAGCATTAATATAGGTAACTTTTTCTTTTTCAATGCAGCCATCTCTCAACGCACGGCTCATTGATAACACAGCTCCACTTCCATCATCTCTAGGAGCAGTTATGTGACTTGCATCTCCTGATAACCCATATCCTAGAATTTCTGCATACATTTTTGCATTTCTCTGTAATGCATGCTGATACTCCTCCAAAACTAAAACAGCTGCACCTTCACCCATAACAAAGCCATCCCGTTTCTTATCAAAGGGCCTGGAAGCTTTTCCTGGATCATCATTGAATGATGTGCTCAGTGCTCGTAATCTACTAAATCCCGCTATGGCTAAAGGACTGATACAAGACTCTGCACCTCCACAAACCATTACATCTGCATCACCATTTCTTATAAATCTAAAGGCATCACCTATGGAATGTGCACCTGTTGCACATGCTGTAGATACTGCATGGTTAGGTCCTCTGAAGCCATATTTAATGCTTATGTGGCCAGCGGCCATGTTAGGTAATATCCTAGGAACAAAGAAAGGGCTAACTTTGTTGTAACCTATTTTCAATGCATCATTAGTGTCACATACATCTTTCAAATCTATCATTCCCATCCCAATAGCTACACCTGTGGACTCTCTGTCAATATCAGACTCAGGTAACCATTTTGCATCAGCCAATGCTTCTGCTGTCGCAACAAGAGCGAGGCATGTAGCTGGAGCCATGGACTTCAGGTTAGACTTAGATAGTGCTTTCGTCACTCTATCATCTTTGTCTACCGGTACTAACCCGGCTACCCTGCAAGGTAATTTAGAGTATTCATTGCCTTGCAGACTGACTATACCACATTGACCTTTCAAAATGTTTTGCCATGCTAGTTCTGTACCTGTGCCAAGAGGTGATACCACTCCTAGGCCTGTTACGACAACTCTTCTTCGTTGTGGAGACTGAGTGATTGTTCTTATTTGATGAATTAATTTTCCCGACATGATTTTTAAAAAAGATATACAGAGGTGACACTTAAAGTATACGGCTACCTAAATATGTTCTTAACATAAATTTCACATAAATTATTACTAGTCGTGATAATTATTATATGAAATATAGGAATTGTCACCTACATAAAAAGTTAAAGGTTAGGTAGGTAGAATTTTTCAATAATAATAACATTAGTGATGCGATTAGTTTCTGCTCGGAATGCTCGGGGCAACAAAATCATACGATTGGTGTTGAGCAAAGATAACTATTAACTATCTAGTCAAAATTCTCGAGTAAGCAATAATTGAAAATAAATTTTTATTTAAAAATAGCTAAATTGATTGGTTCAACCCTTTTATCCATTGCAACGACATGGAGATTTGACAAACTTAAAAGCCTTTTCTCCCAAGTAGGTACCTACTGACAGTTTTTTGTTATGTTTACATTTGACCATGACATTGACAGAAAAGTAACAATTCGTAAATTCGTGCTTTTTTTTAAAAGTATGCCTTGCTGTCCAACTTTACACTTTTACAGTTATTTACCAAGAAAAGTATATTTTGTAGGCCGAAGTAAATAAATTAATTCTTTGTGCCGAATCAGATACCAAACAAATTTGTTTGATTTAAGTTGAGCTTCACCTATAACTATGGTTTGCACAGCTGTACTAAATAATTTCAAATTAATAGTTTCAATTGCAGTAGTTTTGGCAGCTTACTTATATCATATTAAATTGAAGTTACACTATGAAGATTTTTTAAAAGATTCTAATGATGATAAAATCGGCCTTTTTTCTGCACGTAAATTAGGAGAATTTGATGGCGAGACACAGAGTGATTTGTATTTAGCAGTATTAGGCACAGTTTTTAATGTTACTGAAGGAAATAGACATTACAAAAAGGGTGCAGCATATAATTACTTTATAGGTAGTTTCTAAAAATAAAATTTATTGGGTTTTATAATGAATATTATTGTGTTTTTATACTTAATATTATAATATCAATAAATATATATTTAGGTAAAGATGGATCCAGAGCCCTCGTTACCGGAAATTTCAAAGATGAAAGCGATGAAAAAGATCATGTAATGGACTTATCTTGTAATGATTTACTAACCCTTGTCCATTGGCGCAATACTTTCAGAAAAAAATATAAAGAAGTTGGTAAGATTACATTGAAATCCATTTGAAACTGTAGATTTATTTACTAAAGCCTGTGGTTTTTAATTAATTACAATGTCCTAATAAAAATCTTATTCCTATTTTAAACAAGTAGACTAAAAATGAGTGCACATATCATATTGATTATAGTTATAAAAAGCATCTTCAGGCTGACTTAAACATGAATTCAAATGATTCCGTTAGGTGTTGTCATGGGAAGATTCTATGACACTGATGGCCAAGAAACAGCTTACATGAAGGAGTTTGTCAACAAAATAAAACAATGTGAAGTGAAGAAAGAAACTGCCAAAAGGGAAGACCAGAAATATCCACCTTGTAATGTTGCATGGTCTGCTGATGAAGGCACGAAAGTGTGGTGTACCAAATCAAGGTTTAAACTCATTATAAAGTTATATTTTTGCAGATAGGAATAAGCAGCATCATCATCAGTGATAATTAGGAACACACAACACAACTTTTTGCATGGACTACAAATAGTTACTCTGGGTGTTTGAATTGTGTATCTGTATGTAATACTAAGACATTGCACAGAATTCTTCTGTTATTTACTTATAATAGCTAACAGGTCCACCAGGTCAAGCAGGCTCAACTGGGGTAATATCATGGACTCACAAATTACCAGCATTTGCTTGTTTGGTGACCTATCCCAAATATACTTTCTTTTACTAGAAGATAGTTTATAGAATGTTAAACTTTTGTAAGAGCTCTGTGCTGTAGCTGCTCTGATAGTGAATTGCATAATGTGGTGTTGAGGCACGGGGGCAGGTCATAAATGAGAGCGGATAAAGTTGACTTCATCAGTATATTTTAGTAAAACATAAGTCAATAACAATATGTGACCGAATAGTACCCCAACAAGCCTGTGACTGACTTACATCACCAAAATGCAACATTGTAATGCCTTAGTAATGGTGCTTGTCATCCCTCCTGTCTTCCACAGTGGTGTGAGACAAATAACATGAAAATAGATATTATGATTTGAAATGTGTTATTTTAAAATGCTATTGTGTTTTTCAGTGGTGGTGTTAAAAGGAGCTGGATTGGGGTTCCTCGGCAACTCTTCACTCCTGGAGTAGAAAAGCCTCGATGCATCTGCCTCAATGAAATAGAGAGTGATGCTGTAGGACTCATAAAAGAATATGACAGTTGTCCAAAATCTTCTACAGAATGTATTGTTAAAACTTAGTATTATAATTATTCCACATTGATTAGTATTAATATTTAATAAGTCTTTTTCATTCTATTAATTATTTAATTTTATAAGTTTCCAATAAATATGTACTACATATGAAAGTTTTATTGAATCTCAATACTAGAATTTTTATCATATTATTAGCCAATAAAAAATCTGAAGTAATTAATGAATAACTGAAGTTTATTTTGTACAAACACTGATACACATGTAGAATAATACCATTGGTAATAAGTCTTATCAAAATCATTACACCTTATCTTTAAGCGGCAAAGATGCTTCTGTTTTCACTACTTCATCTAATTCCAAACACTCAATATTTTTAAGAAACACTTGCATAGGGATCTTTTTTCTATTCAAAAAGGATTTATTTCCCAGAAGCTTCTTTATTTTAGCTCTACGCTTCTTAATCTTTTCTTTAGTGTATTGATTACCTAATTGGAATGTTAACAGTCTTTTTACCTTCCTCCCACCAATAAGTACTTCAGTCTCATTATTCTGAGCCTTTGGTTCCTCGTAAATAGTTTCTAAAGTCTGTGATAATGACTTTACTTTTTTGTTCAGATACAAAGCTTCTATTTGCTTAGGGTTTGCATTTTCAGTCATAATACGTTTACTAGGCTTCATACTAACTCTACGATTTGATGATTTACTTGTTTCGGGCATTATAGATTTTCTTTTTCTTAAAACTCTGGATGGCAACTCAGACACTTTAGATTTATTTTCACCGACTTCAGGAGAGGTTTCGTCGATCTCCATTATGTCTAAATGTGCCATTTTATTTGGCAGCTCACTGTCTAATCTGTAAAAGGGCATTCCTTAATTAATATTGCTTACTGCCACTTGAAAATTACAAGTATAAATAAGGTATTATGAACAAAATTACAAGTATAAAATATGAGACCGTACCTAGATGCGTCCATTATTTTGGCTCAAAATTAATTAGTCGTCTAGCATATTAAATTCGTTATTACGAAATATAAACACATTGAAAGTAAGAAACTTTAAACAGTTTATTACGCAAATTGCGTGAACTGCAAAATATAAACAAATCGCGCTTTCCACGAAAATCGAAATGTGGCAGGTAACTGGCAGATTTGGATTAATACAGCTGTTACTGCTGGCAACTTGAATTGAAACCGAAAAACAGTGTTGCCATGTACTAGGGAAATAAATTGTGCAATTAAATTATGGTTAAATGTGAGAATTCTGGCATCTTTTGTAAATAATGTTTTTCATTTGAATTATATTATTGCACTCTTCTTCTCTAACTAGTTTATACACAAAACATTATTAGAAGCACAGATTACCTGTGCTTCTAATAATGTTTTGTGTTAGAATGTATCTACGGGGTTCAACGTGGGTAGTTCTGGGCCTACCCGCTTCTGTAATCTGTAGTTTCGGTAGATAATTTTTCTACTTTTATAATATTATTATATCGTATTTTCACACTTTATGTAACCAGGTATAAAATTAGTTAGGACACTAATGATATTTTATAAATTTAAGTATACCATTTTATTTTGTTGTGTTGTATGATTCTACAAGCGGGACACCCGCTTGTAGAATCAGGTACTAGGTATTGTGAATTTACAAACAGGTACAGTGCGGCAGACTTATCTTGGCGAGTCTGAAGTTAGCCGATTAGCAGCGCAGTACACAATTGTTCCTAAAAGATCCATTGCGCAGACAAACGGCTAACTTCAGACTCGCCCAGATACGTCGGCCGCTCTGTATTGATATGATAGTACCTACCGTAAAACGGGGTGAATAGAATTCGAGGGGTAAATAGACACGGAAGAGGGGTGAATAGATACTAGGAAAATTCGCCAACATCTATGTGTCCGTTACCCAGGCCAGATGTTGTCGACAATGGTCATTTGAATCTTATAGATAATTAGTTGTGCGGCTTCTGTAATTGTTGCGCACATTTTTAAATTTGTTGCGCTTATAGTTTTTTAATTATTTCACAAAAACATTTCCTGCTGGCGTAACGTTACCACAGCCAAACGTTTTTCTTTCTAATGGGAATATTTAAATAAATATTAGCTATAAAATTAGTTGTCTAGATAAAGTAAATGTTGTGCCTTATTTTGTATTTGTTCTTTCTTCGGTTGCGAAGTTATTCGAGATTTTGCTGCGGTAACGTTTTTGGTTTTGCTAGATTTTTGAAATGGTTAAGCGGATTCTTATCATATTTTGTACACGACTTCCGAGGACTTAGTTTAAATTTGTTGTGCAATAACAAAACCAAAATAATGCATATTTTAAAGGTTTTTTCATTAAATAGAAATACAATTCAATTGGCCCCAGCACTCTCAATAAGAAGTCTAAAGACTTACTTTAAACGTAATTTTAAAGCTTGTAACTGCCTTCAAATGTATGTGAAGTTTCATTAGTATCCCGTAAGTATTTAACAAGTTATGATGATATTCAGTTCTTCACGACCACGGTCTTAATGCACGCGGTGTTATTTGGCCACTGGATTGGATATATGAACTGAATGTTATGTCAATGATTAGTTGTTTAGATCAGTTGTATATCAGTAAAATTTCAGCTCAATACATTGGATAATTAATGAGATAATACTATTAAAGTCATTACGAAGTGAATGACCGTGGTAAGCCGACCAAGTTTAGGTGGTTACGAAAAAGCGAAAACGCAGAACATTATGGTACCTTCTAAAATATGTAGGATAGTGTTATAAATTTAGTACAGACATGTACAAAAGTTTAAAAACAAACTACATGATTATTTAAGATTTTTTATTGAAAGGTAAAATAATCATTTCAATTAACTTTTACTCCCTTACTTATAAAAACTTGTGTTGCTTAGCAACCGATTAAACATCACCCGTCCTTGTCATTTCTATTTCAAAATGCAGTTCAAAAATCATCTAAAAGGTTACAAAAGTAACCTTCTGGCAAGACTGAGTGCGTTATGCAAACAATGTATTACCCCTTCACCCCACTCCTCCTGCGTCCTACCGAACGGCATGCTCTAGCGGTGATTTTTGATAATTTTGTGGAACTGGAAGATAATGTTTTCTTATTTATTATATTATTGTATTTAACAGTGTACGCGTCTGTACCAAAATTGTAAGGTGTATTATACTAAACATTTCAAAAGATAGTACAATGTTCAGCGTTTTCGCTTTTTCGCAACCACCTAAACTTGGTCGGCTTACCACGGTCATTCACTTCGTAATGACTTTAATAGTATTATCTCATTAATTATCCAATGTATTGAGCTGAAATTTTACTGATATACAACTGATCTAAACAACTAATCATTGACATAACATTCAGTTCATATATCCAATCCAGTGGCCAAATAACACCGCGTGCATTAAGACCGTGGTCGTGAAGAACTGAATATCATCATAACTTGTTAAATACTTACGGGATACTAATGAAACTTCACATACATTTGAAGGCAGTTACAAGCTTTAAAATTACGTTTAAAGTAAGTCTCTAGACTTCTTATTGAGAGTGCTGGGGCCAATTGAAGGGTATTTCTATTTAATGAAAAAACCTTTAAAATATGCATTATTTTGGTTTTGTTATTGCACAACAAATTTAAACTAAGTCCTCGGAAGTCGTGTACAAAATATGATAAGAATCCGCTTAACCATTTCAAAGATCTAGCAAAACCAAAAACGTTACCGCAGCAAAATCTCGAATAACTTCGCAACCGAAGAAAGAACAAATACAAAATAAGGCACAACATTTACTTTAACTAGACAACTAATTTTATAGCTAATATTTATTTAAATATTCCCATTAGAAAGAAAAAGGTCTGGCTGTGGTAACGTTACGCCAGCAGGAAATGTTTTTGTGAAATAATTAAAAAACTATAAGCGCAACAAATTTAAAAATGTGCGCAACAATTACAGAAGCCTCACAACTAATTATCTATAAGATTCAAATGACCATTGTCGACAACATCTGGCCTGGGTAACGGACACAACATCTATTCACCCCGTTTTACCGTACTCAAAAAAATGTGTTTTGATTTGAGGGTGGTTACTTGCCATGCATTATAAATATTGCCATAAGAAATAAAACAATTGTCGTTTATAACGATTTATTGTACAAAACAATAATACATTAAAATGTACAGGTATGTTTAAACTTTTGGACTCAGGTCCCAAACACTGGACAATCATGTAATTATCCTTCCCTTGCAGACACCATATTGCTCGTCGAGGCGTCAGCACTAATAGAAATGACTCGACTCTAGATAAGCAAACTAGATTATAAGATAATAAAAATATAACAATAAATTAATGAGTGCTCTCAACTTAAGTACACATCGTCTATCGCACTGCTTTTGTCGACGGGCACCATGTAGTCTTTAATTAGAACAACGTAATATAACAAATTGATTAAACCTCCTAAGCATACTGTAGTATATACACATTATGAACAACATTATGTCCCCTCTGGTGAACTAGCGCAGGTGAGCAGGTGGACGGGGGCGGCGCCCCGGCCCGCCTCGTCGCCGCATCCACCACTCGCGCCTCTCCTCCACCGCTGGCCCTGGCCTATCTAGCCTAGCCTAATCGTAGTCTTACGTGACGCATTTTATAATTCGCACACATCTAAAGCCAATTAACATTACATCGGGAGACGAGAGCGGTAGAAGTAGCTGAGAGAAGCGGGTGAGGAACTATGATTCGGTGGCGTTTACCACTTGTCAATGACCACCTCGTTCGCTGCAAAACAACGAGAGTGTTAGTGTTGTGTGCGCTCGAGCGGGGGCTGCCGTCCGAACTTACTAGGTCTTATGCAGATATCACAACCGTGTCGTAGTTACATTAAATGTGTAGTTTCACTGCGGGATCACAACAAACAATGAGTGTTCATGGAATATGTGCGTGCAGTGGCGCTGCGACGGCGTTCCGGCGCTTACAGCTTCCACGTCGGCTGGGCTGGGGACACAAGGACAACACCACGTTAGAGCATGCGGGGATCGTGCGCGGAACATGCCACGGACTGTTCCTGCCGTGGCGTTACCATCAACCAAGTTTTGCAATTTACAAATAATTGTTTTGTAGTTTATTGTAAGTTTGTAACCATTCTTTAATGAATTTCGTGACGATATAATAATACATCTGTTTGGTTACGAATGAAGTTGTAAATGGTGTTCCAACTGTAACATCAATATCATGTTACTGCTGAAGCACTATTTGCAACGGAATTATAGATTAAAGTTCAGGTTGCAAAACTTGTTTTGTCAAATTGTTAGCTAGGAATAGAATAGCGATAAAAATTATTTGTATGCTAAGGAAATGGAGTATAAATACATAGGGTGGTATACATTTCATATCAAGGGTGTGTCATGTAGTGTCACTACTGGAGTGTGAAGGGAAATAATTCAAACATTAATATTGTTGACTATTTTAATATGTAAAATGTATAAACGACTGTACATTTCAATAAGTTAATCTGATAAACGCAACAAGTTCCAGGAGTTCAGGGGACATTCACAACAAAGGTTTTTGAGCATGCCCTTTAATTGTGCAGTGTAAAAGTGGGATAAACATACGGTAGGTAGTCAAAGAAGGCAATAGGTAGTTTCAAGATATATCTATTACTTTGCTGGCACGTCAATGTGCTGTGTTGGTGATATTGATCGACAGGTAATGTGTATGCATATAGAAAAGACACATTAAATAAATACAAACTTTCGACGGTTGCATCCTTTCAATCGTGGATCGATTGTTTTAGATTCGGCATAGGTACACATTATTTATAATACTATACTATAAATATAATGTATTGTTAATGCATTATATAAAAAAACTCACTGCACTCTTTTATAAGTCATAAACCATGCAATGTTTACATGCAATTTTTATTATTTTTAATTAAATAGGTATAGTAAAAAAAAAAACACATATGCAAGTACTGACCTTGTACCACACTACATTCTTAAATTTCGGATCAGGTTTGATAAACTTAAAAAGTAATATTATGTCTCAATGGTAAAATATAATTGATATAAATGGTTATTTTAATAAATAGGAGACAACAAAAATTACATCAAGTAATGAATATATAAATAGAAGTGCTATACTCGTACATGGGATCATTTAATTCGTACATACATAAGACTATATTGCTTTTTTCAATAAATTATTGTGTCGTAAATAATGTAAAAAACATACAATTTACACAGTACAAAAATGTTAATAGTTTGTAATAATTATATTGAAACAAGGCTTGACATGATATTGTTTCGATGTAATACATGAAGGTCACATGTAGCCCAAGTAAACAGTTGAAGACATATTTACTTGAGCTAGGAAGGGTGCATGTGGCACACTGTATACGCTGGCACTAGCTACTGTCGCCTGCGGCTAGCTGCTGCATACTACTGCTGTGTAGTTACATGCCAGTCTATATAGCCTGCCACATTCACACTTAGGCATAAGGTTAGTTCAGCCTAGGGACACATTCATAAAAATTTGTTAATTAATATTAGCTTAGATTAATAATAAGAGCGCTTCTGATTACCAAACAAGGTTTGATATAAGAAAAACGAAATGCATATAGGAATGTTAAGAAGTGACCACAGTGAAAGGACAGAGGAGAAAGACATTCTTTTGATTACTACCTATGCTGAAAGAATAATTGTAACCACGTCCCTAATAATACACTTATGATAAATTACACTAAGCTAACAATGCACATTACTATCAATTAATAGTATGTTTTATAACATGTCTGCTGTCCAATTGGACAAGGTACTGAGCTATGTGCGAGTTCATTATAATAATATTTGAATGCGGAGCTTTCCGTGCTACTGTATACAAAATGTATCAAATGCAATTAATCTAACTTATAAATACTTTCAATAAAACCAATTTTTGGTGTTTCATTTGTTAGCATTTATAAAAATGAAGGTCTTCACAGCCTCTTCACATCAAATAAGTGTATAATATTATGTATATGTACTCAGTAAAAGGAAGAAAGTTGAACTCACGAATTTGTAAAAAAATGAGCTCCAATAAATTTATTGTCTCGCACATACAAAATGCATAATCACTAGAGCGGGGCGCAGTGCGCTGCCACGGCTCTGTTAGATCTACTCCTAAGCAGTACAGACAACTACACACTTAGATCGCTAGTCCGGCGGCACGGCACTCCTCACTGTCACTCACATCGCAGTCCTGGCTGTCCAACACCGGGCCGGGGACGTGCACTGGGGCACTGGGGGCACTAGGGGCATCACTTCACACCATGTGCGCCAGAATTAGCATTCCAAACTGTTAGATGACTGAAACTGTGGTGAGCGCAGCTCAAAGTCTATCGGTTTCCACAGTTAAATTCCATGCGCTACCCACACCAGAAATAACTTATCATGAGAATAGAAAACGTAAAGTGTAACATGAATCGAACAGGTGGGTGGCGCAGAAATCGGTAGGAAGGTATTAGATGTGAATCAAACGGGGTGGTGGCACGGCACACGGGGCCGCTTATAGGGGGCCGTAGATGATGATGCCAAAGAACACGGCCCACATGAGCACAATCCATTGCATGCCGTCCAGCCAGTGCATCAGCTGCGAACGCTTCTCACCGTCGGAGATCTTGCGCGCCACGAACTTCAGAACCTCGTCCAGCAGCACCACAGGCACCGAGAACTTCATCACCGTCAGCCACTCGTCGACGGACAGCGGCGTCACTTGGAACACGGCCTGCGAACATACCGGCCACCAGCGTTATTTGCCTGGTCAGCGACCTCACCTGCCTTACCTCGGCTACTAACTGCGATACTCACCGACAGCACCTCGACGTACAGGATGACGAAATGAAGGGTGAAGGAGAGAGCCATGGAGCCGACCAGCCACATGTTGGACCAGGGTGGCATGGTCACGAGCGACTGGTTCTCAGACAAACTGTTCATGGCGTTCAACATTTCAATTGTTACTAATACAGACAAGGCCATGGTCATAGGGTGAGGGTCAGTGAAAATCTTGCAGTCGATGCCCTAGAAAAGCAAAAAATAATATTAAAATTTGTTTCAAATTAACACAAGTCTTTAAAAATCTAATGTGTTATTTTATTCAAAACCTACCTTGAAGTCATCACCTCCACTGAGGCACTGTAAGTGGTGGGTAAGCTGCCAGTAGGTCATTTGTGGTCCGTAAGGAGAATACATGAACCACCAGGAGGCAGCACCGACGGTAGCGGCACCGACGTAGCCACCGATAGCCATGTACCTGGCGCAAGCATGACGTATGAGTAAATTGCACACTCCAACCAATTACACTGTTGAAGTTGGAAAGTAGTTGATCATGTTATACCTGAAGAACAGCCATCCAGAGATCAGACCTTCATCAGCCTTACGGGGTGGTTTGTCCATGATGTCGAGATCAGGTGGGTTGAAACCAAGAGCAGTGGCGGGCAGACCATCAGTGACAAGGTTGACCCACAACAGTTGGACAGGGATCAAAGCTTCAGGGAGACCCAGAGCAGCAGTCAAGAAGATGGATACGACTTCACCAATGTTGGAGGAGATCAAATAACGGATGAACTGCTTCATGTTGTTGTAGATGGCACGACCTGAGGGGTAGACATACAATCATGTAGATCTGGTTTGTAAATTGACCAGAAGAATAAGTTCTGGTTTAGATAAACGCTTGCCTTCTTCAACAGCGGCGACGATGGAAGAGAAGTTGTCGTCAGCCAACACCATCTCAGCGGCAGACTTAGCGACGGCGGTACCAGATCCCATAGCAATACCGATTTCAGCCTTCTTGAGAGCGGGGGCGTCGTTCACACCATCACCAGTCTGTAAAGTCATAATGGGCATGTCATCGACTTTGCAAACCACAATACAGTTAATCTAACAATTCTTCGATGATAATTTTCGAGTGCTCCAGTTTACAAACACTGTTGCCTTAACGTAAACACAACACTTCCAATATGTATTGCAAAATGTAAACATTCAATAACATTAGTAAATGGTGTTCCAGTAAATTATGAAGATATTGGCAACAATGTAACAGTTACTTTGCTTATTTGTTGATTCTCTAACACATTTAGGATTTTGTGTTCATTTACAATAATGAATTATGTTTAAGTTTATTACTCATATGTATTGTAACAAAAAATTAATATGTTTCGTACCATAGCGGAGATTTCGTTCATGCTCTGCAGGAACTCAACGATTTTGGACTTGTGAGCGGGCTCCACACGGGAGAACAAGCGAGCCTTTGCACAGGCGGCGCGCTGCTCAGATACGGGCAAGTCATCGAATTCACGACCAGAGTAAGATTTGCCAGTGGTGTCTTCGTCTTCAGTGAATACTCCAATACGCCTGCAATCAATTTGCTCAATTAAATCTTCAGAAAGCTGTGAATGTCTTCGAATCGACGAGACGGGAGGAATCAACAATTCAATAATAATAGAAAAGAGCCACAATGGCACAAAGAAATTACCTGCAAATAGCTTCTGCGGTGGCTTTGTTGTCACCAGTGATGACGATAACTCTGATACCAGCAGCACGGCAGCGGACAATGGAGTCGAATACTTCTTTACGAGGAGGGTCTAACATGCCTACTACACCAACGAATGTAAGGTTGACTTCATATGTGTAGAATTTGGTGGAGTCTCCGAGATCCATCTCATCAGGCTTCAGTGGGCTGTCAGCAGTAGCAAGGGCCAAGCAACGGAGTGTGTCACGACCAGTACCGTACTGGCGGGTGAGGTCCAGGATGCGGTTCTTGAGGGTAGAGTTCAGAGGAACCTTAGTAGTTCCAACACGTGCGTGCGTGCAACGGTCAAGCACACCCTCAGGTGCACCCTTAACGAACAGTTTGGGTCCAGTGCCAAGACGAGAAGGCTTAAGAGGTGTGCAGTAAGTGGACATAGATTTCCTGTCACGGGAGAACTCAAGAGTGAACTCTTTCTTCCATTTAGTTTCAATTTCTTGACGTACAACAATAGCGGAAGAGCGGCGGTCCAGTCCAGTCTTGGGGACGTTGAAGGGGTTCATTTTCTCAGCGAGTACGATAAGGGCAGTTTCGGTGGCTTCACCAACCTTTTCGAATGCTTGTTTGAATTCGTTGAAGTCAATAGCGGAGTCATTGCACATAACGCAAATGGTGCCCAATTCCTGAAGAGTGTCGAACTCAGCAGCCTTGATCTTCTGACCCTTAAGGTAAACATCACCAATAGGCTCGTAGGTGGAACCAGTGATTTCGAATTCAAGGAAGCTGCTGTCGCTACCTTCGATCTTGTCAAAGATAAACATACGGGAAACAGACATCTGGTTAGTAGTAAGAGTACCGGTCTTGTCAGAGCAGATGACAGATGTGCAACCAAGGGTCTCCACAGAGGGCAGTGACCTCACGATAGCGTTCTTCTTAGCCATACGCCTGGTACCAAGAGCGAGACAAGTGGTGATGACAGCGGGCAGACCTTCGGGGATAGCGGCGACAGCCAAAGCGACGGCAATCTTGAAGTAGTAGACGGCGCCCTTGATCCAGCTTCCACCGTGAGCGGGGTCGTTGAAGTGACCGATGTTGATGGCCCATACGGCAACGCAAATAACTGAGATGACTTTAGACAACTGTTCACCGAATTCGTCCAGTTTTTGCTGCAGGGGTGTCTTAATTTCCTCAGTTTCGGACATTTCTGTACGGATTTTACCGATCGCAGTGTTGAGACCAGTGCCGATGACCACACCACGGGCTTTACCAGCGGCGACATTGGTACCGGAGAAGAGAATGTTCTTTTTGTCCTGGTTGACGGCGCGGGGGTCGGGAATGGCATCGGTGTGCTTGATGACGGAGACAGATTCTCCGGTCAGGATGGACTGATCAATACGGATGGTGGTCGAGTAAATCTTAATAAGACGGATGTCAGCGGGGATTTTGTCACCGACTGACACCTCAACGACATCACCGGGTACGATTTCTTTGGCTCGGATTTTCTGTACACCGGATTTGTCTCCTCTGACTACTTTACCCATTTCGGGTTCGTATTCTTTTAAAGCTTCGATGGCGGATTCGGCATTTCTTTCCTGCCATACTCCTACTACAGCGTTAGCAATTAGAATAAGTAAAATAACAAAAGGCTCTACGAAGGCGGAGAATGCGTCTTCGTGTTCTTCAAATAAAGCTAAAACCTGCAAGACGAAAACAAAATTGTTAGTAAATTGAGAAATGCAGAGCAGGAAACTGTTTTATAAGGATAAAATAATAAAAAATACTTACGAATGAAATAATAGCGGCTAACAGCAAAATCTTTACTAAAAGGTCATCGAATTGTTCCAGGACTAACTGCCATATACTTTTGCCTATAAGAAAAATAAAATGAGTAAGTATAAATAATAATTTAAAAACTTAATTTAGCCGATAACGTTGAGTAGGTGATTTATTTGAGGAAAGATTACACAAAAATGTCTGCAATTTGATTGCAGTTCCTTGCTTGGCCATGTTTTGAATATCTGACGACAACATTCAACGGAATGTGAGTTTTCAGCACATTCGAGGTAAACACGTTGTGTCTCACGGCACTTACTTGATACTTGTAATTAATTTTTGGATGTGTTGTGGTTTATAATTTAACCTGGTAAGTTATTAAGTAGTACGTGTTGATATTTGTGCGAATATTTATTCTTGTATAGAATTTTTAAACGTTTAGTTAAAACGATTTTGCAGCTAATCATTCAATATTCGAGAGAATACACTGTAGATAAGGAATCGAAATACTGTGTTGATAAATGTTGGTCAGTCTGTGGTTAGCTTTGAAATATTTATCAAATCGATGCGCTTACCCTCCTCCGCAGGCAGTTCTGAAAAGAGAAAAGAACCATAATTAGAATTTTGAATAAAAGATCAAAGGAGTTAATGTAACAGACGATAAACTAGTCAGAACAGGCATGCGATCTATGTCGGCAGTTACGAGCGTACATAAATACACTAGAGCTGTTGGAGCGAAAGGCAGCGGCCGCGGCGCCGGTACAGAGGTTTTCAATTAACGATTTTGGCCAGTAATAGTGACGTCGAATGCAAATGTCGGCGCTACATATTTAACATTACCCGTCGCGTCAACTTGTACTCTACGAGGCTTATTTTGATTATTATGTTATCAGTGCGTGCTCAAACCGGCTTCTATTCGGATAATGCGCAAAATTCAACAATTCCAAAACAAAGTAGACCACGTGTGATAATATTTACAGCACGCAGCTAATCAAGGTAGTACACAACACTGTTTGTGCGATAGCAAATTATCGCACCACTTTGATTTTAACTAGATGTTGATAAATATGTTAAGAGAGTTTCATCATCAAAATATATAAGACTGTATAAGATTTAATAACTACACCATTTTGTTGTAAGTTTTTGTTCATAAGACCTTGTGTATAAAGATTTCTAGTATAGTACTACTACGCTTGTCATTATATATTCCCGTAGAAGGTTACGCGTTAGCATTTGGTTTATACAATGTTAGCATCGTGCCCTACAAAAAACGCCTTTGTGACGTAGACTCGAGCGTTTATTTTACGTTTATCTCTAGACAGTAAGTAATTATTTATCTGTTTAGTAAGGGTCGTGGAACCTATTTTTGTTTGTGCGACATTCAGACTTGTTATCGCGTTCATTATTTTAATCCGCGATTCAAATAGATGATAAAGTTTATTTTGGCACAATCTTGTTTATGATTAAATAGTTGCCGGGCAGTTAGCGGGCCACGTCTCCAATCCGTGCGCGACCTGCATGGTGACCTCAAAGCGCGCACTTAGTTCCTACGTAACAATAACGTCTCAAGCGCACTTTACTAATACGATCTTCTATTTGCTTAATAACTAGTACAGGCATAAATTGACAAATCGTGACGCTCATATTAAACCCTCATACTTACAATTAGAATATCCTCCCATAATGCCATCAGTCCGGAAGTTTTTAAATGGTTGCTCATTTGGATGCGTATTTCGCAATGAGTTTTGGAGTTGAGTACAGAAAAAGATGGTGGCCAATAGAAGTGTAAGTGGAATTAATATCATGTTTTCTATGTCTTAATCGTAGAATGTTATCGAGCAACGTGCTCTAAGTCAATCGTTGTATCGACTCTATTTGCGTACGCAGTTCGACTGCCAGCCACGCCGCCATGACTAATGAAAGCAATTAGTCAACGCATCGATATCGCCGTGTCAGCATCTCCACTCACTGGCGATCATCAATAAAACTAACAACGGCACATAAAATCGCGAGGACGCTCATGCTTAAGTGTCACGTCCTGGACAACCCACGTCAAAATAGCGTACATTGTATACGTGACGAGACTGTCAATTCTATAACACAATACATAATATACCGTCACGAAACATCCACTCCATAAAGATATCAATTATATTGGCTTCTTCTGTCTTTAAGAGGACAAACTTTAACAGTTTATGAAAACAATGGATAAGGAAAATTAGCTATTTCAGCGTTGACATTATAAATAGGTTATGAATATTATCAGTTGCAATAGTAACAAATGGATGACCTCAACCGGCGTACTACGAGTATGTTTGTACATAGGTAATTTCAGTTTACTCAAGGCGTAAGTGGTTACAATTTAGAATACGTAGGAGAATTGAATTGTTTTTAACACAGGTGGGTTGTTTGTAACACAATGGAAATTGAAAAAACTTTCTATGCGACAGCGGAATAAGGTGAAAGTACGATAAAGAATGGATTCAGAAGGTGTTTTCTGTTTCGCGACATCTATCAGACACGTTCAGCAGTTTTTCAACGACTTCGAAAAACGGCAAGTTAAAACCACGACGAAAGTATTTCATTTCTTTCGTATTTTTTCCCCAACTATTATACTTTAGACTGGTGTGCAGTCAAATACCGATGTATTTGATTCCTTCCTTTCTGATTATTAAGTTTGCAGTATTTTGTAGAATAAATAAAACTGCTAGAATGCGTAATAGACAGCCATACAATGAACTTGACGTAACCTCATAAGCTGCCAGTAAATATAGAGTAGCAAAACGTTAGTGTCTTTACAGTTTGGTGGTGAAAAGATAAAAGAATTTGCTAACAGATAAAATATTGGAACGTGCAATGGTCGTATGGATCGCGCGTCAGCCGCGTTCGTAGACGCAATCCGCCAACGTAGATCGTCCAAAATAAACCTGGGTACCTATATAATATTTCAGCCACTAGGCACTCGAATCTCGCCGCGGGAGCGGTCGGCATTCCCGGGCTAGCCGTACGCTATCTACTCCTTAATGCACTCCAGCACTTTAATTCAAACGCACGAATGATGACGCAGCGCAGCACTTCGACATTCCTTTTACAGACCTATCTATGGAGAATGGCGTAATAGCGTAACACTTGGTAGTAGGCATTGCAAAAACACAAAATATTAGAATTGCCTGATAAACCTAAATAACGCGTTACAAATTTACTAGTTTATCGGTGTCGTTTTATCGGAAGCTACTCGTGTGATGTTGTTATTACGTACATTATGTTGGTTTTTATGTTTCGAGGACGAATGATTATTGAACGAGTATCGGATAACCATTGAGTTTCATTAGAAGTAATCGGTCTTATTCCATTTTGGCAATTATTTACCTTAAGCAATTAAGGACAAGATCAGAATTAAAGAAAATAAAAAATATGATTTACAATAAAATGAACAACAGAGTAGAAAGTCCTATAGGGCATTATGAACCACCAATGAGACCGAAAGTAGAAAACTCGAAAAATATTTTTGCTTCTGTTCCTTTAAGATCTAAAATATGAGGTAGTCGACAGATATCTGCTATATTGAGTGAAGGGAGACTTGGTTTTCACGGAACTAAGTTGCAGTTAATTGATTTAATATATTAATGAGAATTGTATACTATTCTGATGTATCAAACAGAAAATTATAGCTATCGTAGAGAATGAATATCATACTCTACGATAGTTATAATTTGCTGACTAGTGTTTAGAACTATTCAGGTAAAACACACTTACAGATATAAGTAATTTCGAGGTCAACTGATTAGATGCTCCGATGTTCATAAAGCAAATGTGAATGAACAGTGTAAATAATTTTGGAGCAAGTACTGATGACATAGTTTTGTTTTTAAAGTCTGTTCCCGCTAGGTTTCGTTATTGTGACCGCGCCTGGCCGAGTAAAGTGACGTGAAGTTTATGTTTTCCGCAGCAAAATAATCGTCAGTTGTACGAAGGCGAGAAAATAAACAACCAGTCTCGCGGGATCTCGGGCAAGCGGCGTTTTTTTTCTAACGGTGTTATCATCGTACCCAGTCTACATAAGTGAATGGTGATTTGGAAGTGATGAATAATACAATTGACCGTTATGTAGTCCTTACTGAATCTTACTATTACTATTATAAATTTATCTTTAAAACTTGAGACATTACGCACAGTGTCTTTCCAATTTTTTTGAGCAAAATGGTACCTTCCATATTTAAAAAATACTGTATATCTATATAGACCACTGATTATGTGTTTAGTTTATTATCATACTGGTTGTCGACATAATTCATGGCTAACTTCTATTATCTAGAGGGCACGTTGTTTTAACGAAAGACCAAGGTGTTTTAAGTAGGTAATATGAACGTTGTCACGCGTGAGGGTCCGTCCCCAGCGGCCTGTGGGTGCACACGCACCGCTGACAGCCTCCATCGCCTCATTGGTGATCGACCACCTGACCCCATTATAAATAAACATCACCGTCGACGCACCCACCCCATCCAACAAAGAGTGAAACCTCTTTGCTTCGACCAGTGACCTATTCGTCCTGCGACATACATATGTATTTTAGGACCTGTTTTCAACTATTATGATATTTGAAAATACGTCATTTGAATTATTATAATGAGTCTATAAATACATGTACAAGATCTGTGAACTTGTTCTAAATACCAACATCTTATCGGCACTACCTACAAACAAGCTAGATAAAGGATTATATTTTTCTACTTTATACTAACAAAGGAAATCTCTGTAAATGTTTTCAAAGCCAGACAAACATGAAATTAATATTCATATTATTAAATTTTATATGTACCAACATAAAAAATAAACATTTTACCTTGTTATATTGAACCACGTAGCCACGTAGGGTAAAGATTGCGAAAGATCTAGTTTTTATAGTATGTATCTTGTATCTGTTCGCAAATATTTAATTGGTGATTTATGAGATAAAACTCCCATTAGTTTTAGTGTCAATACTAACGACCCGTCTTGGGTTATCATAAGGGAAAACAGGGCAATGAAAATTATATTGCGATACCAATTGTTATTCTTTAAAAAATAATAGAACATATGTTTTGTTTAACGATAACAATGAGGAGTCAATCGCGAGATTGATCGTAGATGGCCATTTCTTTGCCATTCAAGGTTCAAGTTAGTTGATTTATGTAAACAGCTGGAGCAAATCACGCGAGTAGAGCATTAAAACTATTTCTAAATAAAGATTTTCTGCACAAAGCGAATGTGCGCCGTTCATTATGAAAATATTCAATAGGATTCAGCGTTATCTGCGTGCGATTAGCTACGGTGTACATTATGGGGAGATTACTTAAAGTTGATACATTTGCACTTCGCCCGCAGCTCCGGATATTTGAATTGAGGCTATAGTTGAGGAGTACAACTACAATCTTCGATGCTTCCATTTAAGTATACCATGTGAGCCAATGCTATTATTGGAATCATTATTCCAACATGTCACTTAAGTAATTATTATTGATTTCATTTTTTGGTTTATGTGTTAAAAATTGATCAATTGAGAAGAATTTATCACAAGTAATGAGTTCAAATATTATTTCTGAATAATGCTCAATTATTGACATTTACTACAAATGAGAGATAAACAGTTAGTTCCATAGTACACACAATTAACATATTACAATGGAAGCAACACTTCATTGTAATATGAAATTGAAATAGCCACAGCCGTGAACATATAAGATGTTGGTATTTAATAAATATAAAGGACACAATTTGTCAGGATGCAGCTAATTTCCTGAGCATAATGGGGTGAGGTCAGATTTCTAGTTTATGGTTTAAAATACAAATATTTCTTTTAATCTGCACATAAGAAGCTAACAGTATGTTTTTTCCTCAATAAGATATGACACGTAATTTGGGTGTTAAACTGGTTTTGTTCAGCAGAATATTAAGAATGTTAGGCAAACTGTAATGTTCAATAATAATATGGCAACAACACATTGCATCATGGGTATACACCCATAATGACAACTTGGATTAACTTGATAAAGAATACTTATCTAATTTATTAAATTGAAATGATTGCCATAATGAGCCTGGCAAATTCAATCACATTTTTTTAAACCTTTACTAAAAATATATATTTGTATCTTGTAAAATCATGATATCAGAGTAATAATGTCTTCAATTACTTTGTTATTTTTATCTCAAAGGAGTCCTCATCTTTCTATGATTAATGATTCACAGCCAAGTCTTAGCGTCTGGCAAAATATCAAATGACCCTGACTGATAGCCTAGGAAATTATTTAAATATATAATTTAATTTAACACTGCTGCCAAACCTGATTACCGAGGAATGGATGAATAAAATACATAACATTTTGTTATTTCTATGAACAATCAGTATCATATAAAATGCATAGACATCTATATACATAGAGATCTATAAATACGCAATTTGTAGTAAATACATTTACCTAAAACAATGGCCTATTTGAATCAGTACACTTAGCGGTAGTCACCATTAGCAATGCCATTCATAAGAGAAGTATCTTATGCAAGAAATCTTGCTATAAAAATCTAGGTATGGTGTATAAATATTTATATGTTAGGCAGATTTGAATTAAATTGTTATTTGATGATGTCACAGCCTTATACAGACTAGATTCAAAGATTTTAACTGCCAGACAATATGTCTACTTCTGACTATATAATCAAATAAGTACCAATCATAATAATTTGGATTTATAATTCAATACATCCTGTAATTTATCTGTCATGTTGATTTTACACCAACATAGCAGGATTAAACAACTGTTCTGAATAGTTTACCAGATTCCGAAAAGCACACATGAAACTGATGGAAATTTGTTTACATGTTTCGAGTAAATATTGTATGTACTTACCATTTGGCCCATATTTATCCTGATTCCGCTTGACTTGATCTGGACTAAGGCCTTTGTCTGGGTCGGTACCGAAGTACCCTAGGACTTCTTCCACGGATTTCGAGTGAGCGTCCTCCATGGTGGAATTACTACGTTGCCGTCAGTTCTAAAAAGCAAGAATAAAATATAGGTTAGAAATGACGAGTCATCATTATCAACTTGAAAGCTTTGAGGTTATGTTGCTTTTGTAAGACAATATTAGAGTTGAGCTATTTTTATTTATTAGCCTTGCAAAGATTAGAAATGAAATAACGAAAATTGAAAACAAAAAATCAGTTTTATCTTTCACGAAAGTGAAACACTTCTATGTAACTAAAACTACGTATTTTTTTATTGAAAAAAAGTTTGAGCTAAATTTTGACGACTATTGCTAATTTATTCCACTTTTCTATTCATTTAGATATTATTAAAATACGAAGACTATTAAAGTTATTAGATTTAACGAGCTATTTCCTAGATAGCAAGCACCGTTTGACCACTGCACCACTCACCACAAGTTTTTTTTATACATGAGAAGTGTATGTCTTATTTAATATTCCACTTATTTTTAGCTTGAACTCTTACTTTATACAGAGATTATTACTAAAATTTGTACTAGTCTAATACTTTTTCTCGTAAATATCATAAACGACACGAACACGTATCTAATACAGCCGTCATTTTTTACGAAACTGACGTAGAAGTAGGATCGATCGTAGCGCCACCTTTCATGAGAGCTAGAAACTATTTTGGTCAACTAAGAATCCTTTTATTTATTAATAGTCTATAATCGCTTCTTAAAATTCACTATGCTAATAATATCTAAACGACAGGAAAAATAATTACGAAATTATTAGTATTTTGGCAATTTTAAATCTTATTATATTTTATGATCAGACATAAATGTGGAGCCATGCTATAGGTCGAATTTGTACCACGTGACGCAAAGCTATTTTTGTGCCATAGGCGCCTACAAAATGCGGTATTTTTAAATTTCTGAAATTTGTTTCGCGTTATGTAACACTTTTATCACTTATTTATAATCACTAATTTCCTTTTGAAACTGGTATATCACTTAATTTGCACTTGGGGTTACTACACTCACGGTTGTTTGGTTTTATAGTGGTTTTATGAAACTTACTGGAATATTTTTTTTTTCGACAGCGTCGGGAAGGAAAGAAGAAATAAGAGTGGCGCGGGAGATGTTTTCCCGCCGCGCCCCGAGTAGTGACTCCCGGGCGAAGAGCGACGATTTTAGAGCGGCGCGGGCGCGGTGGAGGGACACCGTCGGAGATTTCTTTAATTATTTTGGCAACAGTACTCGATGGCACAGTCGAGTCGCTTTCCAGGGTTGCATGTCGCACGGCGGCCGTCACCGACGTCCTATGATGATCTTTTTATAGCGGTCGCTGCCCGGCTAGAGCTCCCGGAGCTTGTTGTATGATGGTTACTTCTGTTTACGACTGTTAAAAAGGTTCTCCTTTTTTATTTAATATTTTATTTATTAAGGAAGGAAGGCTTGCCGGTGAGAGCATTAACATCGAAAGAGCTTTCAATAATCGTTAATCGACCGTGGCGGGAGGGATAAAATAACGACTAGCGTATATCATATGTTTTATCAAGATAAGCATGTACAATGCAAACATTAGCTTATCGGTTTTTAAGTGGATTTCAGTTATCATTGCGAAATTAAGTTTTCACGCCGTTTTCTGCTACAGTAGCTTTTGTGTTGCGGGGCTACCTTTGACGTCAGAAGCATATTCTTGTAGCAAAACGAAATTATTTGTGGATGTTGATTATCGAGTGGATAATTATTGCAGTACAATTGGATCGTGGCCGAAAAGTTGACATTGGTGTACCTGCTGTTGGCAAAGATAAACTATCCAATGACGCTGATCTATGATACTGAATATTTTCCCATCATGTCTTCACCTAACGGATTGGACGGATCAGTCATAATCAAAATGATGTACTCGTAAAGGTTGTAGGCGTGATTGCATTGAATCTTTTGACCACGAGGCTTGAAGTGTTTACGCCAATACGCACATACAATCAAGAGAATTACACATTTGAAATAGTTACATCGTTAGTCTGCAAACGTAGTAACTTTTAAGGGGTTCTTAATTACGCTCCGTACATACTTAGGTTTATCAGTAAATAAATACTTACCTACAATAAAACTGACCGGTTCCGAAAACATTTACATGGTTTGGTTAGTTAGTGAACTCATCAAATTTAGTTTGAAACATTAGTTTTATATGTTAGCGTTTTCTCAATTAGTTTTATCAGAAAATTTTGTTTGACGTCGAGTAATTACCTATAATAAACACCTACGTATGACGTCTTATGTCGAATGATAATTTAGAAGAACGAGTTTGCGATATCGATTTCACGACAGCCACGGAAAAATGTCAACCTTGTGTAAAGTACTTGGAATATATTTTGAGAGTGAAAATAGAAAACCGCAGGGAAACAGCTGAATGCCAATGTTAACGTTTATTTTAGCGTCTGAGTAAACAGTGTTTTTAAGAACACAGCAGGTACCTAACAATCTACATAATTTGATAAGCGTATAAGTAAAAGTGATTAAGCACTTACATTAGCAAAAAATAGTACCAAACTGAAGATCGTGGAGTTAATAAATAATAAAATTTTTAAATGAACTAAGCATTTAAAAATTTTGAAAGACGAGAGTTAATAGTTCTTAAAAAAGAACTTATTACAGTTCATAAATAAGACACATCAAAGAAATTTATGAAATAATGACAATGTAAGAATTCTTTCGGTGTTCCAGTAGGATTTGTCAAGTCATTTGGTTAATTGTTGACTGTGAAATGTTAAGAAATATGATTTAGATTAAATTTTTCAAAACATAATAAAGTGCTTACAGCACTAAAGGACGTATTGATTGTTATTTTCCTTGGTTTTTCGTTCAAATCTAGTAACTTAGATTTGTTAATAAAAAGGTATGAAATACCACGTGGTGTTATTCCATTAAAATGATATCAACAAATGCAGGAAGGGTAAAGGTCGGTAAAAGTAGTCCAGTGGGAGTAGTTTTCCAATCTGACTTGTGCAACCGATGATTGAGAACAGCACTCCAAGTCGATGCTCCCTTTGATCCGCAGATGTGCATCGAATTCTGATTGATAGTAATGGATGCTCATACATGTGAGTTGGTCCGGATGACCGGCAATAAATGATCGTTACAGCTTTAACGAGCGATTAAAAATCACTCTAGCTCGGCTAGCGTACTATTTTATAGCCCATCAATTAATATCCACGTTGTCCGATATTTTAGAACCACTTCGTCATTGTTTATTAAAATATTTATACAAAATTGAAACGCTTACACTTAATTACAGATATAATTATGAATTGCGTTTATTATTTGGATTGTTTAAAATATTCTTAAACGTAGTTTGTGAAGGGAAAGCTCGGTTATTGTCGTCGTTAAGATATGAATAGATTTAGGTCAAAAGCGTGTGGCACCATTTTACTTTTATGAAAGTGGCACGCTTATAATTAATCATCAATTTAAGCGTGGTATTCAAACTCTTGCCTTTTATGACTAATTAAACTCAGTAATAAGACACATGTTTTCCATTAAGTCTTGTAATTATTATTTACTTTATGATTTAGAGCTGAAGGAAGCTCAATGTCGTCTATTCCGCTATAAAGTTTTAATGGTGCATCATATCAATTATGTTTATAGTACACGTAAGTTATGGGTAAACAATATTTGTAGTATTTCCGACTGTAGTTTTATGGTTTCCCACATTTTCGTTATTTGGTACGCCACTATCATCCGTGTTGAAATGCAGGTAGTATTGCAACACTGAGTGTACGCATCCGACCTATTCTGAGATCAATGACTGGCGGTGTGAAATGAAGAAGTAGGTTTTGTTGATGTTGGCACCCAGTATAAATAGTATGCAATTTTCTGCAACTAAGCATCCGGTAACTTCTAATGTGTTCCATTCAACTGAGCCCATTATTATCACGAATTTACTCACTACGATTATTACAACGAAATGAAAATTTATAGAGATTGTGGTTTTTTGTTTGATGCACGCAAGAGTAATTTTCCCTTCATTCCAAACTAACCTTGTTTATTGCTGCCACACGTTAATGAATCAACATTTGGTTTGCTAAATGGAAGCTGACGATTTGATAGAAATTATATTTTCATTTTCATTTTCCTAGGACCAGATGTTCGTTTATGAGTCGGTCTGCTACGATAAACAGAGATAGTCGCTAAGCAAGATTGGACTTTAATAGATACCTACGTTCCAGAGATTATGCTTTACAGATTACAGCTCAACTGATTATGTATTTTCAGGTGTTTTTTGTATTTCATGGTGAAAGAGACGTCAAAGTGTCAGAAATGTTTGCAGTTTAATCTTTTGTAAATTTCCATTATGCTTTGGCTTGTGCGAAATAACGTAATACGCTTCGGTTTATACCCATTAGTAATGTTAAACGTAGTTTAGACGTCCATGCGTATGCGTATCAAACTACTAACGATGTTTAAGAACATACTCAACAACACGAATCGGCAAAACGAGCTTTTAAAATTCCTAGATAATTTAACGAGCACAGAGTTGCGGTAAATATATTATTCTGATATCAAATATAGTCTGCGCACTGAGCCATATCGTAAGGCTATTCGTCATCTAAAATAAACGGTCGAAGGTAATAATCAAAATAGAATTATCGTACTGAGGAGTGTCGTAATCGTCTGCTTTGGCAGAACTGAGTTGCGGTTTTTGGCGGACTACACGGATTTGGATCAAGTTCGCTATGCGTGTTAAGGGAGAAAATAGTCGGGTATAGACAATGCCACGCCGGCCTCGATCTATTTGCCGATGAGACTTGAATGTCAACTCAATTAATGCTAGATACACGGGTACAGAAAAACAGAGACTAAGAAAAGTTTAGAAATATACAAACAGAAATTCAGCGGTCATTGTGGAACACGAGCGATTGTGTGTTGATGGAAATGCTAGAGATGCCAATGTTTTCAGTATACAAAGTTGTTTTAAGAATCCGTCTACTCAGCTATATCTTATCCACCTCGTCAGTATGTAATTTATAACATCGTATACGATACAAAAACAGTTGGTTATTGTTTATTTTGAATTTGATTTTACGGTTTAGTAAACTTTATTTTTCAAGATATGTAATATTTCTTTTCTATTTGTATTGAGGAATCTACATTTGCTTTCATTACCGTTTATTTTAACATTGGCGCGAGCGCACGAGCTTACTGTCCCACATGACATCTCTCGAGGGTCACGGCGGCGTGTCGTCGAGTCATTTAAAAGAGATTTTAAAATACTGCTTCGTATTTATGTAACATCTACATTGTATCTCAGAATATTTAATAATGTTTATGACGGTGCGCATTGACGTCACAGTATATTAGGTGCTTTGTTAGATTATTCGTGGTTTTACTATCTGAAATAAAGAGTATTTTTACAGCTGTCTGTAAATGTGTAGAGCATCGCTATCTGGTTTCAAATTATGAGACTACATTTTCTATTTTATTGGAATTATTGTTTCGGTGTTGTTTAGGTTTATTGCTTTATTCTTTTCGATTATTTTATTAAATAATCTTGAAAGTTACGTACATTGCCAAATATACTTTGCTGCAAAAAATTGAGACAATCAGTCCGTCAAGTAATTACTTGACATAGACAGCATATAGTTTATGCAAGATTTTTAAATAAATAGTAAGTAAGCTGTACGAGATTCTGTGCCTACGCGTTATTTTGATGTAGTGGGTAGTCGAGTGGTGCAATGGTCGGCCATTTGAATTCCTTACAAAAATATATTCAGTGGGTACATAATAACTAGCACAATAATCTTGATTCACGTCATACTGAAAAGTTGGCTCTGAGCGTCCGACCTCCGATCATCGAGATGTTATGAGTTTTTTTATTTATCTGTTACAATACTGTTATTTTGTCATAAGCCAGTGTTACTAGGATAAATAAGATTAACAAAAAGTTATTGTAATGGTTAATATTAATTTAAGTTTTACTTCTATACATCACCATTAATTGACATCACTAGTTTCGATCAAAACCATCAAATCTATTTTCCTTTTAGAAAGTCATTAGGTATTGTTGTTTTAATAATACCACCTCAATTCATTTTTGTTCCTGGTAACACTGGCTTATGTAATCAAATCTGCGTTCATGTTGGAGCGGTTGCTATTTTTCAAGACGATAATTT